TTTACATCTCGAATAAAACTCCTGATTTTATTTTTTCTTTTTATTTATTTTTTTTTTTAGATTAAAATCCGTCGCGCGAATCAACAGATTATCGAATGGGTTGCGGATTCTATTGTAAAACGATAATGTCAAGGTCACACTTTGTGCGTAAAGCTAGAGACGAAATGAACCGTTATAAATTATTCGGGGACTTTATAGACCGACAATTTTACACAGTCGCCAAGTTTCCCGAGAAGTCTCTCCTTGCGGCTCGATATTTTTAACAAAATACCGTAAGATGTGAAAGTAAAAATTGTTAGCAAAGATTAAAAACTCGTTAATTTTCTACTTAGAATTTTATTTAAATCGCAATATCAATGCGCGAAATAATTAAATGATAAATGATAGATAAAAATGATATAACTGAAAAAATTACTAAATCGAAATTACAGAGACTCTCTATAAATTTGTTCCTACGCCACAAATCGTCTAATCAGTTGTGTCTTATTTAATTACCACAGATGTGCATAAGCACATATAATCTCGTATTAATAATTAATTCCTCTTTTGCAATTACAAACGCCGTAAACAGGTGAGTCTGTAATTGCCGATCTGACTTGTTGATATGCATTATATGCACCGTCGCTGATAATAACGTGCGTGCGTTAATCGCGCCCAATTTTCCGGGTCGGAACAACATAATCTCGACAGGTGTTTGCCCCTTAAGTGTTTGATCTTATCGCACACACGTTACATCAACGAAATGCAAATTATTTTAATCGAAAAATATTAATTTTGTAATGCAAAATATATAGAATTCTTGTAAGTTCGTTCGCTCGTCCCGAACACGTTGACCTCCTGAATTGAAAATAAACGCGAAAAATGGTACTTTTATCGACGTAGAATTTTTTTTATCTGACAATATTAAAAAAAAAAAATTTCCAGGAAAAACGCTATCAAACGTCTGGAAATCTCTCGAGTACGCGTAATCGTATCGCTCGTGACGGAAAACAACCTATCAGAAATGTGCTATCGATAACGATCTCAAACACGATGATATTTTTTTAACGTCCGGCTGCGTCACGGGTCAATCATCAGTGTCCGATTGTGAAGAGGAAACTGAAGTGAGGAAGAAGAATTGAATTTGAAAATGTGTGTAAGAAAAAAGTGGCGTTAAATTTTATACATGATGAATCGTATTACTCACACACCGATTAGAAGAATTTCTCCTCTTTTTTTCACACTATTCGAAGCACCGGTGTATGCACGTCACACCGTCAGGTATAAATGTCAGTAATGTGGGAGGCAAAGCGTATCTGGCCTCAAAGAAACACGTCGAGAAACACGTCATTCGATAATGCGCCTGCCTCGAGACTCGAGTTAACACGTGGCGCACGCAGGAGGTAGAGAGTGTTACAGGAAAGTAGACGGGAACAATGAGAACTGTAACATGTTTTTTTGCGTCATTATAAACAAACAAACAAACAAACAAACAAACAAACAAAAAAAACGATTGAGATTTAACAGCGTGTTTATGTAAAACTTCATGTAAAAATATCACTTCAAAGTCCATCAATATCACACATTTCTGATAATATCGATTTTGTATTAACGTTGAGAATCGAAGTAAAAACTATGTGCACAGTTTTAATTTTGAAATTATTTTCGATAGAATTTTAAGTGTTTAATCTCGTGTGAAAAAACTTGTTTGCAACACACACTGATTGAAGTTCAGAAAAAATTTCAAAATACAACAAAAAAAAAAAAAAAGAGAGGAAACGGGTTTAATTGGGTCTGTCATTGATTGCAATTGCTTCGTTATTTTCTGTCGTTACGCACTTAAGCATAGCTGTATCAGTAACAATGCATTGTGCAGTCAAATAGGCATTCACAATAGAGTTTCATGTGTCGTGTATCGTCGTAAAGTCTCGTCTAGAGTTACCTACCGAAGGAACGTGTTTCCGATCAATGCGCAAGATCGATCCATCCGTAATGTTGCGAGCTGTCGTAAAACTTTTAACATTTACGTAAGATTAAAAGATAGTTTTTTTTTTCTCACAAATGACTTAAATACAAGTTTTGTTAAATTGTGATGCAATTGATTTCAAAAATTTCCAAATCCTTTCGTGTACATACGATTTTGGTAAATTTTTGAAACACCCTGTACAAAAACAGCTACGAGCCTCATCGAGAGTGTAGAGCGAGGAACAATCGCTCACACAAACTCTTACGTAATCACGTCGCGGAGTCGTTTGTGCACAGATCGGACATGCGTTTCATCTGTCAATGTACTTTCGAGCGGAAATTTGCAGCAACGCGCCTAACAATTTGCATGTTCGATCAGCGTGCCGAATAATAATCTCGTTCGACGTCGAACAATGAGACGAGATGATATCGATCATCGCCCGGAAGTGGGAGGCGTCTCGATAGGAAGAAACATTTTGAAAGAGGAGTGGACTGTAAAATTTTATATGTATATATATATATATATATATATATATATATATATACACACACACATACGAAGGAAAACAGATTTTTTTCATCTTTAAAAACAGCATCAGCGCGTTATATAAATTAATACAAAAAAAAAATATAATACAACATGCATTATACCGCGATACACTTTTTCAATCGCAAATGAGTGACACGTAACGTTATTCAACGTGTTTAGTCAACAATGATTGTGTATTGCCCTCGTGTAAATGTTTGCGCACAGCATATTGCGCGAGCAAGTCTCGCTAATTCATAATATTAGCCGTGATGGGTCGGCGAGCCATCGAGTTAACTCACCAAACGTCGCGTCGTAAAACGAGGCTTTGCCTCCGACTAAAAAGCATCAAGTGGAACAAACATTTTTCAGATCGAAAAATATCAATAACAAAATAATGAGATGATATAAAAAGAGTGCTAGTAAAAACTATCATGTCACATCGCAATAAAAAAAAAAAAACGAAATAATCGTGTGCGTGAAAAAAGCCGAGCGAAGATATGGAAACGAATCGATGATCCGAAGAAACAATCCCGCAAAATTGTTTAAAACAGTTAGTGCGTGTGTAACGAGATTTTCTTAATTTTGAACGAATTAACGACGAGAAAAAAAAAAAGCGCCGGAAGAATAACACGAAATTTCTATCTCTCACCGTTAGCGAACCAATTATAATATATCGCAGCGCGTAAACTGTTGTTATGATTTCAAGCGTGACAATTGCGAGAGACTCTCACAGAGAGACTTTGTCATCGCCGTTAATCGTTCTGCGTGTTCATCTTTTCTCGGAACGTACCGCTCGCGGCGAACGACGCCCAGTTCCAGCGCCGCGCGATGAAGAGAGCCACTACGAGAGAGATACGATCGATCGAAAAAGAGGAAAGGAAAAAAAAAACAACGTCAATCACCGGAGGAAAACTCCGTGAACATTTCCTGATTCATTCAAGCGCCGTTACGCAATACGGGACGCTTCGCCGGATTTTGAATGTAGCTTTTTTTTTTTTTTGGTAAGGAAAAGAATCGGAGAACATCAATTTTTGCTAATATCTCGCACGCGGGATAATCTGGAAAATATCGTCATTACAAATTTGAGCAGATTTTCAAAATCGATACGTCCGACAATTTTAGAAGAATAAAAATTACGGTAGAAATAGAATTTGTGAGCGAAAAGAAGTAAAATCAGAATTGGGGAAGGTGGAAAAATTTCTTTGGGAAAGGGAATTAATTACGCAAATTGATTACACAAGTAGTTACACGTACATGACGATGATTCTGGGACATCCTGTGCGCGTCATGTTCTCCTTAATTGGCGTTCGAGAACCAGTAACGAGGATGTTGGTAAAAAAAAAACAAAAAAAAAAACACAAATAAATACAAAACTCAAAATACTCTAAGTGCAAAATTTTGTTCTCGCTTCGCTTGTTTCCGATAAAACAAGAAAAAGCACATCTCTTGATCTCCATGTCCACAATGAAGATGCATTTTGAATGTCGGACGTCGTTGAGTCTTCGTTATCTCATTTTTTTTTTACCCCTATTACGTAAACGCCTTTAGTCCTAAACTTCATCCCGTCTCGTCGTTACCAAGCGGCAACTTCAAGCCGGATCGATTTGGTCGCGATAGAAATTTCATTATGGCGATCTCCCTCTCTCTCTCTCTCATTTATTCCGAGCGAGATCGAAACCGGCAATCTTGGATATCTATTTGGATAAAATATCACAAATTAAAAAATCGTACGAAATATTTAGCTGTTGCAATGGAGAAAGAACGATCGATCGTGTGCGTCTTGCTCACGGAAAGATGCGGCGATCACACATCCTCGCCATCATCCTCCGGTGCCGGTTTCTAACCGCGCGGTAACCACGGGCATTCCCCTAACCCAAAAGAGCATCGTCGATCGAGCGCGAGCAGCACCTGTCTCTAACCGGAATCAAATGCCGGCGAGGAATCTGATACACGCGATGGAAGAAAAAAAAAACTTGTGTCTAGACGCTCGATCCGTCTGAGCAATTCAAGCTGAATCTTGCAACATCGATCGGTACAGACTGGCAAAGTAAATCTTAACAGATTATAAGAAGTAGATTTTTGTGAAAAATTCTTTATGTCACACCGTTAATCGTGACTGATATTTTTGCTTGAGACTAAATACCTGAGAGAAAATCAAGTTGATTGATCATTAGTGACAGTACGATCTCTCTCTTTTTCTCTTGAGAGAGAGAGAGAGAAAAGGATACGAATATGGATCTACGGATCACGAGTTGGCCGATTGTCATTCCTACATAATCGTGACGTAATAATTAACGGGATTACACGCAAAAATATCATTCGGTATCATCGGTGATTTTGATACGAGACTCACTCACCTGAAGGTGCACGTAAGACGACGACGAGAAGCGACGGCGAAGACGAGGGATCGGGCGATCGAGAAACGCACGTCTGAGAAAAATCCGACACACGTAGCCAAGGCGCGAGTCAGAAACGAAGTGACGCGGCGCGGCGCGGCGCGGCGCGGAATCCGCTCGGCGCGTCGAGGAGCCTCTCCTCCGCTCTCGGCCAATCGCCGTACTCCTCGCGATCCCCACTCGTCGCTACATTCAGTTCCGTCGTTCCGCTATTTCTGCCAGATGTGCGAAGAAAAGTTTCCCGTTGCTACCTGAAACCCCGTCTGGAATTCCACGCTCGCAAATTGTCGAAACACCGGGTGCTTTTCGAAGGTGAACTTGAGTTCGACCGATTGTTCTTTACTTAAATCACGTTCGCACGGACGATCTCAACTTGATGTGTTTTCGAGATAGGATAGGATACGACCATCTGCGCGTTCTTTGAAGAACGAAAGGAGCAACGCAATTGGGGAGAGACGGCGCAATTGCTCTTAGCTTAGGTACATGAAGTTGGTTTGAGATATTATCTTAAAACACAACAAAATTTAGCGCGCAACTTCTCACGCTAAGACATTTTTACACTCTATAGCTGTCATCAAGATTGCACCGTCAGGATTGGAAAGAGGTTAACGGAATCTCTCGAACCTAATTGTTGCTGAAGAATCTAGCTAATTTTAGGTAATTTATAAAAAAAGATCACATCTTTATTTATGTAACTATGTAAGTTTATCGAAGTTATAAAAGTCGAAACTTAAGAAACTTTACAGTTTTCTCGCGTGTGCGCAGATTTATACACACTGAACAAAGTAGAATTATATTCTTGAGAGAAATACACACAAGAAGAGTTTCTTGCAAAAGTTTATATCTTTATCTTTTTGTTATCTAGAATATATGTTGAGAGATTTATATACGTATATATATATATAGAGAAAGAGAGAAAAAAGCAGAGAGATATCTTTAGATCGATGCATATTAGCGAGGAGTCAACGACATCACGCTAAAAGGATCGTTCACTCTCTTTATCGTCGATCATGAAATGAACCGACTACTACTACTCTTCGCGACATCAAGGCCAAGGTCTCGCCGTTATATCGGTAGCCAACTGAAAGCTCGCGAAATCGTTTTGCACACGGATATGTAGCTTCAGCTTAATTACGCAGCTGATACTTTTATACGTATGGCTTCTGCGGGACATGGCTTTTATTTCTGCAATAGTAGTATTCGCGTTTCTCTATTTTGCCAATACGTCGCACGATATTTGGGGAGAACGAAAAAATTTAATAAATTTACTTCTCCCTCTCTTCGGTCGCTCACTCTTCAAATTTTTCTTCTTGTACCAATTTTTTTACTTTCTGGTTTTTTTTTATTTTATTAGATCTATCTTGGCGCACGTCTCTCCCCGATCTCGTCGCGGTTCGGGTTTCCTCGACGTTCCATCGTTCCCGATGTTGGGGGATATATGGGTCACTTGGTGGTTTTCGGGGAACGGCGGGATTCCGGGAGAGTGCTGTTACGAAATCAGCTGTGCACCCGCTCGGGTTGCTCTAGGTCGTGCCAACCCGGCGGGAGAACTATCTCCCTCTCTCCCATTTCCACCCCCGCAGAGAGGAGACTAAAGGTCGCTTGCAAGTAGATCAATACCGAACTACCAACATACTTACTCGCTCTCCTCCTCTTTCACTGTACATCAATAAGAGTGCGTTAAGAGGGAGGGGGAGGAAAAAATAAAATCTCCTCTCGTTGTCAAAGGATCTATGCCAATGTCTCTGCTCTTTTCTCTTTCTCTCTTCTGTCAGTATTCTATCTGTTTCCGTTTATGTTCTATTTATATATATATAGTATATATATGTATATATCTAATTCAAGTAGGTGTGCAACGACTTGCGAGGAATTTTTTTCTCCATCCTAAATCGTTCTTTGGAACAGATTTAATTGGAGATAAAATAAGTGTGGGTTGACGCAAAGTACCAAAAGATAATTACCTCGTAATGAACGTTTCTATTATTTGAATTTCTCCGTAGACATGGCTATTACAATCAAATGTCTATGAAACTATCTCAAATATTGGCATATTAGTAGACAAGATTATATTAATCCAGGCATTATCTAAAATAATATCAAATAATACAACAGATGGTAGAATTCATGCGATGGTTGCAGAACTGATAGCAGGTATGTTTGAGACTATAATATAAACATCACAGAGACACACCACAATGTCTGTAGCTAAATACCTAAACATGATTACAACAAACTTTTATCTTCGATTAGCTATTTATTTATTTATTTATTTTTTGATAGAGCGATTGATTTTAATTTTGATTGCGTTTAAATTTATTAATTGGCGAATCAGCTTTACGCAAAACATTACATAATAGCATAACTGTGCGTGCGAGAAGTCGACTTTTATTCGCTGATTAACTCTACGTTTCGTTTTATCTGTCCTTTTTTCAGACTTCCGCATGCAACTCCCTCGAGGGATATGAAAAAAAAAAACTTAGCAAGCAAATATTTGTTTGCCGAGCTGCTTTGAGGCATCGCGCGGCATCGACGCGTCTATTTTTAACTTCTCGTGTTGAAGTTTTGAAAAACAAACCTATAAATTGCACCAGGTAACAGTGAGGCAACATCTCGCTCTATCGTGATATTTCAACTAAAATCGCGCGATCAAAATTAAATCTCTTGCAGTTACAAACGTGCGCGACCGTTGACTTGACAGAAAATCAAATTTATTGAAGTATGAATATAATAATATTGTTGTAAATGATTGAATTATATAAAATACAATAATAATGGAATTCTGATTGTTCATTAGACAGAATTTGACTCTTGATTGTTGCAATTTTCGTCTACAATTTCATATGCAAACATGTGTGTGCACGCATAATTAATATTTATATTAAATTAGCAGATGTAATAATAGTACAATTACACAAATTACAGGCGCAAAATCCAACCAAAATCTCTACTGTGAGATCACTGTCAATGCTGAGCACCTGTTATGTAATACCTGCTAACGTTCGTTGGATCGAGTATACTCGTTTTCCGCGGAAATAAACTGAGCCAAGAACGCCAGGTACGTGTACCTTGAAATATATACATATATATATATATATATTGCGGCACGGCCATTCGTTCGTTAATGAGCGGTTTCTTCAAATTTAACACGCTTTTATTCCACTCGTGCGTAACGCGGACTATTACCCGCACATATTTTCGCTTAATCAAGTGAAAACCTCCGCTGTGCAGCCTCTCGGAACGGCCTCGACATCCGGTCGTCGTGACTGGCCGCCTTCGTAAAGTACCTCCGCCCATCAGGAAGTAACGCAAATTCGTTGTACGAAGTTTCTTCTCTCTCGCACAACTTTGTGTGTTCTCGTTCGGCTCATTCGCATTGTTCAGCAATTGCTTGAAGTCGCGTCAGCATCTACGAAAAATTAGGATTTTCTTTTTCGCAGAAACTTTTCGTTTATTGCAATCATCATGTTGACAATAATTGTGAGGATAACGTCGATTAATTTCACGTGACGACCGAAGCGAAACGGGAAACGCTTGACGGTAAAAAAAAACTTGTCGACCGTGGCCTCGTTTGCGCGATTTACGCGGTGTACGTGATTGAGGGAAAATAAAATTGGGAAATTTTTTATTCGCCAGGTGCTGCTTCGCCAAGATACTTACTTCGCGAAGTGCCGGGGACGATACAACTTCGCGCGCGCGAGAATGATATTATGTCACGAACGGCGAGAACTCGCTCGGCGTGTGTTCAGGACAAGAGCCAATGGCCGGTAGACCTTAGTAGCGATCTTTTGCCAAGTGATGAAAATTTTCTCTCCTCTCGTTGTGTTGGATTTCTTGCTACATACCCGCGGCGAATCGGCGACCTCGCCCAAGGTTTCAGCTCAGCTGGCTTTATGAGGCTTGGTCAGTTATTACGAAGTGTTTTGTTTTTGTCGAGCAAATTTGTCAAAGTTGCCGTGCAATAGGAGCAAACAAAAATTTCGACACAAATATTATATATTAACAGAATACTCTCTATTATCAATGTAACGGTTAAAAGTACACTGTTCGATTCAAAGACTTCGGTATCATTCTACTTGATGAATTTTATTCTTCGTGTATCTATCGCATACAATCGGTCGTTTCCTCGATAGAATTGTATGTGCCAGACGGGCAGCTAGGGTGAACAGAATTATACATTTAGAACGTTTGCAAGTTCCAGGATCTTTCAGAGGAATCTCTGTGTGTCTGGCTGGGACGCCAGAAATACGCGGTTAACGGTGCGGATGCACCGGGACGAGAATTGTTCCTCTCTTGCCTCGTCTTTCTTTTTTTGTTTTTTTTTTTTTTACACACAGTCGCGAAGATCAATCTTCTCGCGGCACAGTCGGTCCAAGTAATCACGAGACTGTTGTTTGTTCAAAATAGACGGTGTCTTCTTCTTTCAAAAGATTCAATTAAGAGTTCAGAAAACCAAGTGGCGAGCTCATAAATTTATACAAAAACAGAGTACGGTTTATATTAGCTTGGAAAAAATTGTAGATTAAATTTTACAAGTTGCGTAAATGTTTTAATTCAGAAAAAAATTGTTTTAAATAGGAAATGTACAAAAGATAAGGAAAAATTTTTAATTAAAAAAAATTTAAAGAAAGGCAAATAACTAAAACAAATTGTTTTGAGAATTACAGAATAAGAATTAAAAAAATGAGATATACGGCAAAAAGAAACTGATATGAGTGAAAATTGATGAACAAACACATTCAAGTGCAGTCGCCCGGACATGTGCAAGCCTAATGAAAGATATTTGTAATTGCCTCTGATGAATCGGTCTGATGGCTTCGACCAAGTTGAGGAGTTGCCAAGAGGCGAAATTAATTGAAACCAACGCAGGCGACATGAGATTATGTGACAGAAGAGAATTACATTGTGTGGAAAAGTAGTAGTTGGGAAAATATAGGAATGCGAAATAAGTTCGAAATGAAAACCTCTGCTTCTTAGCTCGATGATGACGCGCGTACGTACTAACGGACTGTTCTCTTCGGAACATTAGCGAAAAGACGCACGTGCCATCCGCCACGACGTCTCCGCGACGACGTGATTACGTAAGGAAGTTCGTACCGCAAATCGATATCATCGCGAAGTTCTTATCCGTAAAATAGCAATGATTTAGAGAAGTTGTAAGAGTCGATTTAGAAGTTTTAGTTCTTATTTGGAAAAACTCTTGAAACTTGTTTGACGATACTCTTTGTTTTTAATAAGAGTTTATAAGAATTTATATAATAAATAAAAAAATATTTTATATAATATATTACACAATTTTTGTGAGAATAAAAATTCGAAGTAAATTTCCAAATTGCAATTTAATCGAGCGAATGTGCGCGAACATCTGTATCGTTTAGATTTTTATTTTACGTTCTTATCACACGATTCTTATCATTGATAGCACTTTCCGGCAAATTACCTGGTGTTTAAAAAATCAATAGATAATAAAAAATGCACGATAAAATGTAATGCGGCAAATTCTCATATCTCATCTTCACATCGGTATACGAGCGTATATGTTAGCAAGTGATTACATCTACTTAATATCGGATAATAGATACGTGTATATGTGCATGTACAATGTAACTATTATTAATATTTTCTGTTATATCGATTTAACAATTAAAACTATACTATTTGATTCAAAGATTTCAGTGGACGAAAATAAATATCTACTTGATGGCAATTTTATTCTTCGTGTACATATTGCACGTAATTGGTCGTTCCTCGATAGAGTTATATGTGCCAAACGAACAGTTGGGATGAACAGAATTGAACTACCTACCATAAGTAAGACCGGCATAATATCGTCGCGCAAGAATTGCAAATATATACTTTCGATCACAGCAGATATATGAGTGACAGAACGATGTTTCAAACTTCGTATATAAAATATTGAATAAGCGCAAAGATTTTGATGAATTTCGTGAGAGAAAAAATAGACCGAATAATTTTTTTAAGAAAGGATGAATAAATTGTTTTTAATAAAATTGGTTTAAATTTTTTTTGTCGCACAATCGCCATCAGAATTTTTGCACTCAATATTTGCGGAGACGATTGTTCTTGTAGAAATAGAAACTGTAGAATATTCCCTTCGGGTTTTCTAGTTTTCTTGGCTGAGACAGTGACAGTGGGCAGTGTTTGTTTACTGCCAGTTAACGCTTTCGAAAATTGTTTATTCCTAGTCTAAATGCTATTAAGATGTCGAAAATTTTATTCGCACAACGATACATCAAAAGAGTTTCACGTCTGCGGTTGAGAGGACGTCACGTTTTGTGAAATCACATTCCGGAGGATTTTATTTTTAATTTTCGCGCGGTTTATTCATCCGAGTAACTTCCGATTACGTTAACAATTGCGCGAGCAAAACTTTAATGTAACAGGCGTGGCTTTTTGGCCGCGAGATAACTTTTCTCAAGACGTTCTTCTCCAATGTCGCGGTGGAGCCCGGAAAGCTGGGAAAGCGATCTATTTTCGAGCTCGAGGAATCGCTGTTGTCAGGCGATCTTCCGACTCTCTATGCGTAGCTTTTTAAGAGAGGGTTTAGAGAAACGCGGGGAAAGTCACTCTCTCTCGAAATGTGTTTTTTTTGTGTTGCGAGTCGCGTTCAATTTAAATGTTAAAAATGACATTAAATTTCAACAACTAATATCCAAAACCGTTTGTTGTTTTAGGAAACACTATTCGCGAATGTGGATAACGAGAAACATAAACAATTTGTTTATTTTCGATTTGTTTCGTATGTTAGTCGAAACATTTGACATGGTTTAAATTAAAATTAAACAGAAACAAATATATTGACGCGTAAAATTATAAAAAAACACGATGACTGAGATAATGTTGTTGCTTTTGTATTTTTTTCGAAGAAAGAGGGAGAGAAAGAAAAAGACTAAAAAATTAGGAAAGTATTTTTTTTTTTTTTTTTTTTTTTGTATATAATAAGCATAAACTTTTGAAACGCGTGTCTCTTTCTCTCGCTGGTTCTCGCCCCGCACCGGTTTGTGTGCAGCGTGTGGTATGTTACGTATGTTAATTCTATTCGCTAGCTCTATTTCTCTCACTTCAGCTAATTCCACCCGCGGTGTGGAACTTGGTTGGACTGACTCTGCAAACGACGTTTTCCGGCGTCTCTCTGCGTATGATATTTTGAGAGACAGTCGTCAACTCGTATCTTGACGTTCAATCCTCCAATCCTATATCAGAAAGATTATATTCGACGTTATTCCATCATTCCCCCATGTTTCGCTAAAAAATCACCGTTTGCATTGACTTTTAAAGTATATTTAACTACACGTATTAACTACATGTGTTAAAACAAAATTAAATATTACAAAGATTATATATATATATAAAATGCGCACCTTTAATTATATGTTTTTAGGAATGAAAAAATAATTTGAAGAATTATTTTTTTATTACTTTGCTGTTTTCACATTAAGTCAGATTTCAGATATTAAAGTAAAAAGATTTATGTGCATATATAGTGTGTTCTTTTTCTATCTCTCTCTTCAGGGTTAAACAACGAGAATTTGGAATTTGTCGGTAGATGTCGTCACCTGCCGCTTTCAGTGGCCGGATTAAAATCGGTCGATAAAAAAGAACATGTATCTTCAATCGATCTTCGTATCGATCGCTCATAAGACAAACTTTAAAGATTGCAACCTCCACTCTTATTAAATCACTTAAATAAATTATATTTTTGTGCGAAAAAATATTTTATTAGATGAAGAAACACATTCCGATTGACATGATATTTTTAACGTAATTTATTTAAAAAAAAAAAGAATATTTTTAAGAATATATAAAATGTACTTTTATTAAATATTTGATAAATAGATATCTAGATATAGAATAAAGTTCCGCGAACTTCATAGATATCGATTAATTCGCAACGCGATAGCCGTTCAATACAATTATGAATATTTTATATTCCCTGGTCGCAATTAATTGGAATCGACTTGTGAACCCACATCATTCGTGAGAACGCGATTCTACGACAAATCGCTTTCTCATGACGTGTCCGTCGAGGGCAAAAACGCCGCGTTCTATCGTCCCGCATATAAGATTGTTCACGTAATACAATATAACACGTGACGGCGGGTGAGAGCAGTTCACGAGATATATATGTATATATATACGTAATATCTTCTCGGATCTAAGTGGTTTTATATTCACGGAAAAATACGGAAAAATGTGCCCATATATGCAGGTCGCTGCATCCCATTTGAGAATCTGACTCACAATCTAAAACCGAGAAATTTCATTTTCACAACGCAATTGTATTCAAAGAGCTTTTTTTTTTAAGAGAGATTCGAGTACAAAGAAAAACAAATTGTAAACAATTGTTCTGTCGCACAGAGAAAGGAAAGGAATATGTTTTTTTTTATGTGTGCGTGTTGAACGTAGTTTTATATAAATTATCATCTATAACGATATTTATTTATTCAATTTTATAACAAAGTTTTATAAAAATACTGCGCACGCACATCTTTGTTCAGTTTGTTCTTTTTTTTTTTTTTTTTTTTTTTTCAGGAAACAATTAATTTATTCCGAGGGATGCGGTTGAAAAGGCAAGCACCCACACGAACGTCGCCGGTAAAGTACTGTTGGGAGTCCTCCAGGACCCCGTATGGCGAAACCATATGCTTTCAAAGTTTGCCTATATGCTGGCTGAGAGAGAGATGACTCCACCCGACACGCGACCCGCAGCTATGTATCCTAAATACTTCATTCTCGCTTTATCGTAACCGAGAGAACTGTCGATATCTGTTGAGATCTCTCTATATGTTACATAAATATATGTAGAGGCAGGAGAAACGAACAATGAAAACACCTTCATTGTTCGTTTCTCCATTCGCTTCGGGACATTCGCTTCGAAATTGGTATCATCTCGTTGGAACAGGTAAAGGACATATATCGAGGTACGATTAAAAAATTAAACTAACTTGAGCGAAACTGCGCAAAAAACTATTATACGATTTTTAGAAATTGTGCAAAAATAAATTTTACCCAGTACCATGGTAATGCGAGTTTCTTCATTAAGTGAAAAATTCATGTAATTATTTAAATAACGGATTATTCGAACAAAAGATGTTGCGCTGCGTTACGAGCAACACGTGGTAGTACGCGCAAATACACTAATGGGGATGCAAATACGACGGACACACGAGCGTGCAACACTTTGCCGAGAGTTAATCAGGATACGACGTCATCGTTTAAAGCGTCGCATTTTCTCTCACTTCGAAGGGCGATATGTGCGCGCGATATGTGAGCTTGCGAAACATCGCAGTGTTCAAAACATGCGATTTGTGCTTAGATATTAATTCCGCGAAACGCAATATGTTTTAATATATCCAGTCTCTGGAAAAAGAAAATCAAACTTCGCGCTTTTACTTTTACCGTAAAACAAATTAAATCCGACAATGTCGCGATTGTCAAACTTGACATTTTCGAATTTTCTCAAAACTGCTTTGTTTACAAATAAACAAGGATACAACACATCCTCTCCGCGCACGCGTACCCGTATTTTCGAAAAGTTAAAGAAACGAGATTCACATGCTGGGTCGTGTGCCCAGAAATATTCGTATTGTGCGGAGATTTTATTCTCGATAGAGACGAATGGGTCCGAATTCTCACGTTTCATTGTGTATATCAGATTCGAGAAAGCTACCACCCCATGACACGTTTCTACAATCTCCCTTCTCTTTCTCGTCTTATACTCACAAATTTCTATTGTAGCGTCATAACGTTGGATTGGTAATGTTGTGTGTAAAAATAAAGTCAAGATTTTATTTTACCATAAGAGACACTTATGTTCTTTTCTTCTTCTAAAGTGTTTCAGAGATAACTCGTAACTTTTCCAGTTGATACCAGTCTGACTCTCCTGACTCCTTTGAAAAAGATATAAATGAGATAAAAAAAAAAAGTATGTAGGAAAACGTTTCGTGTTGACATAAAGCAAGCAAACTTCTATGATACTTTGCTGATCGAGGATTAATAATACAATTTAGCGATCTCAGCAGGAAGAGCCTGAGAACGTAACATTTTGTCGATGATATTCGCGGCACATGGAGAGAAAGAGAGAGAAACGTGGCGGAGGTTTCCCGTCGCCTTCGCGCAATTACGTCCAATTGTGGCAATTTAGACCAATTGAGCGTTAACAGGCTCAATTGGTGGGTCCCGATGCTGCGGGCACAGCATCGTACGTTCGTCGTTAAACGCTCGACATACCTACGACGTAAAAAAATATGGATGACGTGCAGAGAAAAAAGACGACGGATCAAGTTACATCTCTCTTTCTCTCTCTGTCTTTCTTTCTCTGTCTCGTGTTTCAAAGTTTTTTCTAGTGATAACAGTATGATCGCTTAAACTTCCTTTATAAGAATTTGTTATTAGTGTGGCTAAAATAATACTTATTTTGAGTATTAATTAAAGTGCCGCAAAATAAGCAAGAGTTTACTTTTGTAATAGATTTTCGAAAAATCTTACTCTTTTATCTCTTGAAATTAGCACAAAAGTACGCTTAAGGTTCTTATCAACCGGCATGTTCGTGAGAGATTGTTTAAAAATAAACAACTTTGTAACATCAAAATCTGTCGTACGTTCGTTAAATTTATATAAATGTTTAAAGAGTCGGCCGCTCGTTTGAAGATAGTTTCGAGACATCGATCTGCTCTTACGAAAATCATGACATAAATGTATCTAAAGTGGAAAATATTTGTTACCATTGCGCGTTTCTTGTTTTGCGGATAAATAACTTATAACTAGACACAAAAACACGCAAAATAGGAATCTGTTATTTTCACACTCTCTCTTTTCTTTCAAAGTATAATTAATAAAATAATTTAATATATGGACATAAAAAAAAAAGAAATAAATTAATTTGCACGTCCATACAATTCTACATTATCGAAAGATAATTTCAACGAGCTCGGATGCTCGAAGCAAAGAGGTGGAGTTGAAGAGGCTGAACCGTTTTGCCCGTCTGTTCAAAGTAGAGGGGCGACAACGTATCGCACTCGACTTCTTCTCTTATCTCTCTTCAGGCTTTGTCCAACCGCGTCGCAGATGAAGTGGGGGAGCAACTGGTGTCTCCTTTCTTATACACTTCACATCTGTTCGTCTCTTTCTCTCACGTTGATAATCGATCACGCGGATAATACTAATTCATCACATTCTACAACATAGTTTTCCGTTTTACAATATTCATTTGTATATATCACATACATGTACAAACACACACATACATACATACACTTCGAAAAAAAATTAAGTAATGTAAAGGCGCATTTTATATTTATCTCCTTAAAAAAATAAATTTCAACAATACGAAAAAAAATACAAAGCGAAGCAAATCGTTTCCAGGGTGTAAGCATAAAAAATTTTTAAAAATGTTTAAGCGAACGACCGCGTACTGTTTTAAGTAGATTTTCTGCTCTTGTTTTGAGTGTTTCTATAAACTTTTTTTCTCACATTTTTCTCTGTCTCACGTGTTTTCTTTTTTTTTTTACACAGGTAAAAATCTCACAATTCGCCATATTTCGCTCGAGAACAACGAGACAAGCTCGAAAAAAAGTCCCGGCTGTTTTTTCGGATGCTGCTCGAAGCCGCGGCGCTCGTGCAACGTGGTACGCGCGCGCACTTCCGGCGCGCCGCCGAGCGGCGCGAGCGCGGCGAAGATACGCGATGGCGGATGAAACGCGCGTTGGTGAGAGAAAAATCACTTCCGCATTTTGCTCGCGAATCTTCCTCTCGTCCTCGTGTTCCGCTTCCGGAGAACTCCAACTTCTCAGACGACGACGACGACGACGACGACGACGACAACGACGACGACGACGACGATGATGATCACAACGCAGACGCGCGACGTGATTATTTGTAGATTAAATGTTTGTTTCCTCGCGCGCGAGGAGTCAGGATGGCGGGTGCGCACGGATGCGAGAGAAAGTCGCGGATGCGGAGGGTCAGTGCAGGAGGCTGCGTTACACTGCAGCCCGGCGCTCACCGGACCTTCACTTATATCGTCGCTCGGCTAATAACGCTAGTAATGTGATATGATTAGCTTAGTTGAGTTCAGTTTAGTTCGTATTCGTTCAATTTAGTGGTTCGCCAGCAAAATCACATCGAGTTAAACCCATTTAGGCCAGTTAAGTTACCGACTCTTCTCCTCGTTCTCTTGCGGCCGCCGTCGCCGCGCGGCTTCGGGCCTCCTGGGGCCCCGATACTCCTCGATGCACAGAAATATCTTCCAAATATGTCCGGGGAGATCCCCGAGGGGCCCGCATGCGAGAGATCCGAGGTCTTCCTCGCCCTTGAAATTGGAAATATTATTAAGTCGCCGCGGGGTGTCCGCACACTCTCGATAAAAACATCCCGCTCTCGTCTTTTACATCGTCTCTCCGTCTCAACTTCATTACGCAATTAATTTTGCGAGAGACGTACACAATACAATACGATAGAACGAGTTGCGTTACTTAAAGTCGTTCTTTAGAAGAAGATTACTTCGTATCTCACTTATCTGCGTGTTGCAAAAGAATACTTATATACAGTTTTGCAACTGTAAATTTCGAAAAAAAAAAAAAAAAACTATGTACAAAAACGTACTTCAAGAAAGTTAAAAGATTCAAGAACGGATTCTTGAGCGATGACTTTCGCCGAGATCGCAAAAGTGAGACGAGCGCTTGAAAACCGATGGACGGTCGCTCCCGGGGAGTCAGATGGAGCGATAAGCAACTGTCGCGTTTATATGTTCGCCGTGTTAAAATGACGGGTTGTAATGAATCATAACGACATGGCGCACACACCCGCATTTTATCGCGCGCGCACCTTCACCCCGAAAGAGTCTTGTCTGTTAATTGTCACGTCTCTTCTCCCCGCGTTTTTGATGCACGAAATGGCTGTATTGTTAAATCGGCTCGAAATCGTTTCACGTGGTTTTCCGCTTACCTCGTCGATCTCGATTTTTGATCCGAGTAGCCACACCGTTTGCTTCGTACAATTGAAACAAATTTTTCCGGTCTTCTCGCACACGAGTGTAATTAACAGCATGAGATGCACTACGTGCCTTTGCATTTCGGCGAATTAATAATAAACTGAAGAAAAACAATCTCGTGATTTCTGACAATATCCGCGCGAGAACGAGATTCAACGGAGACAAGGTAACGCCGAAGAGAAAGAGACGCGGATTATAAGATGGGAAACGCGTCCAGGTTTCCGTGAAGAGAGAGACAGAGAGAGAGAGAGAGAGAGAGTCTCCGGAGTCGCCGGAGAAACGCGGATGAAAATCGACGCGATGATGTGTATGCAGGCGAGCGCTAATTACCGACGACGAAAATTAACGGTTAATATACGCGCGTACACACACGGGGAACGGGGGGTGGTTTGATTGGACCAATTCGAGGCAATTCCTGGCGATTGCTGATTTCATTGAGCTTGCGCTTAAGAGTGCTTGGCTCAGTGCCACACCAACTGCCGGCCAACAGACATGGATCTCTTCTTCGAGACACAACGAAAGGTGCGACCCGTTTGCACCTTTGGCGATCGCCGCGTATATCGAACGCCGCCGCCGCCGCCGCCGCCGACTTTCGCGTTCTGGACTTCGGCGCCGAAATTTCGTTTCCCGCTCGTTCAAGTTCTCGTCCGAATCGGATCGGAAGGAGGATCCCGTCCGTACAACCAGACGCTGTGTGTAACTTCTGATTTGATGTTTCGTTAAAAATGGAAATTTAGAGAAAGGAGAAAAATGAAGAGAAAGAGAAAACGCACGGAAGAAGAAGAAGGAAGAAACGAGACCAACGATAGAATTAAAGAATTAAGGAGAACAAACAGATTTTCCAAGAATTGAAAAGAAAATGAGATTAAAATCTACAAAGTTTTCGATAAAAAAAAAAAAAGGCAGAACAACAAGTCTCCGCACGCGTGGAAACGTTTTCTTATTTATGCTAAAAATGACTCTTACTATATAACTGAAGAGAATCGCAGAAGATTTACATTGCAAAGAGTTAACTAATTAATTGACTTGTTACGCGCTTGAAAAAATGTGTAAAAGAGAAGATACCGAGCAAACGTGATGGAAGAAGAGGAATATAGGCACATCATGTACCGCACGAAAATAATCACAGTTCTGTTTTGCTTTTGTTTTATTCTGTGTGTGTGTGTGTGTGCGCGCGCGCGCGTAACAGCAAACAAATAACAAGGGAAAATTGTAAAATTGTGTACTTCGTGAAAAAAACTTCTATCAATCGGTTTTTCAAGAGGAAGAGGCTTTTGTCCTCAAAAACCTCGTCCGAGAAAAGTCTTGCCAACGGCTCAACGATCGACAAGTCACTTTTGGTAAGGAAAAAAATTATTTTTATTTCTTTCAAATTATTCTAACATTCTCTCTTTTGTTTAATTTCTGAATCTCTGTCTTGCATTTGCAGCATACTCGGAGAGAAGAGAAAGAACCACATCCTCTCTCATGATGCGATACTTCTCTCGTTTCTATTCCCACGAGAGAGCCACCCAACGTTAACCCTCGCGCGGATGTCGCCGGCACCCCCGTGTCGCCCACCCCCACGTCACACGCGGATGGAGCGTATATTTTTTGCGCGCAGGTCATCATCAGGGGGGAGAAGAGGCGGTCGCTCACTGACCGCGGTGGCCCGCGATGACGTTGGCCGAGTGGAGGAGAGGAAGGGGAGTAAGGAAGCGATGGCGGTGGACCGCGAGAGAGGCAGCATCAACGCGCCCGCATGAGGCCAGGATTGGCCGGACCCCGGGTGTGGGGGCGACCTGGGCCGGCGTGCCTCGGAAAATATAAGCCTGTGTGAGTGGCGACTGATTAGCCAGAGGCTCGGGACGGAGAGTAGTGGCGAGAGTGCCCCGTGGTGACGAGAGGAACGTGCGCGTCGCCGTCAGGGAGAGAGACGACGTCGCCGTCGAATCGCTCAGGTCCGCACACCACAGTCTTCCAAGGTCTGCCGGCGAATAATCGGCAGGCCCGACTACACGGCGCATCTTGTCGCGCGCGCGAGTTAACGCCGCTTAAAACTAATCAAAATTAATCATAACCCGGGTTAACAATTGATCGCAATTGCCGCGTTCTATTAAGGACGACAATCGGGCGATCGGGCGACGACGCTTTTTCCTTCTTCCCGACCGAGCAGGAAGCGGTGAAAGAATCACAGAAGAAAGAAAGAGAAAGAGAGAGAGAGAGAGTCGTCCGATGACAAGCGCAGTTGATATATCCAAGTGTGAGGCGCGGATTCTTAATTAAATCAAATTGGTCATCACCTTGACTGACGAGGATGTAAATCGACGAAGACAATCCGGAAGATACTTCATCGCGATTATAACGGAAGTGGTCTGTGATATTCGCCGCACATTCGATTAAGATCCGGAAATTGAAATCAACGTGTAATAAATTAGAAGTCAATACGCGCTAATTGCGGAATGGACATAGTTTCTTTTTGAAAGTCTCTTCATATATAAAGTTTATGAACGTTTAAGTGCTGAAGACTATGAAGAAACGCATTTGAACTTTGTATACTCGGTGCGTTTGATCGATTCTTGAGATTTTCTGTGAAGAAAAAATAGAAAAGATCTAGTGTCAAGATGGACGGCGATCCTTCGTGGGCCGATCCGATCTTCACGGATTTTGGGACGCGCGGAGGTACAACCGGAGCTCACAGTATCCAGGTGATGTTGAGTCTGCACGGGAACGGCGGTCATCACGGAAGCGGCGATCTGATGCCGACCGGTGGTGGTCAGCTTCACAAGCTCGACTCGTCCAACAGTCCGTCGCCGCATCATCAACACCATCTGCAGCAACAGCAGCAGCAGAAGGAGCTGAAGGAGCTCGAGTTGTCCGGCATGTACGCGACTCTGCCGCAAACTCAAGACGTTACCACTTCAACGTCCACCAGTGTCACGCCGACTTCGACGAGTCTGCAACAAGGTCTGCAACTTGGTAACGCGCTCAAGAGAAAACCGGACGATCCGATCAACGCGCTCGCGCCAGGTAACGTTCAATTTTTTTTCCTTGATCTTTATTTGTAAAAAAATATTTAAGAATATTTTTTTGTGACTCTCTGGAAATTTTATTCCCTCAAATGTTGTAAACTCTTCAACTTTTTCTTTCGACAAACTGCTTCTCGCGATTAACTTTTTAAATGACGAGTGAATTTTAATGGTGCAGTCAGCAGCGAAGCGCAGCCCCCGGCCAAGAAAGATTCGAAGAAGAAGAATGACAACAATAACATCAAGAAGAAAAAGACGAGAACGACTTTCACGGCGTACCAGCTCGAGGAATTGGAGCGGGCGTTCGAGCGGGCGCCTTACCCGGACGTTTTCGCGCGCGATGAACTCGCGATGAAGCTTTCCCTGTCGGAAACCCGGGTGCAAGTTTGGTTCCAAAATCGCAGGTAAGGAATAAACACTTGAATGACGAGATATTCTACCCGGTATGTAAAGAACTCCCCAGGTTTCGGATAAGTTTCTGCAAGTTAGAAAAAATTCATTGCAGTTGCGTTAACGCGCTTTGTCTTGATCTTTTCTTCACTTTACCTTATTTTCTTTTGCAGAGCAAAATGGCGCAAAAAGGAGCCACCACGCAAAACCGCTGGTTACATAGCCGCAGGTTCCGCTAGTCCCGGTCTATCAGGTACAAAATTCGATAAATTTCCTCCTACTAATTGAATATTCTCTTACTTTAGAAAATTAATGGTATTATTTATTTTAAAAAAATTATTTTGGTACACACGCACACACACACGTGTGTGTACATACTTCTATATTAAGAATTCTACATTTACATATAAATTCTGCTTTTTCACGATATATCTTTTACATTTCCAGGTTCCTTCACGTCGCTTAACAACACCCTAAATCCGTTTGCGTCAACGACAACCGCAGCGGCGCCGCCGGACGCGTGGGCGACGTACTCGCCGACGTATGATCTGGGACCGCATCTGAATCTACTCAATCCGTCGAACTCGCCGTACTCGACCGCGGCGGGTTTCGCCAACAACGGCAGCGTTTCGTACTCGTCGTACGCGAGCATGTTGCCTACGCAGCATGACGCCTCGCTATTCTCGACGCAAGCTGCTGCCGGCAACACCATGCGTGTTCACCAGGACTACATACCCAATCCCGGCGGCGGCGGCAGCCCCCAGCCACCCAGCGGTCCGCTCAGTCGCGCCGACTATCAGACCATGGTGACGACGCACTCGCCACCCACCCATCTGGGTAGCTCTATGTCCGAGGACGAGCACGGAGGTTGTCTGGCGGAGAAATACGCTCACGAGCAGAGCGCGGCCGACTACGGTCAGCAACAGCAACCACCACCTGATCAGAAGGACTACGGCATGCATTCGCCTCAGACACGCCAGGCTATGAAGGACCAAGTGATGGTCAAGAGCGAGCCCGGTAGCCAGCAGAGTTACGTACAGCTGCCTCCTTTTCTGCTCACTGACTCGCGGCCTCCTCCGCTCTAAATCGTTGTCCTTAGATGCCTTCTGTCACTTGTCCAGGTCTCACAACGAACGCGAAGAGTATTAGAGTCTGGACAGTGCCATTTCGGTTGAACTCGGCACCAGAATATTTATATAAAATTTATTAGCTCTTTTTCATCTTAAAATATATATTGCAGAGAGAGAGAGAGAGAGAAAGCATGGAATTATTAGCAAACATATACACAAAGCATTTGAAAACAAAATTCCGTGAATATCATTACTTGGATACACTGAAGAAAACTAAAAAGAGTATTTTTTTAATGCTGTATTATTAACGTGTTCATGAATCGTCGATGCGATTTTGACAAGCATAATCTTCTTGGTAGCTGGTTCTCCTTTCCAAAAACCAGGATGTTTTTGAGCAAGAGTCGTATATAAGTTTCATTTATCAACAAATAATATGATACCTACTTGCTAAACTCTTGAGAACTCTTGTAACTCCCTTCAAGCGACATCTTATGATAATTACCAACTCTCGATTTATTCTGTTCTCTCTGATTCTTCTCTGGATATGTTTCACTGGGGCGATCGTAGGCGGGGTCTAAATAGGTCGCTTGTCGCGGGTCGCAGATATTTCGCGGAGTTGATCGATCGCAGTGGTCAAGAGAATATGTGACATTTTATTAAGAAGTTTTTTTTTTCAAAAGAAAAACCTTCTTTTAAGTTTTGTTTAGATAAAGAGAGAAAGCGACAAATTATTAGAATTGTAAAACCCATCATAACGAGATTTTCCGTGCCTTGTGAATAATAAATACAGTGCCTTTGTATTCAATGAGAGAAAGAGTATGTGTGTGTGTGTGTGTGTGATGTCTGAGAGAATTTCGAAATATTTTTGCTTTGTATCTCGTAAAATGTATCATGTAAAAAAAATATTTGTATAATCTTAATGAGATAATCTTGCCTTATATCATATTCACTTTTTTGCAAAAATAATTTGTAATAAACAAAGAATGACGAAATTAAATCAACACGTACACATTTTCGCATTTCTCTGCGCTTTCCCCTTTAATCTTAAAATCGTATATACAGTCTTAAAGTAGTATATACGCATACTACTGTGCATGTATAATACAATAAATAATATACACTGTTTTTGAGAATTGATTTTTTACAAAAACACACTATATACACAAGTAGTAAATACATTTCTGTACGTTACGTCATTGATGACTCGTCATACTACTCAACACCTCGTGTCCATCCTTATCGTGTAAATGATTAAGATTGTTATCGATATTATTTGCGGTAATCTTGTCTTCAGTGCCTATACTGATATTTCGATCCTTCAAAAGGTGTGACGATTGTTGCCTGACATTGCGCTCGTCGAACCAGACACCGTCGCCCGTGAAGTTAGTGTTCTTCTCCAACATGTACAAACACAAAGCGAGGTACTGTCCGTTGGTAAACTTGTACCTTGAGCTTTGAGAATACTGTCGCTTTAAATCGTTCAATAATTCTTCTACTCTGGATCTGAAAACAAAGCAATAGATAACCGCAATTTCATCATTTACGTTTATCGCAATTCAATTTATAAACAAATAAACTGTGTGTCATTACTGTGAGTAAAGTATGATGTGTATGTTCTGACATATTTCGCTTATTGTGAAATGTTTCTTGAGGTACTTCAGCATCTGCTCGATCTCGACGAATCCGCGTACTTTCCAATATTGATGTTTCATCAGCACATCGCTCATGTCCACTCCCAGTTCTTCGTTGAGTACGTGTTTCAGACCCTTTTTGGATATACATAAGTTACCGACATTTTGTGCAAATCTAGAATAAATAAAAAAATACAAATTGAACAATTTATTTAATTTTTTTAAATGGAGAATTTTTTAAATATTTATATATATATATGGCGAACTTACTTGTCAATGTAAATCTTCGTAGTCAAAAGGGTGTTCGGACGAGCCCATTTCATGCAATTCAAAGTCTGAAGATACTCCACACGGTCATTGGTCATTTTCTTGTGAAAAATCACACGCAAAATTCTCGGATGCTTATACCACACGTGCAAATCCGGATGACGTTTTACATAATCTATTCGTCTGAGAAAAGTGTCATTACACATTTCGAAAATGTCAACAAAATTCATCACTTGTTTTTTCGGTATCTCGTATCGTTTGAACGAAATTAGTAATTCCTTAACGTTGTCCGCGTCCTGAAAGAGCATCTTAGGATATTTCCTCAAAAACGTTGCAATCGGTATTCCGTAAATGTCTGTGAAATTGCTCAGGAACGACCTGATGTTGTCGGCCGAAGCGGTGATGATGACGGGATTTTTTTTTATCTGCGTGAAAGTAAATTTATATATACAAATACGTAAGTAAACGATTGTTTGAAGTATCAATTCAACATTGTTTCACTTCACACTTTGATCAATAAAAAAAAAAAAAAAAACATTTGATTTTAGAGAAAAGAATTTAACTTGAAAAAAAACAAAGGATTGTAATTACCATTTGCTCGTTGTAATCAAGATCAACTCTGAGTATCTTCAATGTTTCCGCTATCATACTTATACTCTTACACTTCATATAACTGTGCAACAGAATCTCGTCGTCCAAATAAGGCAGATTGAATATCTTTGTCTTACAATGCAAAAGACAAGTCTCGTAATATTGCTTTGTGGTCATTTTGTCGTTCACTTTTAACTGAGAAGTATCAATCGCAACTTCACGACCAAGCCGATTGAATATATTCTCGACGACATTATAATCAGCTGGAATGTTGGTTTTCTCTTTGAATACGGACATTTGTCTCCGTAAAAGGTATATACCTCTGAAATGACGAAAGTTAGTGAAAGATGCTAGAAGATATTTACATAGTTGGCAAAATTGTTACGTAATTAACATATACAAAATTATATCTCACTTATTGATCAAAGATGACTTTAATTCTGATACTCCTAAATCCTTGAGCAAATTGATTCTGTGCTCCAATTTGTGACTGTTCAGTGTTATACAGGAATGAAGATCGGCAGGATGTACACTGACATTATATTTCTAAACCAAATAAATATTATTGTCACATCATATATATATATATATATATATATATATATATATCTTGTAAATAAAAACTCAACACTTTGCTAAAAGTCTCTTTATTTCAACTATAGAGTGTAAAAATTTTTAAAAATACAAAAGTCATTGATAAAATCTTTGGGAAAGTGTATGTTGTTTATGCATAGCAGTTATTTAAAAACTTAACCTTGCACACATTTACCTGGCATATTAAACAGTTGCTGAGTAACCGATGACGAGGAAAATTAAGAAAACTTGCATTTATTACCTCGTCGGCTTCGTCAGAATTAAAACCTAGATTCGTCATCAGAATCTTTTGATATTCTTTCTTCTTCAAAAAGTAAGTCATCGATGTTTTATATGAACCTATATTAACGAACCTCATTGTTATATATTTTACTTTTACTAACTATACGTTGGCTCTGTTTAGTTATACTCTACAACATATTTTTTTTTTTTTTCAATTTATAATTCGATTATCATTTCGCTTATTTTTTAATTTACGGCAACATTGGGAAACACCGTAAACCACAACCGCAAGAGAAGATATATTGTATACACTCTACTGCGAAGCACATATTGGTTATGTTTCCGCATTTACATAAGGATTACCCCACGTGATCCAAAGTTCGCTCTTTTTCTTTCGCCGTCTATCTAACCTGATCTAATCCTATTCGACTGACACGGAGGAAAGACAAAAAAAATTTACTATCATTCTGTAATTTGCAATGCAATACATTTTCTTCATATAAAGGTACACAAGTCTAATCTTATTAATAACAATAACTTTTTTCTTTAATTTTTCTTACAATCACGTATATACATAAAATCTTAATAATGCATTTAAAAATAGTAACTTATATGCGTGGTGAATAGGTGTATAAAAACATCAGTGAAGGCGCATCACTCACACAGTTATTATAAACTTCTACTGGTGTCTCTCTCTTTCTTTCTTTTTGTTTCTTTTCCTCGCTCTCGTATTCTCTCTTCAAAGCAAAATTTATTACATATATACAATTGCAACAAGTTCGAGTTGAATTTATTCTACTATCATATAGCACAATGTACAAACAATACACAGGCTCCAAAAGAGTTTTCAGAGTGCTCTTTCATTAATTGTTCTACTGTATACAGAAGTGAAGAGTGCGAGTATTTCAATTCGTAGACAATAAAATGTGAACTATATTTTTTTTGTCAAGGATTCCTTGATGAATGAATCCTCTGTTCTACCAAACTTAAGCATATTCAACGATACACTGAAGAAAAAAAAACAAAAAACAAAAGTTTTTCGCGTCTCCATTTCCTTTTATTTCGTTTTCTATAGTTTTTTTTTAGTAAAAAAATAGCTCACTTCAGTATACTATACAGTTTACTGCTTTTTTTTTTTTTACATAACACCATGTACGAGATTGATGTTTTGAAAGTGACCAATCGAATTTAAATCTCAGAAGGTTTAATTCGCAAGATCACTGGGACGCTGGTACATGGCAAAATTGCTAGTTCTGTGACAACAGCTGTCACGAAATCGGCCGGAGTCACGTCGTATGTGATGTTCAAGAGATTTAACGTCTTCTTTGCTCGCCACTTCGTTAACAAGGACTTCTTGTTGTTGTGCGGTCGAACGTTTGCGAGATCGTCTGCGTTATCTAAAACAGGAAAAAAAAATATCGAATCATAAGAATGAAAAAATAACAATTTAAAAAACATAATATATATATATATATATGTTTGAAAATTATATATTATACCTAATTCATTGCAAACGATAGAATCGGTCAGTACTCGTTCGGATGATTTGTGCGTTTCGCATGCCACTAAAACGGGAACGTTAAAAGCCTTCGCAATCAGAGCAATTTGTGCGGTACCGATTCTCGACATCACCGCTCCGTTAGCTAATATCGCATGAGCGCCAAGAAAGACTTTGCTTACCTGAAGATCGACATGAGTTAATACTTCAATTCAACTTGATAAAAATAAAAATAAATATTTTATCGCTTCAAGACAATAATATTCAAAAGTATAAATTCGAAACATTATTTCTCAGAGGTATAAGCTAACTTTTGGAACTGAGTAGTGCTGTATTGTATATTGAAGAAAAAAGAAATTCCGGAATCATTTATGGTTCCGTTCAAAGAAAAAAGAAATTCTTTTGTTTTTTTTAACGGAACCATAAATTATTCCGGTCGTTTCGGATACAAAGAAAGAGAAAAAAGTGGCATTCTTTCTATTCAATGTTGAAAATGAGACAACATTAAAATGACTCGGAAACAAAAAAAACCAGAAATACGTTTTTACAACCGACTTTTTTTGTGTCGAATTTGTGAGAATCCCCGTAGAGAAGATCCATTCAACTGTCAATCCGAGAAATAATTTAAATTCTTTTTTCTTTTTTTTTCTTTTTGCGATTTTGGTTACTTACTTTTGGCATAACGAAGCTGACAGCATTAATGAGCACGTACGAGCAATCGAGTCCGTATTTTACTAAACGTCTTAGCTGTTCTTTTCCTTCTAATCGCGGCCTGCTATCTACCACAATCACGCAAAACTGTTTGCCCGCATCGTGCGCATCCACCAATATTTTATAGATTAAGGACGAACTGCAAAGTTTTGGACAATAATTGGACATGTTCAAATACTTTCTGGATTTCAGAATTGTACACACAGACAATCGAGATAAATAACACTCACAAGCCGTATATTAAAATAACATTTCCATTCAATATTTTGCTTTCTATTCTTTGGGATATCGCCTCGCCAGCCAATTGAATCTGCTCCGAAATATATGTGTCTATAATATCTTGCAGTTTGCTCTTTGACTGGAAAGATGAAAGAACGTTACGTTATGATCAATGTTCCGAATTAAAAGAAAGAGAGAAGTAATTTTACTACAACAACAAATATAATATATTTACTTGTTCGTCCGACCACAAAGACGAGAACCGTGTCATCTGCCACTTGAGATGACGCACCGCATTTTTCATCGAAACGGCCAGCGGTCTGCAATGATGCAAGTACGCCAGTGATTCTTGCAAGTGCGCTTCGAGACCGCGAACGAAATCGGCCTGCGCTGGTTTAACGAAGTCCCGAATCACTTGTTTCATCGCGGCCAGAAGCGCGACGCATCTCGCATTGCTGCCGACTACAATCTTATTGGCATACTGAGCACCTAGTCTAATTATTGCCGGATGTATACTCGAATTTATAGCTACGTTAAATGACGAAAGTTCTCTCTCGTCGTACAGGTGTTTAAATAAATTAAGTTTGTGTGCGTTTTCCTTCGTTTTACTCTTTGCGACGTTTTTCTTTACCGAACACTTGGACACCACTGTCTCTGCACATGGCTTGACAACGACGGGGTTGACTGCTGGTTCTTTGACGTTGTCCTTCTGCAGTTTCGCCGCTCTCTGAGCCTCTTGCTTGGCTCTTCTCAACGCCCGTAATTCGGCCTTGCTCTTACCTTGTTTCTCATCGCTTTTACCTTCGGACGTGCCAACCTCCGCAGGCCCGTTTAGACGATGATCCTCGACTTCCTTAGCAGGCTCTTCCGGACCGACCCGCGACTCTTCCACGTGACTCTTCTTTTCACTTGGTAATGATTCGCTTTTCTCGGTCGAAGCACCGCTCGTTGTCGCACACTCGACACTCGCATCTTTATTCGTTTCCGCGGCGCAATGATTCTCGTTTACATTCACGTCTTTTGCAATTGTCTCCGGTATCTTGCAATTGGCCGTAGCAGCTGGGCTGATTGCTACTGCCACCTTAGCTTTCGCTTTTCCTGCCTTGGCCGCTGCCTTGGCGAGCTTCTTCGCCTCGCGCTCCGCCTTGATCTCCTCTCTCGTCTTCTGCGGCACGTTCGCTCTTCCGTCCGGCTTCTGCGACATCTTCGTCCTCGTTCGACTTGCGCAACGATCGAGGATCAAATGGACAAATCAACAAATCTCAAATATCAACATCAGAAACAGGACTGAGCGTGGCACAAGGTGTGCATGGTGAAAGTCATTGGAAGTATACTTCTCTAAACGGAGCATGGAACTCATGGAAGTACGGAGATATGTGGTAACGAAAGGCCGATATTTCACAATAGGTCGAAATCGGACGAGATTCGATTGGCTAGTGGCGCGCATGCGTAGTGTTAACGGGTGCGTTCAGACAACTCAACAGTTGCACAACGGTTGAGAGATAATTACTTCTGATTGGATCATACTTTTGGACCCGCTAAAGATTTTGAAGAATAGTCCTATCGTAAGTGATGATCTCTCAACCGTTGTCTGAACGCACCCAACGTCCAAAATAACGTTTCGAACGCTTCGAATCTATTCGCAGGATTTGCAGCGCCACATCGACCGCAATAATCGTGGAATTCACCCCGCTGCTGATGTCGAATCGTCGCGACGATATGGAAACATCGAGCGAGACGAGATATTGTTGATGGTACATACTCCGAGAAACTGGAACTAGAGATCACACGAACAAGAGCGTGAAGAAAACGTTCAAATTTTAAGAGCGCTTCAAAAATTTCAGTGTCGATCTAAACGGAGGGGGCGACAGCTGATTGGTTTGGGTGACATTTCCGAGTGAACTCCGTTACGAGAGAGGATGAGCGCGACGGCCAAACAAAGGTTACAGGATCTTCCACCCAAGGGTGGCTACGGTCCCATACAAACGGACCGCGTGAAACTGCGGAGTATTCTCGGCGGTAAAAAAAAAAACTGCAAAATTTTCATCGTTACTTCTCAATTTTCACACGTGCTTGTGTCTCTAATTCGTCGTTAAAGATTTAACGTACGTAAGAGAGAATTACGTAAGAGTTTCATGTAAACAACAAAATTATAACTTTTCTTTCAGCAAAGAGCTCGATCGCGCTCTTCATCGCGGCCTCGTCTTACGGATTGTTCGCTTATTATCTCACTTTTCTACGAAACAGACGTAACCAGATTGAAATGAGAAGCGCGCGTTTCGCTATATGGCCAGCTCTGATAGCGGAGAGAGACAGAGCGTAAGGATATATACATGTTATGTTTTTCAGGGAGTTGTTTAAAAAAAAAACAAACAAATTTAGAAAATAATTTTGAATCCCACAAGATTTGTAACTATATTATAATTTTTTGTTGCGTTCGCAGCGTCCTGAAGCAAATGAGACGCAATCGGGACGAAGAGGCGGAACTGATGAAAAATGTCAAGGGATGGGAAGTCGGAACGTATTACGGAGAACCGATATATTACTTGGACGATAAGGATCAGTACAGAGAGCCGTTGTTCCTGGAACATTTTGCTCACGGTGATCCTGCTATTGTTAATCGGCGTGCTTACCGTCATCTCTTCACATAGGAACATTCAGGAACGTCTCCCCGGGATTGCAACGCGATGGGATGTGACGCAACATGGGTTGTGTGAACCATAAGTAATCGGTGCAAGTAGTCTTGATAAAAAAAAATAAATTAATATAATTGTTGCAAATCACGTAAGATTTATAGATAAGTTTTGGAATCCACAGGTCTTGTGGAGAATAAAAACGTCCATGTGAAAACATGTATAAAATACATCAAAAACAAGTTTCTTTGCTCTTCAATTTTTGTTATTAATTTTTTTATTTATCTGACGAAGAGTTCAAATAACAGAACTCTGTCTTTTCGTGTCATTTCGATCCGTCTATAAACCTGATCTCGCACGCAAGAGAAAATTTAAGAGTTGCTTCTATGCGGGTTTGTTTTCTTTTCTCGTAGAATGTTAGATAAAGCAAACTATGTAAGAGAGATAACGTTTGAAAAAATCTCAAGATAAGAAATGTAAACTCCAAAAGTTACAACCAAGAAACGCTATTTCTATCGAAAAAGAGGAGATTCCAAAGTTTCTTCCCTAAGGTGTCCCCTGTCTCTAATCGGTCAGAGATCTTGTTCCAAGTTCCTTCCAGGTTTGTTTTTGCTCTTCGACAACTTTTGATCTTCTCGCTCGAGTTGTCCGTTCTCTTTTCGCTTTGATAAAATTGTTTCGCAAAATAAAAACGCAGCGTTTTGATAAAAAAAAAAAAAAAAAGAAAAAAAAACTTAAAAGTCGGAGCGAATGCAGTCGCGAAATGAGCGAATTCGCGATAAGACGCGAACAAAAACAACGCGACGTTGCGTTACGCAATCCTACGAGCAGCGAGAGAGATACATATATCCGATAAACAAACAGTAAATAAAAAACACAAGCGTGATTCATTGACGAATGAGGATGAGTGTATGTACAACGTGTTCCGCTTACTCGCTAGCTTTTGGGCTAGATCGCGCTCGAGAATTTATCTCGCGAGTTTCCGCCGACCGCGCCGGAGCGGCGCGGCCAATGATTAATTCGCGCGAGCGGTAATCGCCAATTGATGGGGGAGCGCGATCGAAAGGCGCACGTGGATCGCGCGCGTCGGTATATGTATATGTATTACGTCGTCGCGTATAGAGAAAACGTGCGTGCGTGCGGCGCAAAAGCCGCGTGTCCGCACGTGAGTGCGCGCGCAACGGTGTGTCCTTGAATTTTCCGCCGTTCGGAAAAGCAGGTAGCAAACGGCAACAGGAAAATACAATGAGATTTTCGTTAACGCGGCAGCATGCCCGTCCGGACCTATCGCGACGTTATTCTACGCGTCGGAACCCCCGCTGTAACGTCGTCCCGCCGGCGACGAACAAGTGTCTGTGTACATACAAGATGGCGGCGTTCGGAGCTTTCACCGTCACGAAGATCGCCAGGAAGCAGAAGCGAGCAGCGACGACGGTGCATCTGCGGCGACGTGCGTGAAGTGAAACGAGGGGCGATCGCCAACGGCGAGAGAGCTCGACGAGGCGAGCCGACCTCACCCGACGCGAAATTGTGACCGTCGGCCAACCGACGACCGACCGACCGACCGACACCGGTGCGGCGCGGTACGTGAGCACACACGTCGTGGCGTGACGCGGCGTGGGGAAGCGCGGTGTGTGGTGTGGTTGCAGTACGTTGCCTAGCCCCGGGTGGAGCGGTATCGCAGCGGGCCGAGGATCGCAGCGACGTCTCGAAAAAGGAAAGATGCACAAGGAGCGGAAAGAACGGCACATCGGTGGGCATCACCCTTAGGCCAGTGGTCATTTTTGCGCCCAATGGTTCGAGGTAGCGGTCGAGAGATAGTTGTTAGGACGACAAGACAGAGATCCAAGACGCAACGAGGTGTGGAAACCTCGAGAGCGCCGCGTAACAGATAGACGACGAGCGTGGAATTAAGGAAGCGCGGATCCCGGGCAGCCGCGGTGTGTGCGAGTCGTGTTGAGTCGACAACACGCCGTCGTCCATCGTAGTTCTCTTCGTCGAGGCATTACGAGGTAACGACGACTCGGGAGGAGGAGAAGAGTAGGAGGAAGTTGGTTCGGTTGTGCGAGTGAAGGCAACAAACACGCCTCAGTCTCTCTATCGTGTTGACGTCGTCGTCGACGTCGACGACGACGACGACGACAGGGACGACGACGACGACGCTAGCTGCGAGAAAGAGAGAGACGGCGAGAGACGCGAATTTTCTCAAGAGACATTGCGATGGCGACGATATCGATAACTACGGCGCCGACGACGACGACGACGACGACGACGGCGACAACGACGTACACGGGATCGACGTCGACTTTGGTCACAACGACCGAGACCACCATAGCGATGGAGCGGAGGAAGTCTTACCACGAGCTTTGTCGCTTGTGCGCCTCCTACGACGCTGTCAGGATGGACATATTCGGCCAGGAAGGCAAGAACCGGCAACTCATCGACAAAATACAGATATGTTTGCCGTTCAAGGTGGGTTTTCCTGTTTTCTTGTTTGTATTCTTCGTGATCTCTCTCTCTCTCTCGAGATTACCCTGTTCCTCATTTCGTTCTTTCCTCCTCTCCTCTATCTCTCTTCCTCCCTCTCCCCTCTCTGTTTCTCTCTCTCTCTCTCTCTTTCTTTCTCTCTCTGTACGTCTCTGTCTCTGCTGTCTCAACGTCGTTCTTCAATCTCCGTCTCTCTCGTCCTCTTGCAATCTCTCTCTGTCTCATTTACTCCGAGCTACCTTCCTGTGGCCCTGCACGACTCGTCCTCGATCTCATTCTCCCGAGATGAGAGAACAAGAGTGAGCGAGCGAGAGAGCGAGAAAGAGGAAGAGAGAGAGAGAGAGTGTGTGTGCGCGCGAGCGCGTGAGAGAGAGTGAGCGAGCGATAGAGAGAGAAAAAGAGAGAGAAAGAATTTCACGAGCAATTCATCCGGCGTCGACGGGGCGTTAGTGGGTGAAGGTTTTCTTTCCACCGCCGCCGCTGCGTCGTCGCCGTCGGCCATCGCGCTTGCTCGTTTACGAAGCGGCGTCCTCGATGACGAATTCCACCCAGCAACCGTCGCTTATCGTGGGTCTCTCCGCGATGGCGAGGTCGTTCCAACGCAAGAAGGAGCGTCTCGTCGCGCGACGTCCGGACGACATTTTGTTCACCCGCCACGGCACGTTTATCGCATTCTCCGAGACGCAGTCTCGACTTTTATGCATTTTTTCGCCGGCCGCTTTGTTAAACGCGCACAGCGTGTGACACGTGGCGAATTTGCTTCTGGCACACACTCCAAAACTCCCTTTACGCACACCTGCGCGTTTCAATAAATTTTCACAACGCACGTGCACACCTCCAGATCCTTCCTTTTGCCATTTTAACTATTGTATTTTATTACATATTTAAAAAATATTTCTTACTTAATAGATTTTTAATCAACTGCGTTTCACATGAGTCACAATATTTCAGAGATATGATCGAGCTTGTTTGTTTTTTTTTTTTTTTGTTTTTTTTTTTTTTGAGAAATAAAAGATAGAATAATTATTTTTTTTCCTTTTGCTCAATGTTTATATCTGATTTTAAAAGATTGCTCGATGAATTTTTGTTATTCATTTAGGAATGTGAATATAAAATCATTAAAACTTATTTATTTAATTATTGTATCACACATTCGTGTGATTTGATCATTTATTAATTATTAATAACAAATATTAATCTCACACGAAAAAATGAAATATATTTAACGTGCAAAAGCTGTAACAAAACAAACAAATTAATATTAGATCCAAGAAATTGACACTTGAAGTCTAAGAGATACATCTTTGAAACAATTTTGCAATAATTATCCTCTAAAATTATTTGGATATATTGTATGGATGTGGTTAACATTTTCAAAGTTTATTTCCAAATATACATTTCAAATTATTGTATCACGTTAACTTAGGAATGTGTTTGCAAAATGAGTCATTCAATCAATTTAATTTGAACACATTTGAATAAATTGAAACTGCGATTGTTTTTCCTGCAAAATATCGTCTTACTCATTTTTTTTTTTAAATCACAATTTGCTGCACAAGAGTGAAAAGATGTTTCCAATAATTATGAAATAAATAGACTAGCAGAACGATTTTTTGAGACAAGATGATTTTGTTTATTTTGTTTATTTTCTCTCAACTCCTCTGTTTCTCTGTCTGTCTCAAGTTTGTTAATTGGTATTTCAAAATGAAAAAATTAATAGTGAATACTTCAGAAAACGACACACAAAAATTTGCGCTAATTGAAAGAGAGATGAAGATAACAATTGAAATTTTATTATTATTATTACAATTAACTTGTTTATCGCTTTAATAAATTTTACACACAATCTTCATAGAAACAATAAAATTGTGTTTCAGATAGTGGAAGATGATCGGTTGCCGAAAGTTTTGTGTTATCGGTGTATGTACAATTTGGAAAATTTTTATGACTTCAGAACCGCGTGTGTAAATGCAAACGCTTGGTTGGAGAGGAACAGGCCAAAAGAAGATGTAAGTGACCTGATCTATATTTAGTGAAATTCTAAGAGAATTCCTTTCACGTTTTGGTGTGTGACACAATCTTTTCAAATTCTGATTCTACTGATGTTAAAAGAAATGCAAAGCGGCTTTTGCTCTTTGACTTTTATGTTACAAATTTCATTGATATCCTATAAAAAGTTCACAAAAGTATATTGTCGTTGCTATACGTATATATATAGGTGAATGACGCGCAATGCGATGAGATGCGTACGAAGCTCCTGAGGGAAAACATGCCGGTGCTCATACCCGAGGCACCCGTGGTCAATCCTAACGCGGCGTTGGGCACACCTCCGCGTTTGAATTCCGACGGCGAGGCGGATCCCGAGATAGAGGAGATCATTGACACAAGCGAAGGTACGGACGAAGGTACGAATATTTCATTCTCTTTTTTGTTTCGCAAAGTAATTTTTTATTCTCCACGTGTGTATGTGTGTGCGTATGTGTGTGTGTGTGTGTGTTTTATTTTTTTTTTAACAAACCAACAGTAATCGACGATTCGGAAGACCGGCGATCGGAGTACGAGTACGAGATGGATATGGAAACAAATCCCAGTGATTTTCTGGAGATGACGCCAATGGTAACCGAGGAGAACGAAGAGGATTGCGGCGCGAACAACGCGAGTGCCCCGATCGTTCAGGACACCGCGACGGTTCTTCCGCACACGTCGCAGCAACACGAAGTCTACGTTTGCTCTCTATGCAACAAAGCGTTCAGCTCGAAGGGTCACTTGTCTTTGCACGCGAGGATACACGCGGGTGAAGGTGACGTGATTGGCGAGCGAGTGATCACCGACGATCATACTTCGTATCAGCGGCCATATCAATGTGATCTTTGTCATAAGTCGTATTCAACAGCGAAGCATCGTTGGGGACATGTTTCCACAACGCATCGGTAAGTAAAAAAAAAAAAAAAAACCTTTTTGCATTTAACACTGTAATTATTACACATGTATAAATTATTTAATATATTATTATACATGTATATAATCTGTTGTATTCTATTACGAAGTGTGATGTACTCACACACGTTGTTAAAAAAAAAAAATCCCGTTACAATTGCTACATTTTGACAAACAAACATCCACACAGGGGACATCCTGCGGTGACGTGCGCGTATTGTTCACGCATATACTCAACGCGCTACAATCTTGACGAGCACATAAAGTCACGGCACGCCGGTCTACCGCCAAATCCCGAATTGTCGGTTTCATTTTCCCGCGCTAACGATAACGGCAATTATCAGTGCCAAACGTGTTCGATGGTGTTCACGGACTTCGCCGTTTTCAACGCGCATCGTCAAATCTGCATGGAAGAGCATCGTACGGATCTTCTTGAGCAAAACGAGGCGCAGACCAATAAGAATTTAGTTGATATATCCGACGCTTCGAGCGTGGACTCGGACGATGAGAACAAAGACTTTAAGAACGCCGAAGCTAAACTGGCGAAAAATCCACAATTGACTATATTGAAGCACGCCTTGACCAAAGGAGACAGTTTGAAACGTAATCACGACGACGCCGGCTCCGCATCCATTTGCAAACTCAGGAAAATCACCAAGACAGGTAAGAGAGACTTGATATCATCAAAAAGTTTACGCGAAGTCGTGTCGCTCTTCGCACGAGCGAATGATTGATCTCGAACTTTTTTATTGTGTCGTAACGTTTATTTATCTCGCAGATGATAGCGACATTAATTCTCAGAAAAGATGGTATTGCGAAGTTTGTCCGCAAAGTTTTGCGTCGATAGACAGCTTGAAAGAGCACGAGAGTATACACGACGCCGAGAAGCCTTTTATTTGCGTTCTATGTAAGAAAGACTTCGGCGTTAAGACGTCGTTAATAAAGCACATTATGCAAGTGCACGGCGTCGATCCCACTCCGATCGTCAACAGTAACAAATGTCTGAAGGCGTTGTCTCAGGATTGGAACAATCAGATAGACGTAGGTCTTTATGAACACACCGAGACGAAGGAGGAACCGCTGAACTCGTCATCGCCCGAGGTGAGTGTGCGATTGTGTTAGTTAGTACGTTTTTTTTTTTTTTTTTTTTTTTTTTTTTTTTTTTAAATATCGAAAACAACGTCAATGTAAACGTGCGTTATGTTACAAACACAGATGACTATGGAAAACGACGACAAAGACTTGAAAGTTGATCCGGAAAACGAGTCGGTGGAAATTGAAACAGTATTTATATGCGAGCTTTGCGCGAGGGATTTCAACGACAGAGCGTCGTTGTGGTTACACATACGAGCGACGCACAAAGAAATTGCTGGTTTTGCGTGCGGAGTTTGTCTGAAGATATGCACCGACAACATACAGTTGCAAAATCATCTAAATATGTATCACGCGGCGTCGAACCTCTTTTTATCGGTACAGAGAAGGTACGTCTATACTTTTCTGCAATTTTTATGTGTTGTGTCTTTTACATGGTTTTTGTTCAACTTTGTGTGAGAGTGTGCGCGCGATTATTCAATCAATTAAATGAAAGTTTTTTATTATCATATCGTTTATATAAAACAACTTGTTACTTTAATAAGATAAGATATATGTATGTTTTTTTTTTCTAACACATGGCTTTCTACACAAATGTTGTTATTACTGCGCACAGGTATAGCTGCACGATATGCGGTAGACAGCATGACTCGAGGAAAAAGCTAATCGCTCACGTCTCTATACATAATCTCGATCCTACATATGATCCTGCACATTTTGTACGATTAAATAGCATATATTGTAATGACAACCTAAACGGCAATGATGGAAACGAGCAAGATTTCGATGGGGATGACAGCGAAAAGGTCGATTGTTACATTTGTTACAAATCGTTCCCGAACGAGGATCATCTCATACGACATCAGAGAAACGCTCACAAGGTCGGTGAAATTGTTCCGAACAATTGATATAATCATAATTGCTCGGAATAATCTAATTTTTTTTTATTTGCAATGTTGTGAAACGATTCGAACTTGCTTGTTGCTTCAAACTGTTCGAATAAGTCGAGTGTGCGAATTTTTTGTTGTCTGTGTTTTAAAATGTGTCTGTAAAGAAAAATTAACAATGTTGTAAATGTTTTTGGAATTTTGTTTGTTGTAGCCTGAACAATTGGTTCCATTGGGAGACGGGAACGCGCAGAGCGTCAATGGCAATAGTAATAGAGCACAGTATCATTTATTCTTTGTGTGCGAGGTGTGCGGCAGTTCTCACTCGAGCAAATGGGAACGTTGGTTACATATCAGTAGCAAACATAGCAACGAATCTTCTATTAAGGTAAGTTCGAAAATTAAAGATGTTTTTTTTTTAACGTTTTATCTTGTGATTCTATCGTTACCCTGTGTTATTGTATCGTCATTTCAGTGTGAATATGAAAATTGCGAGATGCTATTTGCCACGAAATCGTTGCGCAACGACCATATCCAGCATCATGTGATTCAGGGTCCGATACCGAATACGTGCGAGGTGTGCGGTAAGCTCTGGCCTACCCGCGTCGATTATTGGAAGCATATGATGGGCGTGCACACGGCCACGGTGCCTTTTATCTGCGGTGTTTGTCTGAAAGTAGTTGCGAATGTGTTGAAGTTGCAGGCGCACGTAAGGGCGAAACATTGGCCGTTGACTAATGGTGATTTTAGCTGTGATATTTGCGGTAGACCATATTCCAATAAATCGAAGATGTCGCGGCACAGAAAGATTCACGGCCTAGAAGCGGCGCTGGCTGCGGCAGCTGCGACCGCAACAGGGGAAGGGGACAGGGACGTCGTGTGCAACAGTAGCTTCAATGAGGCGACCAGCGAAACGATGATGATCAAGCTCGAGCAAAACAACGGCGCCGCCGCGGAGGTCGAATTGAATTGCGAGCAATGTCCCAATCTGAGCTTCTCGTCCTTGGACAGTTTGTGCATCCACCGACGTTTGGTGCACGGTCTTTTCCCGTGCGATCTGTGTGTCAAGTTCTATGGTAGAACGTCGCATTTGTGGAAGCACGTGAACCGAGTGCACAAAGGCCACGCGGACGTGACTTGTCCGTATTGTTCGAAAACCAGCGCGTCGAGGGATCATCTGGCGGCGCATATCGCGAAGAATCACAGATACGTGCCCGCGATCGATAAGGACAGTCAAAACTGCGTTACTTCCAAGTCCCTCCAGAACGTGGAGGACGGCGTTCAGCATTACTGCGAGAAATGCAACAAGGGATTCCACAAACGTTATCTTCTGCGACGTCACATGAAGGGTTGTCAGAATTATCGCAAGGATCCGGGCGCGTTGCTGACTCGTTGCAGAGCCTGCGAGAGAATCTTCAAGGATCGCGCGAGTCTGCAGAAGCACATCGAGAATCATCACAGCACGTACACGTGCCACTTGTGCAACGAAACGATCACATCTAAACTGGGCATTATGACGCACAACCGCGTCAATCACATGGACCATCCGGATCTCACGTGCAGCCAACCGAGCTGCAAGAAACTCTTCCGTACAAAGGAGGATCTGGAGTCCCATAGGAAGGATCACAAATATCACAGCAATCCGAACGTGTGCGATTTTTGTGGCGACACAGTGGAGAACAAGCTGAAGTTGAAAATGCACGTGCTTTCGTTACATCGAAACGAGATCGGTGTGTCTTGCGGCGTCTGTCTCATTCCCATGAAAGATCCGAAAGATCTGAAGAAACATGTTGAAACGGAACACAGCAGCGTTCTCACCAAACCAAATACGTGTCAGGTATGCGGCAAGCAGTACGCGTCCAAATGGAAGGCCTTTGATCACACCAAGAAGTGTCACGGGAAAGTTTTCCTCACGTGCAAACAATGTCTGGCGGTCTTCACCGATGAGAATAACATACGCGATCATTACGAATACGTGCACAACGTTCCGAAGGATCAGTTATCCGTTTTCGAGTACAAAATGGACATCGGTGCGAAGAGAGATGGTCACGAAACACCCGACATCGTCGTGAAGGAGGAACCGGACGATCTGGAGTTCGACGAGGAGATATGCGACGAGAGCTCGAACGACTCGCGCAAACGCAAGCGAAACCCGAATGATACTTACGACTGCGAGATGTGTCCGGAGATATTCCTGAACCAGGACACTCTCGCCAAGCATTACCAGAATGTTCACAACACCGATCCCATTCGCATGTTCAAGAAGTTCAAGGACATCGGCGACAAACGCAAGAGAAATAGAAACAACTTCGAGTGCAAGAATTGCAAGAGACAATTTCCGACGAAGACTCTGTTTTGGAATCACATAAGCACGTGCGTGCCGCGAAATTCAATGCGCAGATACGATTTCGCGAACAACATACCGACGTCGATTTTGGAGTCTCATTTGAAGAACAACAATCAGATTCAGCGGGAGGAGCTGATGCCGCTGACCAACGAGTCCAATCTGAATATTCCCGATTTCAATTTGTTCGAGGACATCAATATGCAACTGTCGGCACAGAAGCCCGTGCCGAATCTCATGCCGTTGTCGCACATGAAATCGGGGAACGGGAAATGTTCGAGGAAGGATTCGCGCAAGGTTTACGACGAATCGACCAATACCACTTGCACGTGTGAAGTATGCGGCAAGCAGTGGCCCGCTAAGAAGCACTTGTGGCAACACTTGATACGCTTCCATCGTGCTGAAGCCGCGGTGACGTGCGGCGTATGTCTGAAACTGTGTAAGTCATACGAAGATCTGTCCGATCATCTGAAGGCCGAACACGCCCCAGTTTTGTCGCCGGAGGGTAACAACTTTACTTGTAAAACGTGCGGCAGATATCACAACGCGAGGAGCAAATTGCTGTTGCACATGAGCATTCATATCGGAAACTTCCGATGTCAAAAGTGCCAGCAGGGTTTCGCGAGCGAGGAGAAGCTCGGTGAACACGCGGCGATGGGTTGCAGCGTCAGGTCGGAGTGCGAGGATCAAGCGACCGCGGATGAGGACAACACGAAGAACGACAACGACGAGAAGGGTAGTTTGATTGCCGACGAGACGTCGGCCATCGAGGAAGCGGAGGAAGAAGCGGAGGACTTCGAATCGGAGGGCGTTGAAAGCAGGGACATAAACGACGAAGAGGACAGCAACAGCGAGGAGGAAAACTCGGAAAATAGCGACTCGGATAGCGCTAGTAGCAGCTCGAGCGACGACGAGGACGAAGAGAAAGAGGAAGAGGAGGAAGGGGAGGAAGCGGAAGAGGCAGAAGAAGCGGAAGGAGGAGAGGACGATGAAGACAATGAGAACGAATCCGGGACGAGAACCACAAGCAGAGCGAGCGACAACAGTGTATCGTGTTCTTCCGAGAGCGAAGATTCCGACATGGATGAAGCGGAAGTGCGTACCGTGCAAAAGGAAGCGCCCCAAGTGAGCAACATGTTCGAGACGCGTGACGACGATATCCAAGAGAATTTGACAAGTGCTGAAGATCAGAAAACCGATCTCGCGTCCGTTCGAACAGACGTGGAACAGACGAGACCAAGTGACGCGAATGATCTATTGGCTTCTGGCGAACCTATGAACGTAGATAAATTTGATACGTTGCATCTTGAAAAGTCGTCTGCTAAAGCCGCGACGAGCGACGTGGACTTGTCTGACGATAACGAGGACGACGACAAGGAGGAGGAGAACAACGAAAACGAGGAGGAAGAGGATGAAGAAGAGGAAGGCGAAGATGAGGCCGAGAGCGAGGACGAGACCGAGGCGGAAGAAGAGGAAGACGAGGAGGAGGAGGAGGAGGAGGATGACGACGGGCCGCCAGTGCTGAGTCCGATAATGCCTTTGTTGCAAGAAAACGAAGCCGAGGAACATAGCAACATAGATCGACACAAGCTCAGTCCGATGGTCTCTCTTAACATGCACAAAGATTTGGAAGAATGCGAAATAACGGAAGTACAAAACAGCGCGGAGAACGCGGACCCGTCGTCGAACGCGGCCACTTTCTACGCGGCTAACAACAACGATCTGTCCGTAACGTGGCACTCGGACTCGGACGACAACGGCGAACGCGATTGCGACTCGGACATCGGAGACAAGGATGTGATAGTGGTGAACAACCAGTTCGACAAGGCGTACGAGAAGATGGAAGTTGACGAGGACGAGAACTTCGTAGAGGATTCCATGGATGAGAACACGATGGACGACGACAGGGACGACGGAGCTGACGAGCAACAGGTGCACGAGATACACAATCTCGACGGGACCGTGTTAATGGTGGCGAACGACGCGGAGGGTAATCAGATATTGATAGAGCAGAACGTGTTGGATATTGAGAACGAGGATTCAAACACCGAGATGACGCAGTACATTTATCCGGAGAACGCTTACGAGATCGTCGAGGAGGATTACGCGACGCGCAACGAAGCCGAGGACATGCAAACGGACGAGATGGGCGGTGATGTGACTTACGTTCAGAACACATCGGAGAACGAGGAGGACAGCATGGAGACCGGAGACATCGAGGAGAATAGTGACGAAATACAAAAATAGTAGAACACGAGTGCCAAACTGGAGAGAAATTACAGAGTTTTGTAATAAAGTGTAAGATATATATGCATATATATATATTATATATATATATATATATAAAAATACACACACCATTTTTGCCGGAGCCAATGAGGATTTTCCAATGAGGAGGAAAGTGAAGAAGAGAGAACATCTGTCATACGTACCTTGAAAACACAAATTGAGATTGTACAGTAGAGTAAGTAAAGAGTATTTGTTTAGGAAGTGGACAACTTTTAATAGAGTATTAAAACGAGAAGAGAGAGTTCACGATGTGTGTGTGTTGTGTGTATGTATGTGTGTGTGTGTGTGTGGAGGAACATTTTTATCATTGATCTGCCGCCGCAGAGGCATTGCGTCCACAATTTCCGCGCGATATCGCGAAGCTTCCTTGGGGAAAAAAAAAAAAAAAAGATGCGACTCGTTTCACACACGGTGTACAACAGAGTTTGAAATTGTCAAGCGGGTGCACCACCAATGTGTGCACAAGCGTTACACGAATTATTGCGACAAAGAGTTACGATTTATAGTATCCTTTTTTTATGTTTCTTGCGATCAAAAAAAAACAAAAAAACAAAAAAAAAACAAAACTATCGAAGAAGATACTTTATGTGGAATATTGTTTATTTGCGTATTTCGACAGCACTTTTTTGACAATAATACACTTTATCTAGTAGTTTACATGTTGTTTCTGCGCGATGTTCGTTCGTAGGACAAAAATAGAACGCGGACATGTGTGTTGGAAAACTGATTGTTGCGAAATTAAACTAATAACTTCGTAAGTTTTAGAACTGCGCGCAGCAGAGATCGTCATCGTCTGCGTATTAATTTAAAAGTGCTTTTGTTTGCGTTATGGAAAAAAAAAAAAAACAGCGATTGTCTGGATCAAAAATTGTGCATTAAAGATCTTTTGAATCATTCGTCTGTGTGTGTTATTTTTTTTCATTCGATATCAGAGAGAGAGAGAGAGAGAGCGAGCGATGACAAAAAATTAAACGTTTGAAACGAATCTGCGCGTATGTGCATACGTAAGGTCCGAGAAGAAGCAACCGAGTACACATCCGACAAACCACTTTTTATGTCGATACAAGCGTTGTTAGCGCCCTATTAGAACACCCTTTCTTTTTTTCGTTAGTGTAACGAGAAGTGAAACAAGAATCGTGCATTCTCACTATATATATTTTTATGAAAGTAAAAAAAAAAAAAAGAGGGAAAAATAAACACATGTTAATGTAAATAATAGCTTTAATTGATTAACTTGTATAGTTGAGTGAGAGTTTCAAGCGTGTTTCTACGGTGTGCATGAGAGCGCGAATATGTGTGCATGTAAATCGAACAATACAGAGAGTTGTAATTATATATATATGTATATACATATACATACATACATAAATACACATATAGAACATGTGCGTATTAAAAAGAAAAAAAAGAAAGCGATACCTCGATTACACACACATATTAATGATTAGTTTGATATTAAAGCAATGATACACAAGTGCTTTGTATTATATTAACTTAATTTAGCAAATTGATTTTAATTTTCGGTTTGAGAATCATAGAAATATGGATTTCTTTTTAATTGATAAGAAAACAAAAACAAAACGTAGGTTTCAATGTACGTTTCCGTTTGGATGGAGAGTTCGTTAATATTTCGCACATTTTTTTTTAACGCGTGCGTAGTGACGTAAGTTTAGTAGATAAAGAGTTAAATATTAGATATTAGCGTGAGAGAGAAGAGAGAGAGAGAAAGAGAGAGTTTGTGCGTGTAAGTGTAAGAGTGAGAGAGAAAGAGAGACATGACGGTGTTTGTTATATCGTCGATTTCTAATAATACCAACGATCTCTTTTTTTCCTGATTATTTATTATTGTATTCATTCCAAAGTAATCTCTGAAGTGTGAAGACACCGCGGGAGAATTTCTTTTTTTTTTTTTTTTTTTTTTTTCTTCCTCGTATTATGTTATCCTACATAAACGATTATCCGCTCGAGGGAGATAAATGTTGCAGAGTTTCGAAATTCATGAGCATTGACGCTCGTTTTAAAAGATGATTGTTAAACCAAAGTTGAACTTTGGTTTGTTTTGTTCCCATCATTATATAAAACGCTACGATCTCTCTTCGATGCGTCGTTGTTATTGGACACACATGTAATTACAAATCGGCGCGACAAAATTTTTGTCAAATGCTTATCACATTTTTTTTTTTTTTTTTTATCACAATGATCGGAATACTAATACGAAACGCGACGAATATGCGCGATGTTACGTGTCACAAGCACGATACATCCTAGATGAATTGTAGATCTTATATAATCATGAGCGAAACAACAATCGTTTAGTCTGGAATTATTTTTTAAAACGTAATTGAAGATTATTGCTCCTGAAAAAATGATGATGATTTTCTTCGCTCTGTGACGAACGGTCCGTGTGTGTTATGTCATAATACCAATTGTAATGAGGACATTTGTAATATAGCATAAATTTTTATCATTCTCTGTATTTGTTCACGACACAAATTACAATAATTATTCTCCATGTGTTTTTGCAGAACGAATCGCACAATTTCTTCTTATCTCTCCCGAACTCGCTTTTTGACTTTCCTTGTGCACACGACACCGACCATCGCTCGATGTGACGGAAACACACATTTTTGTTTTCAATAAAAATTTATATCAAATTTCCCTGGTGGACGCTACGGCGCAACATGCGAATCGACCGTATTGAAGGAATTGATAAAGGAACATAATTTGCAATAATACGCGTCTAAAGGATTAAGAATTTATAATTTGAAAATGCAAATAAATTATATACAAGTTTCGTGGATCTACGCAACTTTTTACGACGAAGCAAAAACAAAACACTAAACTGACAGCTTACATGTTAACATGCAAAGCCAGTTTTAATGAGAAATAATTAACAGACTGAAGTTTTTTGCCCTTAATCACTGTGATTTATGTTCGTGTTATCGCGAGTTCACAAAAGAGTGCAACTGTTTTATACGTGTGCGTGTGTGTACATGTTAGACAGAACAAGAGAGAAAAAGAGAGAGAAAGAGATAGCGCGGTGTTGCGTTGTCATCCATAATTGAAGACTAACCAAGTGGATTTGTTGTCTGAGGTCTAAGCCTTTTGTGTCAGTTCTGCGAGGTATCTCTCATCGTGAACATGTCGGACGATAGGATAGCTGTAAACGTAAGCGAGGGAAAGTTGATCGGCATCATCGAAAAGGAAGATGTTTACGGCAATAAGTATGCCGCCTTTCGAGGAATACCCTACGCCCAACCGCCAGTTGGCGAACTCAGGTTTAAGGTGAGCGCGACGTTCGGTCGTAAGAACGTCCTCGGGCATTCCCAGCAGCGTCACAAAAATACGTTCCCGTTTCCCTTTTTTTTTTTTTTTTTTTTTTTTTTTTTTTTTTCGCTGTGTAAAAGCGGGACAGCTGGAGAGCGGTCGTTAAATTTTCTACCACTACTGATTTCTCCAGCAAAATTATCATCCTCGCGGCATACATCAAAGTTTACATATTTTCTGTTGTATTTCTAAATTTTTTTTATTATTAATTATTGAATCTCCAAAACCACCGTTAAAATATAACTGTCGAGTTCCGGACGGCTATTCGGATTCAATTCCAAACTGGAATGACATCGACTTTATGTCGATTTGTTTTTCTTTTTTAAGAAAAAACGATAAAAGTAAAAATATCACTTTTCTGAGTGGAATCGGTTCCGAAAAATTTCTACAACAAATTAATTTTGGCGATAACACGCCAGCTCTATTCTGGCACTTGACAAAAAAAAAAGTCTTGCTGTAGTTTATTTCGATGTAAAGTTTTTTTCGCTACAAATATGTGTAAAAAATATTTATTTTACTTATATGTATGTTTTATTTCGATTTAACAAGAGCGATTACATAAGCTGAACTTTATCCGCGAGCAGATAACACATTAATCACATGAATCTGATAACGCATATAGATGAAAAAAAAAAAAAAGAGATAACAACGTGGAAATGATGTTGAATACAAAATGTACTGTTGCGAGTCGGACACAAATACACTTATAATATATTCGATGTATCGTTGCAACGAGACGCGGTATGCAAATTTGTAAATTGCGCGTATAATTGTTGTCACAAAAGAAATAAAATGTACGAGCGAATGAGAAATATAAAATTTATATATCAGAGAGTCTCTCCGACACGGTTCAAAGACGAGTAATTCGATAATTGCAGGATCCGGTACCACCGAAACCGTGGCCCGGCGACAGAGACGCCTCGAAATACGGAAATATCTGTATTCAGCAGGACATATTCACGCAAGAATTTGATGGCGACGAGGACTGTCTTTACCTAAACGTGTACACCACAGACATCAAACCTCAAACCAAACGTCCTGTGATGGTATGGATACACGGCGGCGGATTTTATTTAGGTTCTGGAGATGCTAAACTATACGGTCCCGACTATATAATCCAGAAAGACGTGGTATTGATCACTCTGAACTATAGACTGGGCGTCTTCGGTACGTTCGACGACCGTGTATCCAATATTGTTATCAGATATAAAAAGTTCAGAATGTTTATCGTTGGCCAAAGAGAAAATAATTACCGAAAATCATCAAGTTTGTGAATATGTTGTTTCAGGTTTTCTCAATCTGTACGACAAAGTGGCAACTGGCAATCAAGGTTTGAAAGATGTGGTCATGGCGTTGCAATGGGTCCGGAAGAACGTGTCGCAGTTCGGCGGAAATCCCGAAAACGTGACTATCTTTGGCGAGAGCGCTGGCGGAGTCATTGTGCATTGCTTGACTATATCCTCATTAGCCAAAGGTAACAGAAGCAGAGATTTATTAACATGCAGATAACGTAAAGTACAAAATACAAACTGGTAAAGCTGCAAAAGGTGTTAAACACTTTCTTCTACGACGTTCTTCAGGTTTATTTCACAAAGCGATATCGCAGAGCGGCGTCGCCACATGTCCCTGGGCTTTTGCCGATCGAGAGCCTCGCCCCGCGGGTTTCCAGCTCGCTGAGATACTTGGCAAAAAAACATCAGATCCGAAAGTAGCTTACGAGTTTCTGAAAAGCATCGATGCAAAAACACTAAGACAAGCCGAACTAACAACTTTTCAGACAGAAAATGTTAGCACCTGCGCTTCCGTGATTGTTATATCGTCGCGATGCATTGCATCGATAATTAATGGTTTTTCCCGCAGGAACGTCGGAAACTCCTGTTCTTGTTCGTACCAAGTCTGGACTTGGAATCGTCGAGTCCATTCTTCGCGGAAGACTTGCACAAGTTGGTACAACGTGGTGTCAAAGTGCCGTTTCTCTTAGGTTACACCAGTAATGAAGGAGCAATGTTCGTGGGTAACGACGCATTTAGAAAATAAATACATTCAATTTTGTTTTTTTTTTTTTTTTCTAATTTGAAAAGAAGGTTTCCGCAAAAGTCACGAAATTAGAATAGAATGTTGTAAAATATTGTTTTAAATTATCGCGCGACATTTCTGTCGACAGCTGAGAACGTCTCTACACAATTGTTTCAGACAGGAGCAAACAAAATATTGAAAAACTCAATTCCAACTTTAAAAGAGCTGTACATCCTAGATTGCTGTCTGAGTTACCGCAGATACCGATTACGGTCGAAGAGCTGCGATTTCTGTATTTCGGTAACAAAGCGGTGTCGGAAGAAACTCTGCTGAATTACTCCGCTTTTCTCACCGACTCGGTAATGATACGCAACATCGTGCAAACAGCCGATATCCAAACGAAATCTGGCAGCAGACAAACGTATCTGTACGAATTTGCATACAGATCCGAAAATAATCCTATGAGAATGTTCTCAAACAACCTTCCAGGTAATGCCACATTTTTTTTTAGTTTGTTGTCATTTTTACACACGCAAAAAGAAGAGAATTTGCACACTCTCTCTGCGAGAGACAGATTTCCAAGTAAATTTGTTTTCGCAGGCGCGTGTCACGGTGAGGAGCTATTTTTCTTATTTTATCCTCATATGATAAGAGACATGGGGCTGTCAACACCCACGCCCGACTCGGACGATTACAAGATCATCAAGTGCATGACGCAAATGTGGACGGATTTTGCTAAAACAGGGTACCACAGACAAGTTTTTTCTCCGAATGTTTTACGTTGAGACAATCTTATTCAAGTGTCTGATAATTAATTTGTTCTGAATGATTTATATAATTCAGGAATCCAACGCCGGCTCGCACGAATGTAACTCCGGTTAAGTGGAAACCACTGAAACGTGGAAATTTGTGTAATTATTTAAACATCGACAGTGAACTTCGGGCGAAAATTTTCCGCAAAGGAGAACAACGTTGGGACTGGAAGAGCGTAAAAAATAAGCTATAATTCTGTATGATCTCTTTGCTCAAGTGCTCTTGTCATTACATTTTAGTTTTTTCTTCAGATTTGGTTATTTGTTAGGTTAGGTTTCCTTTGTGCCAACATTTGGACAGGAATTTGTGTTTTTGTTTTAGAATGTCTTTTATATCTCATTTGTTCTAGATCCATTAAATGTAGTATATATATGCGTTTAAAATATATTTTACGCGGATTACGGGATATCTCTAGAATCTTCTCTGAGTGCGAAAATTGCATTAATCATTTGACTCAATGTCGCATAGTGAGAAGGAACACAATTCGATATTGAATACATATAATATATATATATATATATATAATATAAAAATATATTTTGTACACAAAAATAAATATATATTTTTTTTTAATCTTACACAATCTATGTAATAGTACTTACTATGTAATTTTATCACATTAGTTCCACCTCTGCAGAGATAAGGAAAGACACTACACATTTGTTGCCCACTCTCGTCGGTTTTGATTGTTGTGCAATGAGAAGCGGAAAGACCACCTTGCACCTGATATCCTACCCTACAGTATAAAGCGACCATAAAATATTAATTTTTTGTTCTTGTATTTTCTCCTTTTGTGACTCATAGGTCGTACGTGCGTGATCACGTGTATGTATGTACGTACGACTACATACAACACAACAACAAACACATTTGTCGATAGACCGAGCGGTATCTAATCTTTCAAGCGCATGCGCTGCTCTTTCCACCGGCTTGACCGGTTACTTACTCACACTTATATATATATATGTATATGTATAATTTTCCTCATACAATGGCTCAATTCTTCGCAATTCCTCGGTAGGATCTGTGACTTATGGGTGTGTTTTGACGGCTCGCTTACCAAAGATTAGCGTGTGGATTGTGTCACCTTCACACATGTCCATGTGTTACATCACATTGCGGTTATCAGTTGATAAGGCCGTTTGCCGTTAAACGAAATCAAACCAACGTCGATCCACCATCGGTATAGATCCAACTACGCCGCTGATCGATCGATTTCGTGGATCAAGATCTGTCGGAGCAAAAACGAGTGGAAGTGAGTAGTTTTTAACTAAGCTGCGAGTAAACAATGCGGTGATAATCTGTAAACCCGTGTAGATCTGTGGACATATGTTACATGTTTTCTTTCTATCATGATGATGTGTGTTGATCACACGAGTCGGTAACCGGTAAATAGAGAAAAGCGCTCTGAGAGATTAAAATAGCCAGGCCTATTGACCATGCCTATTGACGTATTGTACGGATCGATATCTGTTGCACATATGTGTGCAATAAGTATAGTAACAAAATATGCTTCACTATTATATGTAAAATCTACATAAAATGTATACAAAGTCAGGACTTGCGAAAAGAGATGGTATCCAGAGTTCAGAATATTAATAGAATATTTTGTTTCTTTTCAATTGTGTGTAGCAACGCACGAGATGGACGATCAGAAGATGAATTGCGACAATGAAGCTTCACGTATACCGTATCTGCGAGCAATTCAGAGAGTACCGGGCGACACTCCCAGCGAGAAGCTGAGCTGGATGAACAGATGCGCGCTCCAACAGGACGGCGAGAATCAAATCCCAGCGGAATTGTTGCCTCTGTATCGTGTGGAAGTTGCTCTCAGAAACAAAAATCACGAGGAAATAACCGCGGCTCTAAAATCCGAAAACTTAACGCTTGTAAATCGAGCTCTCAAAGCCGCCTGGTACTTCGACGGCAGCTACAAGAATGTTGTCGATGACGCGTACTTCGTCGTGCACGTCTTCCCGTATGTTCCGGTAAACACGCTAAAGCGCATTGTGAACGCGCTTGCGTACCGTACGATCAACCGAGATCCGGCATTCGCCCAACGAATGTTCACGGCTGTGATGACCTTTTTCGACATTCAAACGGCTTATCCGTTACTTCTGGCGTCCGGTGAGCAATTTGCTTACGAAACGATTGTGGAGAAGGAGCACGCGTTGCCGTGTCGCATGATGAAAAAACTGTGGCGCGCGTATCCGAATTTCGTGGTTCGTTATCTAAAGCTGCTGCCTCCGCGCACCCTCGACAGTCCACCGGAGAACGATCGTTTGCTCAAACCTTTTGGAGCCACAATTCACAAATACGAATCTTTCTTGCCGAATTTGGTGAAGAAGCGGGTCAAGGATTTCGCGGAATTGTGCGAGATAAATCAACAATCTCTGCCGCGCATTACGTTGAGCAACACAGCCGCCGAGGTGTTTCTGAAAAAAGGACACTCGTACTTCGTCAAAAATCCACTGTTGTACATCGACATGTTGCCGCACAAAAAAATCAGTGCCGAAGTAATGAAGACCATATTTCCCTCTCTGTTGCCTAAGAAAAAGAGCAATTTTGATACAGATCGCATGCTCAAATATCTAAACTATTATCCCAAAGATAAGAGATGGAAGTTACTCTACAAGTCGTACGAGACGGTGTACGATACCGAACTTGTTAAGGACAAAAAGAACATAACGTTCAAGTTGCTGCAGGTGTTGCCTGCAAATGAACGAGTTAAGCTGACCAGATCTCTCATCGACAACGATATCAGCCAGGAGAGAGCCGATAACAATAACTACGAGAAATGTTTGATGTGTTATTTGCCAACCGACGAGGTAATACCGGCTCTTAAGGAAAAAGTAAACTATACGTCGGATGTGACAGATAGGCGTAATTATGTTTTGCAAATGTTTTACAATTGTAAGGTCAACGACGACAACGATGCGCTGTACGAGACTTTGGATTATTTTCTAAAAAGACACAGAAACGGAGATATCAGACTGTACGAAGATACGATGAAAATCATTGAGAATTTGTTCGATGTATCTCATTTAAATGAAAACATTTGTTCGTCGATAATCGACATCGCGCGCCTGTCCTATATAAAGTACAAATACATAGACAGGCAATTGATAGAGGCTCTGATGCATCACAAACTCATCCACGATATGGATATCGCGGATTTGGTCAAAATGTACATAGACAACATGATCTCGCACAGTTATTCGATAAACTTCAATGTACTTAGAAAATATCCAAAATACGAGAGATATTGTCTGGTAATATTTTTGGATTACATGAAAACGGAGGCATTTGAAAAATCGACATACGACTTAAATTCTCATAAAAAAGAAACACTTTTGATGGATATGGTCGAGGCGATGTACAATTTTAATAACAGATGCGAAAAAGCGAAAACGAAGATTGAACGCGTAACTATTACGGACTATCCTTGGTTGATAGACGAGATCAATGCTATCTTGATAAAAAAGAACTTGAACGCTAAAAATCCATCGTATAATTATCATGTAATAAAAAAACTATTAAGAACGAAAGAACCGAAATTGTACGACGAATTGTTCTCTTCGGAGAAAATAATTGTGGACGTAACAACGGGAGAAATTCTCCGTCTGCTAGCGCGAAGTCCGCAGAGCATAGCAAAGGATAGTCAAGAATATTTCAATCGTTGTGTCGAACAATCCCAATCAAAATTGTCGCAACGGTTTGTGAAAGCCACTCGTTGGTACAAAGACATACCCATCCTGTTTGCTGAGCGTTGCCTAGCGATTTTGGATAAAAAAACTGAGAAAGACAATCCATCGTTCATTATTGTTATGAGTCTTCTGCTTCACGGCGATTCGCTGACAAAAGTGATAGACCCTCTTCTGCCCGCGGAAACAACGATAGATCCTAACAAACCGAACCTGCATAAGAGATACGAGCTCTTGCAATGGGTATGCCGCGGTATGAACTTGTCGAATCCGCCAGTGTCTCTCGATCTCTTAGCTAGAATATGTCGAGGAGATTACTTATCGGTTGCGTTGTATTCGATAACGAGTGTCTGTATGCGATCGTCTATTCCCAAAGTGAAGGCGTTCGCGCAAAATTTGGTGAGCATGCGCATTAGCGCTCGAAAGCACGGGCTAGCTGTGATGAGCTCGATAACTTCCGCAGACCAACAGATCAACTTCCTCTGGGAAATGTGGACAACCCAGAAGCAATATTCGATAAGAGAAGTTTTATTCGAACACATCCACAAGATGTTCGTTAAGACGCCTAATTCGGAAACGTGGAATTTTTACAGCGAGGTCATTTCAACGTTGAACAACAAAGATGTAAGCAATCTGTTCAAACCGGCTTACGAGATTCCCCAGGAATACATTAACAAATATCTCAAAGTGTGGTTTGATACGTTGTACAAAGTGTGGGATAGAAGGGGCACCATTGACAGTTATCTGCAGAGTTTGGAAGGTCCCGTCTGTGACTTGTTGTCCGAGGAACTCGTCAAGAACGTGCTCACAAGATTCTTGTTTTACGAAGGCTCGGACACCATAGAGGACATGGTAATAGCCGGAAGAGCCAGACACTTCGCGGTCATCTATCTTTCGCCAAACGACAAGAATAAACTCGCATCGCGCATCAAGATAACAATGGATGTCATCTTGAATGCTGTGAAAAATCGCTGGAACGCGTATCTGCCTAAATCATGTTACTACCCGGTCAACATTGGTATGCGCGAATTGATATTCGACCTTGTTCGTCATTCCGCTATTGATACGCAGGTCATTGACGGTATGCTGACGATGTTCTCGTCAGTTTTGCGACCCGCAGAGCTCGCGGAGTCTTATTTGCTGTTAACGTACGCGAAGAGACTGAAGAAAAACTGCACTCCGCAGGAAGCTCATGATTTCGGTCTGAATCTTGGTCAAGGAATAACCGATATCGTCATTTTTTCGCCGTTGCTGGTCCCGTTCATGGCTGACGTTCTTGATCAATTCCTGACGTCCAGCGTCGAGAATTGGGTCAGAAATATGGAAAAAACACGCCAGCCGACGGAAGAAGTCTGCATGCAATTGAAACAGCAAGACAAACCGGCTCAATCGGTCGACGAGATAAGGTTTAGTATCATAGAAGGTCTTGTCGAGGCTAACAACTCGTACTCTAACTTCATAGCTATAACAATACTGTCCCAGAAATATAAACGGTCTGAAGAATATACAGAATATCAAAAATATGAAGGACGTTACAACGAACTGATCAAAAAGTTCCGTAAAACGGATGATCCTGCAATCATGACAATGCTCTGCAGGTATCTGTATAAATAAATATAAACAATTATAGTTTTTTTTTTTTTTCGAAGTTACCGAGAGATGCGACAGTATCAAGTCAAATATTTGAATAAATCAAACAATCTGTACGCATCTCGATTTCTATTCGCGACAGAGTAAATGATGTTTTTTTTTTCAATTGTTGGTTGTAAAATCGCGATTCAAACTTATGTGCATGTTATTTTGATTTCTAGTTTTTTTTTTTCTCAAAGAAACGAAATATTGCTAAAAATGTATCTCGAGGACAAAGGTAAAGTCTCTGGGAGGTTCTTTTTTTTTTGTTGAAAAAAAGAAATATATGTACACAATATAAAGTAACAATTGCACCGCACGAAGAAGACACAAAATGATTAGTTTTCGCATTTATGAAACTTTTCTACGAAGGATATATACTCACGTTTCTTTTTTTTTACAAAAGATTTTTTAGTCAATGTGAATTAATAAATAAACAAACTTGTGATATACAAATAGAGTTATATTATAGAGTTTCCAAGCGGACAAATTGTAAGAGAGTGCAAATGTACTTTAAGTAATAAAAAGATAATATATTTTGTACAATAACAAATTTTTAAATGTACTTTATATAATATAATAAACAAAGTTCTTGCAATATATATATATATTTTTTTTTTAATTTCGATGTTCTTGTGTGCAAAAACACGTAATTTCCTGTCCTTCGATTTTCTTCGATGCAATTATTTATTTACAAGCACGCAAGGTATGGCGTGTCGTGATTTGAATCAACTTTTTCCATATTTTAACACACACGTTTATGTTTCATGTTCACATAAAAAAAATACGTGAAACGCGCGTGTTGAACTATACGCGCGATATTAAATCCGTACAGTTTGTTCCGAGTCCTTCGACATGAAACGAGTGATGATTTACGCGTGGAACGTGTTGAAAGAATACTTGAGGAACTGCACGCTTCACGGTGCGAGGTATCTTGTCGATAATGATCTTTCACGGATCGAAAGGTAAAGTGTATTTCTGTTACAGTCAGAGAGAGAGAGAGAAAGAGAAAAAAAGTAACAACCGCTAATATATTTAGATTCTTCTGGTTGATCTCTTGCGCGATCTGTTGGGGCGGCTGTGCGAACAAGATAAGGGCCGTAGTGAACAAATACGTCAATGATCCTGCGATAGTGATATCCACCGACACCACGTATCTGGATTGGAGGGTGCCGTTGCCTTCCGTTTTTTTTTGCATTAAGAACACGGCCCAAATAAAAAACAAATACAAATACTTCGCACAGTAGGTATTGCGCGGTTGAAGGATTCTTTGAAATATTCTTCTATTCCAAATTCTTCAAAACACCGTAAAATTTATTTCGCTGCGGTCAGGTAAAAAAAGCGTTTTTGTAAAGCCGAGAAGAGCCACTTTCGTTTAATTTCTTTCGTTTTTATGTCACAACTTTTGCGCGTATTGAATAGAAATTTTTCTTTCGAGATATGTGACACAATGACGCTTTTGTTTTAAAAGGCAACCCGGCACGCTCGAGAGTCCGTACGGCAACAAAAGTGCTTCCGTCATCAAAAAGACCGTCGAAAAAGTATCGTCGGAAGAGCTGCTGGAGGCTTACGAAGAAGTTAGTATAAACACGTACACAGAAATATGTAGAATAACGTATTTGCTAATTTTTCAATAATTTTAAATCGCGAGTTTTTTCGTGCACCGTTATATAAAAAAACAAGAAAAAACAATCTCGAAAGAAGAAAGATAAATGCAATCTCTTCGTTCGCGATGCGCGCAGATGAAGATTCCGTGCGAGCTGCTTCTGCGAAGGTGCGTGTGGAACGACGTGGAGTTGGACTGCTGCAAGGAGTTGTTTCGACCGTTGTTCAAAACCGGCGTGGGTTATTGTCTAGCGGCGAATTCCTTGCACACGGGTTCTCAGAGAGAAACGCCAAGGTTGAATCTTTACGTCGACCGTTTCGTGAGACACAGCGATCTCATAATCGACATCACCATGAACAGCACGACCAAACCTATTGTCACGCATATGCTGAACGTTCGTTGCTTACAAATATTGTAGATGTAGTTTAGTTTAGTTCACATACACACACACACACACACATTGTGTTTTTCTATATCTCTTATCTCTAGATTTACGTGACCAACAATAACAACGTGCCGTTTATTTACATCAGCGACAACAAGGTAAAACTGAAGACGGATCTGATCGCGCGCTTAGATTTCACCATGATGGACATGTACAACGAGGATTCGTTGAGAAATGTTCCGATACGGCAAAGGATGTGTCGTTTCGCAGACGAGGTCGACGATGCGAGAATACATTACATGTACAGCATGAGTTCCTGCATCGTTGAGGTGCGAAAATGTTGCGTGCGATTTTGAAACGAAAAAAAAAAAAAAAAAAAAATTTACACACGCGGCATTTATTTTTGTATGCAGTTGCTCGTTCGGCGGATGATACAAATGTGCGGTTGCGTGATGTTCTATTACCCGACACCAACGGGCGCGAGAGTCTGCAATATGACGGAGATGGAATGTATTTTCCGCAATAGAAACGAAATCAAATCCAAAGAGGCGCAAAAGTCGACGTGCTTCCCGAACTGCGAAGGAACCTCCGTCTCTGTGTACTCGTAAAACTCAATGTTATTTTTTTTCAGTCGAGTGTGTTTCTCCTGTGTTTTCTCGTTCTCAAAATTATCATTCGATATATTTGTCGAAACACTTGAAAAGTTTAACTAATCGTTCAATAATTTTTTCGACGATTGACCGCAACAATCGTTTTTTTTTTTTTTTTAGCAACAATCCTTCCTATCGAAACAAATCGCCCGACGACGAGGTTGGCAGACTGCACTTGAAGATGCTCACCCGTCCTCTCCTGAGATTTCGGCGATACGTTGTCTTCGATTCGCTCGATCTAGTTGGTAACGTCTATTTTCGACATTCGTTCTTATCAGCTGTTAACGTGACGTTTGACGATAGAGATCACGGGCGGGATTACGTTTTTATTGCAGCTTAAAATATATGCAAACATTCTGTTTAAACACTCTGCAAACAATTCGTTAAAACGTAGCACGCGTTCTTTCAGTTGCTGTCGGAAGTGCCTTCAGTCTCTTCGTGGGTGCCAGCGTTCTGAGCTTCTTCGAGTTACCGTACTGGCTGTTTGTTCATCGTGAAAACAAAAATCTCGCGCGCAATTGACAAATCACGCGTGCCCGTAAATGTGACGTAGATAAAATAAGGATGTTTAAATGATGTGTGAGAAAAATAAAATGATTTTTGATTCAAACTCCGTGTCGAAGCTTAGCGAAGTTGTTTGAAGAGTCTCTGTCGCGCGACGAGATTTTATCTATCAGGAAAATATCTTGATGGAAATATGCGCCGCATTACAACATGTGACGAATTCTGTCAGATGACACAAATGACAAATACGATTCTTTTAATGCACACAAAGGAAGAATACATAAAGCCGCTCGGAGAGTTCGGGATCTTCATTAGACTTCTTGAACTTTTCCTCTCTCTCTCTTGGATAGCAACAGGTCCCGAGTTACAAAGCGGAAGCAAGTGGAGATGACATTGGGCAAGAAGTCAGTGTAAATTCGAACTCGCAACATTCCGTCCGTATAAAAATCAACGTTGTCCTGTTCCGTCAAAACAAATCTGTTGTTTTGAGCTTCGAAGAACATGTCTACCGCGGTTGCACAAATGAAACAATACTTCGAAACGGTAACCGACGGCGTTGAAAGCGACGCGAAGAACGACGCGAAAAACGACGGCGTGTACAAATTACTTTCACTGGACGAAATAACGGAAATAGCGAAACGCGTGCTGAACGGCGACTCGGATCGAATAGAATACGTTATTCAACCGTATACCAAAACCAAACTTGGATATCTCGGCTCTCATTATCGCGTTAACGTAACGGCTACGAGGAAGAAGGGAACCCGCGAGCTCTCGTTTTTTCTCAAAACCGTGCCTTACGAAGTGCCCGATCAAGCCGATTACGTGATACAGAAAGGCATCTTCGAGAAGGAGGCGATGTTCTACAACGTCATAACGCCGCTGCTGCTCGAAGGATATAGCGGGGAATTGTGGGCGCCGGTGTGTTACAAAGCGACGAATAATCTGATGGTGTTCGAGGAATTGAGAGGCAAGGGTTACTCGACGCGAGACAAGCTCTTCGACAAGACGCTCGTGCGCGCAGGTCTGAGCGCTATCGCGCGATTACACGCCGCGTCTCTGATGGCGGAGACGCGTCTCGGAATGCCTCTCAATCGATTGTATCCCGACGCGTTTGTCGAGCGAGCCTTTCAGCATGATGGAATGACGCGCGTGTGGATGCAGGCGGGCGTCGATGTGGCCGCCGCTATCGCCGAACACTTGGGTCTCGATTCCGATCTGGTGCGATCCACCTGCGAGCTGGTCTATCACGCGACGACACCATCGCGCACGAAGGCGAACGTCGTCAGTCACGGCGATCTTTGGGGCAACAATCTGATGTTCAACAAGGACGTGTCGCCCAAGTGTCTGATGGTGGATTACCAGCTGTTGAGATACTCTCCCTTGGCGCACGATGTCGCCCAGTTTCTTTATCTGTGCACGGACCGCAGCTTCCGCGAAACGTGGGAGAGCGCGATGCTTCAGCATTATTATAAGACGCTGCGCGAGACTCTGAACGCCCACGAGATCTGTGTGCGAACGCCCCCGTGGTCGGAGATAGTCCTGGGCATGGAGGAGCAACGGTTGGGCGCCCTTATAACCGCGATCATTTACTTCCCCACAGTTCTGATGGACGAGAATCTCAGCGCGACTGTGATAAACGATCCGGCGTCGTACGCCGATTATTACTTCAGAGACAGAAGGGAGTTCGTTATGACGAATATGAAAAAAGATCCGGTCTACGGGAGAAGACTCAGCGAAGCTGTCATCGAACTCGTCGAGCTCGCTTCGCGTTTGGATCAATTGCCGACGCCCTCGTAAAATTATGCACTAAATAACATAGAAACAATAAAAATTAAATTACTTATGTAAAAATTATATACATATAAAAGTAGCTGATATAAAAACGACACAACGCGGCTCCAACACGGAAGCCGCGCACAACAGGTTTTACAAGTCGCACCCTCCGTGAAAGCATAAAAAATAACATTGTGTGCAAAAACTAAATATTCATCTAAAAAAAATCTCTTATTGATACACCGTCGAGACGTATTTTGTACACGCTGGAGTTTTTACTTTCACAGAAAGAAATACATTTTGAATTGCTGATTGCACGTGCACATCATCTTTCGGTCGCGCACAGATGATTGTGTAAAGCGAATCAACAACACACATTGTCTCTCAATCGGCGTATATCTTAGACAGAAAAGACCAGTCGTGATTGATAAGTTTCACGGTTGACTCATCCGTATCCTCGATTTCGTTCGTCTGTGTGATCACGGGTTTTGCCGCCGGCCGTGATACCTCATCGTCACTTACATCCGAAGACTCGTCACGAGCATCGTCGTCGCTGTCCCTGAAAATGAGAAGAGAAAATGACCGAGTCACGCTAATGCGATTCACGGATAAACCGCGAAATAAACGCAACTAGCGCAAGTGTGGTGTTGCAATCTCGCGTGTACCTACCGGAAAGTCTCGTTCCTAAAATGATCCTTCGACGATTGTTGCTTCATCAGAGACGAGATGAACGACGAGCACAGCAATCTCATCGGCGGCAGAGTGTGAGCGGATACACTGAGCAACTGCAATTAAAAGAGAAAACAAATTAAAGCGTTAGACAATGAATGCGTTTCCTTAGAAATTTTTTTTTTTTTTTTTTTCGAACTCAAATTACACCCTTCGCGAAAAGAGTCTTTCCCGAATGTTTCAGAGTTGACGTCACGCTGAACGGGATGTGACGACGATGTCAACGCGCGATTCTCACGGCACGGATAGGGTTTTTAAAATACATTTGGTATATATATATATGGCGCGCGCAGAACGCTCGGTTGGATGACCGACTAATTAGTTTTAAAGCCGACGTGACACACCTCCGAGTGAAAATTTGTGTAATTCCCGTAATCTTCTACTTCAGATCTAGGTTGATTCGTCGGTCGGTCAACCCACACACGAATATTTCCCCTCCCCGGCGATGTGTGTATACTTTAATGACGAATGTGCACACGAAACTACGACGTGTCAAGGCGCGAGATACACTTTGATCTTGTCGTCGTCGTCGACACGAAAAACATTCAGCGTAAAACTGCGCGAGAGAGAGAGAGAGAGAGAGTTTACAAACTTTTTGTTTTCCAAAATAAATAAAAATCATCTCGAGCGCGCAAGACTCGACGATGATGTGTGATTGAGCACATTTGAGACATCAAGATAGCGATAAAATCGCTCTCTCGTTCGCAATCATTCATATAACGATACGCTCATCGATACCTTCTCCGTTCCCTGTGACGGACGGACAATTGTATCCGCCGGCGCGCGTACGTATTCGGCGAAAAAACGGCGAATTGTTTTCACGTTTGTCACGTTTTATGGATGACTAGTAGCGGAGTCATTCACATCAAATAGTGGATGATGTCGGTCGATTTAATTTCAGACAATTCGTAAGTGACGACGGCGCGTATTCGCGAAATTGCAATTTGTATGTGAGAAAAACGAACGGCGATAAGAAAGAAAGAAATACGTGCGAGAAACATCCATGCAAAATGCAGTTCGTTATTGCGACAATCAGGACAATTGCCGAGCACGCGAATTGCCACGGCTTTCTTTCACGTACCGCAACAACATCGACGATTTTCTTGATAAAAATTAACGCTCTTGAGACGCAAGGATTTTTATTTTTAGCATCAGTCTTTGCGAGTGCGTCGGTTTTTTTTTGTTTTTTTTTTTTTAGCTTAATTCTCGAGCGAAAATGGTGACTTTGCTGTTATATGTAATTATCATGTAATCGAAAAAATATATGTAAACATTTTAAAAATAATAATACAATGTGCGATATTTGTTGCATAAAAAAATGTGAGAGTTTGCGGTCTAATTTAATTGAGTATCGCAAGATGCGAATACTGGCACGCCATTTGTTTTTTTTTGTTTTGTTTTTGAGTGTATTCAAAAAAAGATTCTAATATCACGCGCTCAAGGTAATGATGACCGTATATAGGTGTTTGATCTAAAACTTCTCTGAACGGTGCACTTTATTGCCAGGTATCAATGGCAACAATCGAGACGGTCGCCGAAGAAGATAAGACTTTGTTTCTGCTGGCCTGGTTTTACATTTGCAAGCAATACCGGACAGCTCCGGATTCGATAGCGCTATGTTCGCTATTTTCGCACCGCGTAAGGTGGTGTCCCATTGTGATCTCTCGACCGAGAGAAAGTTCGAAATACGAAAATTTTCGGTTAATAAACTTTGATGATTTGTAAAATAATAATATTTGTTTTGCTGTTTTTTTTTGTTTTTTTTTTGGTTTTAAGGGAGAGATACACCCTGCACATACTTTTGCCACGAGACGAGAGAAACGAACGAAACGACTTTTAGTTTTTTACGTTTTTTTTTCCTTCTAAAGACAGTGTTACCACAAGCAGCAAATAAATTATTCGCTGGTTTTATCAAGTTTTACACATTTTACGTTTTTTTTTTTTTTTTTTTTTTCTATTGTAGCAGTTTTAAATTTCATACATCGCGTTTGTGTCTTAACGGCACAAGCACAAGACACGTTTGCACTTTTGCGAAACATCCACCACCTCTCGGCGGAGGATGCATCCCGAGTTTATTTTCAATTCGACGAATTAATTATCCGATACGGACGCGATGCATGTTACATCGCGAACGGCATTCGATCGTACCCGTTTTTTCCAGATATAAAAGCGGACTCTCAAACAGTTTCTCTCTCGTTCCGTTCAATTTGTCCGAACCGGCTTTCTGCCCACGCAGAAAGAAAAAAACAACACGACCGGACCTAATAATAACAATCATCGTCAAAATGCTAAGATGCACATAAAACGCGTGAATAAAATGCATGACGTCGAAGAGAAACAGAGATAAAGTTTCGCGATACGGTGGCGGCGGCGGCGGTGGCGGCGGTGGCGGCAACGGCTGTGACGTGAGAGAGAGACGTGGACGAAGTTTGTCTGTTGTCCAGTGTTGTCCTAAAGGGACAACTGGAACATCGTGAGAAGGTGGGAGTGCCTGTATTAAATCATGGCGAGACTTCAGCTGAAAGCCAGTCGTTTGCGGAACGTTGGGAGAATCTGAAAGATCCTCGGGTCCTGTCATCCGATTATTGAGGAAAAAAAAAAAAAAAAAACAGTGCTGACCACTTTTTCGCGTATCATCCCCCGTCGAGTTCTGGCATTCGCCGGAACATTGTCACGTAGACTATTCGTGTTGACGAGCGCTGGGTAAAACTGCTGATATATTGTTTTTTTTTTGTTGCGTGACACTGGGAAACGCGACAATTAGAACTAGAAAGAAAAGAGCACAGAAATTAATTCAAGTTTTTTTTTTTTTTTTCAACCGAAGACAACTGTGTTCGGGAAAGAAAAAACCGATCCGACGAAAACAACTTGATTGTAATAAATAAAAAAAAAAAAAAAAACAAAAGGGTAGCAAAAACCGGAAGAGACTTGAAGAGACGAAATCTCGGGAGAAATTTCGGGATCTTCTTTGGAAAGTGAAAGGAACTCGGAGAAGAGAGATGAAGCTGGAACCCGGATTGAGATTCATGTCGTGTCTGTTCACGGTGCTGTTGCTCGCGGCGATCGCTTTTGGATATCCTGCGGTGGCTGGAAATAGCGGAGTAGTAAGTATCCCTGCGAGTATAAACGAACATCGCGTTGTCGTGTGACAACGTCGCGGCTGTGTCGAGAACAATGATACGGACGAGTGTCTGAATAGTGATTTACGATGTTTGACAACCGGGAAGATTTTACCCAGTACGAAATGCGTGAACAACGTGCGCTCGAGATTATTGTTTTTTTTCTCTCTCTCTCTCTCTCTTTTTCTCTCACACCGGAGTCAATTGTATAAAACACAGACTCATATTTTTTGTCCGTTGCGAGCGTGTGGGATGTGCGTGTCGAAATTACGAGTGGATGTTGGTTCGTTGAACGTTCCTCGTTAAACCAATCTTTCGTCGTCCGAGAGTGCAATCGTGTGTCTAATCACATTGAGTCGTAGGTGTTGTACGATCTCGTAAACAGGAAGACTTTTCAGGATTTCAATGACTTCTTAACGCTCAATTAACGCGACCGGTCGTTATTATACGATGTTTTAATCGCGACGGTGCGCATGTGTCTCTCGATTTTAAATTGTTTACGTCGAACAATTTTGATTGTTATTATTTTTTTTTTTTGCGTAAAAATCGTAGCGTCCAGTCGATTTAAATTTATTATTATTATTATTTTTTTTTTGTAAGTAACATTTATATATATCCCCGTTTGTTAAACCGAAAAAATACAGTAACTAATAATTGTTATTGTGTTGTAACACTTCTGTTCAAGATGTACAATTTGCCAGCGATCGAGAACATGAGGCAAATCCCGCAGTGGCATTGTCTCCGTTACAGAAAATTCGACTACGTTCGTCGCTGTCGAAATTTTCGTTTAGGACGGAGAAACTGACAAACGGACATTCAGTACGACGTCAAATTGCATCGTCTCATTGCCCAGAATTCGCCGTTTCAAATTCTCAGACCGAGCAGACCGAGATTTATTAAACATGCGTAATGTGATTGCGGACCGGGATTGCGTTTGTAAGGTAATGCGTAATGATAATTTCGCCGAAGAGTTTTTTCGGACGAAGAATCTCGTACCTTAACATGCGACTGACAATCAGAACGAAAAAAAAAAAAAAAAAAAAAACTATCGTACTCTCTTGTTACTTAATTTTTTCGCTATTAAAATTCTCAGTTTTTGACTGATCATCACATTTTCTCAACGACAACAAACAAAAACTCTTCTCACGCGCTTGCCGATACTGCGCGTAAGATTGTTATTCAGTCAAAATTAAAAAAAAACAAAAGTTTTTAGAATGTGAGTATATGTGTAAATAATTTATTCGTCTAATATTTATTACTTACTGTATCGTTTGCCTAAGTGGCGCGTCCCGCGACTAACTTATCTTATAGTCAATATTACATTTATACATTATGCAAACTGTCTGCTTCTCTCTGTTTACTTAACGCAAACTTGATTTCAAGTACGAGAGAGATAATATATTTTTATCCAATTATATAACAATAATTTTCTTGTAGCGTTGTTAAGATGACTAGCGTTGACGTGTGCGCGCGCAAACACATGGAGTAACGTGTGTGCAAAGAGTGATAAATGTGTACCCCCCTCCCTCCTCTTCCTGTATAAGAGATCGGAAAATCACAAAATTCCGCTCTCTTGTCCGACCGAAGAATCTAACAGAAGTCGCGGATACTTCACGGCGAAAGAATCGTTTCAGAGAATAATTTTAAATAAAGTAAAGTACTTATATTCGTAGACTATAAAACATTCACTCTAAATTTAGTAGATCTTTGTACATAAAATAAGGGAGAGCGCGACTCGTGTGTATATATAAAATTTTCGACATTAAAAAAAAGTATATCGATTTTCTACTTACTTCTTCTATTATTCCTCTCGTTGATACGCCGAGATGCTCGTGAACTTGCGAAACGGTCTTCTCCTTGCTCGACGAAGTTTGTTCCGCTACAATGTTAGAGAAGGCGGTTCGCAGCGTGTTTCTTTGATCCGAAAAGATCTCCAAGCAAATACCGGTCTCTCCTTCAGATTTCGGCTCGAGTGTGAGCAGTTCCTGAAATTCGTTCAACCAATGAGCAAACACACGTATGCGTGCGTGCACGGTCTTTCTCCTCGATTCATTCAAATATATTATGAAACCAGGTACAAATACATAAATTATAGATAAACGAGATATTTTATTAAATAAAACTGTGAATTGTAATAATAAAACAAAAGAGAACATTTTATTCGCGCACACACAGCCCGAAACCATACTATACCTGATTAGAATCCAAAAAGTAAAGTTGCGACTTCCGTTGCCACCGGCCGAACGAAGGGTTGCGTTTCTCCTGCAGATGTGGTACAAAAGTAGCCGCTAGTATGGAATTGCTATTTTCGATAAGACACGTCTTTTTATAAACAGGTACCGCGCTTTGTGGTACAAAAACGTATACTGAAAGCAAACAGACATATTCTTGTATCAAAGAGATTCAACAATCGAACCCTGTTTCCTCGAATGTAAAACAAATCGATTGTTTGTATTGTGTAAGTTATTGCCCGACTGAGATTTAAAACGTACACGAATTGTCAGATGTAAGTGCTGCCATGTATGTAGATTTCGGATCGTACGTGAGACTGACGACGTTCAACGGAACGCTCCAGATAATAGCGAGAGTTAAGACATTCCAAACGGTTATGTGCTGTTGGGACGCGACTACCACAAGATGACAGGCCTCGTGTTTACCGAATTCCACTCGTCTATAGCAAACATAGTGCAAAATTGTAACAATATAAAATTATATACATTTCAAGAACAATTCTTTCCGTATTTAGCAAAAGCTGTATCGATAACTAGAATATTTTATATGATATAATACTCTGATACTTACTTGATCGGATAGTCGTATTGAGAATGCGTAAGATTACACTTTAATTCGCAGGTTTCAGGTATCCATATAGTTAAGGTAGAATGAAAACCAATAGCCAGTAACGAGCTGTCGGGTGAGAAACCCGCATCTGTAGCAGGTAGATTGCGATAGTCTCCCACTCCGTAACAACACCAATGTTTCGTCTCTTCTGCAACAAATGTAATTGCCAAATAATAATACGTATATTTTTTCCGCCATATTTTAACAAAGCTATTATGTTTTTTGCAAAATAAACGAAAGGAGCGAAAAATAAACGACTTGATGACTACGCACTTTCTGTGGACTTTCCTAGATTCCACAATTTGAATTTCTTATCCTTGCCCGTGGTCACAGCCAACCATTCTCCGTCGTCGAATGCCGTAGCTGGTTGAAAATTCAGCGCGTTCACTCCGTCTTCGTGAGGCAGCTCGATAGACGTGTTCAATACGAATCTGCAACATCGATGTCGCGCGAAATATCGCACGTTAATATCGCAACAAAATCAACAATGTGTAACGATAGATTCACACAGTCTCTCTCTCTCTGTTTCTCTTACATTTGCTTCTTCAGATCGTACGCCCAAAATTTCAGTCTGATTTCTATCGATGAAACCTTGTCGTTACGTTCTTCCACTGTTGCCATCCACATGCCATCGTGATTTATTGCTATTTTTGTAACCTCCGTATTTACAATAATCACGTCGCGTTCTTGGGTCAAGAAATTTTGCGCAGTTATGTTAATCTGAAAAGTGTTTATTGCGTTAATTTTATTGTCTATTATTCCTCGTTGCATGCTCTTTTATATCATTTTATATCTGTGTGATGTGCACTATTTTACTCACGTTGTACATCAGAGTCTTTGTGTGAGTGTTGTAAAATTGTACGTGTCCAGTACGACTGTTCAGAACGAGACTATTTGTTCTTGGATCGACGACAAGACCCGCGGGAAACAGGTCTTTGGACGAAACAACACCCCACGTGAAGTTTTGTATCACCGAAGTCAATTTTCTTTGAGGATTTACTATAATGATACCTGTTGCAAAACAAATCAAAGGAATGCAATTAATCGGTGAAAATTCGTCGTTATTGAAAATTGAATTGAATTGATTTTTTGCAGAAGATGATAAAGTTTTACCGTTATCCAAAGTTGACACAGCTACATACAAGTTGTCCGGTGCGATTGTAAGATGTTTGATTGGAGCCGGTAATCGCGGAAGGAAAGATTTATACTGAGGATTGGCTAACGTCCATTTTACCAGTACGCACTCACCACCACCGCTGTACATGTGACCACCTGAATAAGTACCAAGCGTCAAATATCAAATTAAGTACCAAGCGTATTTATATTTTGTAAAGTTTTGTAACGTTATAAAATATATAACATAATATTTTTACCTGATTTGCTGAACGCTATTTCCGTAACTGGCAATGTGTGCCAATGAAAAGTTGCCGTATACGGTCTGGGTTGAAATAAATTTCTCCACACTACTATACGACCACTTGAGTCTCCAGTGGCGACACATTCTTCTTCCGGATGACCAGCTATACAAGTAGGTGATCTGTTCGTGATGTATCCACCGGTCTTGTGTCTATAATTTTGATATTATGCATTAAAAATATATTAGATAACTTTTGTATATAGACACATACTATTTTTAAAACATATAGTTTATATCTTACAGTTTATCAACTAAATTTCTAGCAAGATTCAATATATGTAAATCTGCCTCAAATAAAAGTGCCACTAAATTTTCTCCATGATTTCCAATTACATCAATGTAATAATCCTGAGACTCCGTGCTGAAAAGACAAGGCAAATAATAAGAATATAAATAATTTAACAAGGAATGTCAAAAAAACACTTGTGTTAAAACATTTCTCACAAGAGATATATCGACTTCATGCACATTCCATTTTCTATATTAAACAAAAGTACGTGTATCTTCCATTTGTATCTTCCACAAGAGGAGAGATGAGTTATTAGTGCCTGGCATATTTCGTTCCCGTGAGGCAGTTTGTACTTCACAATGTGAAAAGTTCTGATCTTTGCTTTGTAGTCTATAGGTTTCAATTGCTGCAAAATAAATCATTAACATACATAATGCCTGCAAATGAAAGTAATGAAAAAAAAATCTAAGCTTAAGTGAAAATCTTACTAGTTTTTTGGTGATGATGCCACTTTGACAATCCCAGAAATTCAATTCCCCATTCTCAGTACAACCAATAATACAGTTAACATTAACAGGATGTATTAGTAGTTTGGCAATTTTGTAACTTGAGGGTTCAAACTCTTGAACAAAGTCTCCCGTTTGCGTGCTGTACACCCTTATAACATTCTTCCACGTTATGTACAATGTTCTGAAAAAAAAAAAAAAAACATGGATCTCATGTTACATACGTATCAATGCGTAACCTGAGATCTAGTCAATAAATTATTTTTGAGAATGATAAGTGAAATTAGCACGACACTTGGCGAACTCACTCTCCACTATTCGAGAAAAGCGGCCGTTGCTCAATTATACTGCCGCCACTTTTTCTTTTCACAATTAGATCGTCCAGATCGACCAGGTTACTGATGTTTACGTCAAGAGAATTGTCGGTCTTCTCGATCAATTTCATCTTGATATGACGCAATAAAAACTTTCACATAAGCATACAAAGTTCTTTCAGCTACTATCGTAGATATTCAACAAAATTACATATTTTCGTCACAAAAGCAACAACAAACCAAACACGAAGTAGCACCGGCAGACATCCCACACATGCGGTATAACCTGGTATAACCTAGAGTCCCAGGGACTCTAGTATAACCCTCCCTCTATCAGGGGTGCGTTCCAAAATCCTACCTTGGTTACTAAAATGCTATATTTCACGTCACGTGTACTATAGTTTTTGGTAACCAAAGTAGGATTTTGGAACATACCCCAGGGTGCAAAAAGTTCAGCCGAAGAGAGCAGAGGCCTGTAGTCAGCGCCATCTACAGATTGCCAGTTCAGCGAAATACCAACGGAGGGCGCAGCTGTGTTGTGGAAAAAAAACGACACTAGCACGTCCACTCGAGCGAGCTGTAGAACTATTCTGAAGCGCGGCAACGTTCAACATGTACACGTCACGTCTTGTCTGTTACAGTCAATTAGCAACAGACATCCCGGACTCGGCCAATCTAAGTAAACTTCGTGCGAAGGTTTAAGAGCATCAGTTTGATTGTATCAAATAGATTATATAGGATTTCAATGAAACTGATTCGATTTCCGCACGCGAACGCTGTTCTGAACATAAGTAAGTGGCTGTAGGAAACGACAATATATTAGACTTTTGTCACAAGAATACGGAAGGCGCGAGAATGGAAGAGTTGCGCGACTACACATTGCGTGCGAAAATGTATATAGTCCCCGTGTACGTACATATCTCTATAAAATCACGCGCCCAGAGATTACACACGTACGTGCCCATGTACACACATGTGCGCAAACACACATCGAGTATATCACAAAAACACTTTCCTAAAATAAAATTCAATTGTCAGTATTTAAATATAAATTTCTTCGCAGTCAACATTTGGACCCACTTCGCCGACATATGCAATTTCGTGTTTCAGGATTTCGTCGATCCGATCGAGCCGGGTAAAATACCAAGTTCTGACATTGTCACGTCGCGTCGAGGAAGATTTCCCTGTTCGTCAGTGCGGCTATATATACGCCCCGCTCGCCCCGTTTAGAAATATGCAGAACAAGATAAGCATAAACGGGCGAGACGCGAAATGCCGACGCGCAACACGTGCGGCACGAGGGAAAAATAGTGTCCGCTCGCGATCTGCGATTTTATAAAAGTTTTCTCTCTCTCTGCACGCGTCACGCGGATCTTGTCGTGCGCTCCGGAGGCGCGGAGCGCAATGTTCAATTACTCGTACTATTATGTGAAAACCATCATAGAGAATGGAAAGCCGCGGAAAACGTATAAGTACGCAAAGGGGTAAGCATTAACAATCTCACATTCAATCTCTATGTAATATTTTACAAATACAAATTGCTTGCGAAACAAGATCGAGGTCCGAAACGAACAGTCACATGCGAGATAAACGCGAACGTTTCTCTTGTCACGTGCTTGTTTCAAGATTTGTTATAATTTTCCTATAATTTGTCAAATTTTATAAGATTTTTTTTTAAGATTTATTGTGTATTTTCTTTTGTAATTTATACTTTTTTTTTGCTCTTCTCTCTCTCTCTTTCTCGAGTAAAAGATTGACGCTATTTTTCAGTACGTAAAATCATTTTTTATTTCAAATTTCAATACATTCTTCCAACGTGTATTATTTTTTTCACATAATTTATTTCTTATGTATTATTTTTTTAAGAGAATATTGCTGTGTGTCTACATTTTGTTACAAAAAAAAAAAAAAACGTCCCAAGCAAAATACGATGTTTGTTAAGATATCCGGCACAAGCGACACAAGATGCATGGTCGACGTTAGGTCACTATAATCTTCTCACACGTTCACTAAGAGGCGGACTATCCGGTTCCGGCGATGTGCACCATCCTGCTAATACCGTTTTCAAGGTTCTTTATATATATTATGTCATTCAGTACATATCGCTATCATTACTGCCGTATTATGCGCTGTGTGTGTTTTGTGTGCGCGCGAATGTTATCGCTGCTCTGTGCAATTCTTTCTCATGCACGCAATAATTACGCAATATCTCTAAAAACCAAACACATGTAACTGTTTGTTTTTCACTTTGTGCAAAATATACGACTCTGCAGATTTATTAATTCTCTTGAAACAACGCGGTGTATATTTTGCACAACGTGATTGTGCGGCATGTGTATATAAATATATATATATATATAATTGCTGCGAAACCAAGAGATTGCAACATCTCGCGATTTTTGTCGGTCGCGATTTCGCGAGCACAAAAATTTTGTTTTAATTTTTTTTACGAGTGAAAGAGATTTTTCTCGAGGACCTTCGGACGTACGCGTGACTCTCGTGTGATTTTTTTTTGTTTTTCGTCTCCCTTTGATACTGCGAATGTATTTTCGTTCGCTAAATAACGATCAATACGCGAGACACGGCCGCATTATTGCATGGCACATCAGATTATCTGAGAGATAATCTCATTGCGCGTCTTTGAAAAACGACTCTGTTTCGTCATTATTTAGAACATCCCTGGCGCGCATCGTTAAAATTCACTTTTGAGAAACATCAAAACGGACTTTGTCGCGCACGCGTGACTGAGCTTAAATAATGTGTAACTCGTTTGATATATTTTTAGGCCCCGCACGGGATGTCTCTCGGCGAGATGTGTGTTTGCGCGCATATAAACTTCAATCTCTCTCTCTCTAACTTTTCTGTGAAATTTAATTTCGCGCGGCTTCTCGCGAAAAGATTTACTTTTCATTTTGTTTTCTCTCTGAAATATAAAAAAAAACAATATTTTATAATTAAATATATGAAAAAATATTAATACAGGGGAAATATTAACAATAACAACGTTCTTGGCGGTCGGCCAAGCGCAGATGCAGATGCGCTCTAAAATAATCAGTGTTTTGACGATGATACGAGAAAAGTTATTGTCGCAAAACTAATATTATGCGTCATTTTGACACTTATGACACACATACATTTTGACGTTTGTATCTTGGCCCACATGTTCAATTGAATTACCGTGCGTTTATTCGGTTTTTAAATCTTATCTCTCTTTTAAATCTTATCTCTCTCTTGATATACGTTTTATTATTTTCGTAAAAATTTTTATAGCAGCTGCTCACGCGCGAAGATCTCGGCTCTCTTCTCATCGGTTGCTTTGTCACGAAAAATCTACAGTCACAAGTTTTATTATATTTGAAGTGTGAGTAAAAAGAGCCTTTCTTATCTCAATCGTTTATATTTCATCACAAACTTATAATACTTGTCTTTCGTGCTTTCCCGCGGATCGCAATACGCGCGTTTGTATGAATCATATTATCTACGTAATTTGTTGCCGGTAGAAAAACTTTATCACGCCGTATATCTTGATTCACGGGCTCAATTAGTCTTTTTATTTGCAGTTCCGGCGAACGACATCGTCCTGCGGTCTTTCCGACCTTGGGTCGCTCTAGTTGCACGCAAAACGTTGCACGAATAAAAAGCGCATTTCTATTGAAATACGTGGCGCGACAAATGTGAAACCCATTTGCGATCGATTGCAAGGTCGCCGCGCGGTCCAGCCGGCACATTCGTTTAGCCAACCGCCGTGTGTGTGCGTCACGAGAGACGGCTGGAAGCGACGGAAAAGTATCATATAGGTGAGGCATGGGTGGGTGAAGTCGGTGGGCTCTCTCGTGTATTCCTCTCTCAGCAGACCTGGATCGCCGAAGTAACGGTTTTACGTTCACACGAGCGAGAGTCGTGAGATCCGTGCTCGTCGAAGAGGGTGTGCAAAAGTTCGCTCCGCGCTCCGTGTTTTTCGCACACATCGTCGACCGGATGGTGAACGGAGCGACGCGAGATACCTGACGTGAAATATCCATCGGAAAAAAAAAACAGAAGACGTGATCACGATGAGCTATTACGGAGGTTATGGTTACGGCGACGACGGCGGCGGCGCGGAAGATTTGTTCGTTAAGGCGGCGGTCGAGGTCAAACGATTTCTACCGTCGCTCTTCAACATCAAAGTGGTACGCATGTCTCATATCGAGGACGGGTAGTCGATAAAGCTCACAAGCTCTCGCTGTATCGCCGCGTTAATTGACGCATATTTTAATTTTTCGTTGCGCACTGCCGGTGCGATTGGCCGACCTGCGACGTTCTCACGCGCGAAGCTTCGAATTTCATTTCGCAGTTGTTTGTTCGAGCTGTTGTTGAGATTTAAATACAATTGTTCGCAATTAACACTTATTGCTGTAATAAATACTTGATTGTGTAATTATTCTCTAGATACGCGAATGAGATTAAAAAAAAAACAAAAAAAAACGTATATTTTTTTAACTGGAAGCTCGGTATTTTAACTGGAAGCGCACCGTTTTTTCCTTTGTTTCTTTGTTCCTCCGTTTCATCACTTCCAAGTACGAGTTTTTTCCGCTTTATTTGCGCTTAATGCACACACTTCTGTGAGATCGCGTGACGCAGCTTTGTGCGAGATGAATTGAAGAAGAGTCATGTGAAACCAATTAATTCCGTAACACAACATGCTCCACTTTGTTTTTTAACTCACACTAAAAATTATTTAGCGATTGTGTGACGTTGTTGCGAGTTTCGAAGCTACACGAGAGAGAGACGTGCATCTCTTTATGCATGCGCGTAGCGTTTCGATGACGTTAACATGTAATGACAGTAACAATGACGCTATTGCATTGAGAAATGTGTATGATTAACGCAATATCACGCGCTGGTTGCGCGACACGTGCTCATTAGAATTAATAGAATTAAGGTTAACGCGCGTCATATCGCGAGTATGACGGATATTCAAATGCCATCTTTTCATTTCACGTGTGCTGAGCGCACAAAACCAGTTTGGTGTGACACTTAAATATCTAAATGATAATAAAACGTTTCTAAAACTTCAATGCGGAATTCAGATGAGATTGTTCCCGCAACGCGGATATTTCGATGCGCGAAACACGATAAAATTTAAATAACTACTTTTTTGTTCATCTTTTGCGTCTCGTTGTGCACAAAATTCTTGTTGAAGATTTCGAAGAAATCATTCAAGAAACATATCGAACTCTGGAACTCTCTTTTCTCTCTCTTTTGGAACTCGACCGATTTAGCTATTAAAAACTAATTAAAAATATATTCGGAATTAAGTATTTAATTAATTCTTCTTTACATTTTTACATGTTGAATCGCATTTCCTTCACTCGTTAAGTGACCAATCACAAGCATCTGAGATTAGCTTGATTTGTCTTAATGTGTGTTTAATATACACACATTGTTGTTCAACACACAAGGATATAAAAGACACCACCGGGCTTTGTACACGTGATACTTGTTGTAAAGTTTCAAACGTGAAACACAGTTAGCTCGTCTCAATTGTGAGTAGAATACGTCGTCGCGAAATGGTGAGATCGCGCGAAACAGACGTTGTTTCAGTTTTTATTATTATTTTTTTTTTTTATATACGTAATCTCTTTGTCTCGGACGAGGTGACTTCCGGTTTACATCTCGCGCAACAGAATTTCAATAAAGCTTCGAATTCAACGAAATGACAACTTACTAAAAGTAGTGCGTTATACAAAACCCGAAATGTGTTTCGCAACTTCGCGCGTATTTAAATTAAACAAAAACCACCCGACTTCGTTATTTCGTCGAGAGATGTAAAACGGATGGATCCCTTGGATGTCGTGTTCAACAATCTCTATTTTTGGGGTCCCTCACACGCGCAAGACATCGGCCTGTCCTCGCTCTCTGGCCATTAAATGTGGAATAAAGATAGAACGATGATGCTTTCATTCTCAAGGAGGAAATTGATTGATTCCAGGTATTTGTGTGTCTTATCTATCGTGTGGGAAATACGTCCTCTTTATTAATAGCTTAAAGAGAATTGAAAGCATCGTCCCTTCTGGTGAAAAAAACGCGACAAGATAGACAACGACGCAAGAACAACTTTTTTGATGATGTCTCACGCTTTGTTCTCTTTGTTGGAATGGAAAGCTCGTTCCAAAAAAAAAAAAAGCGTCTATTCCTCGTTTATCCATTTATGACTTCGTTGCACGTGCGTGCGGTATTATTCGCATCCTCTTATCAAAACTTAACGCAACTGCAATATAAATTGCGGTTTGTTGTCGTCCGGTGTACACTTTATCTTCATCGCCACGCGATTGTCAGAGACGATAACTGTATCAAAACTTTAAGAGCAGGGCCTCGCGCGTTCGCGAACAGTTTCGCTTTTCGTTTTGTTGTGTGAATACACGAGTTTTTCTTTTTTTTTTTTTTTTTTTTCCAAAGAAATTCTAGAATACCTAACGATTTTTCACGCACGCGACCGCAATTTTCCTCCTCGCTCGCGTCAAATTAAATTAAATTAATGAACTCGTGGTGTCGTTTTAATTAAATCATTCAAGATGCATCCACGGCGCGACAACTACGCAAATTGTCGCTACTCTAATTACATGCAGGAAGGTCTTGCAGTTCTGAAGATCGGTTCGAGTTTTGCGTCCGCTAGAATGACGGGCGGAAGCGGAAACAACAACAATATCGTTTACTCCACCAAATTCGCATCCGCGAATTCGAACGCGAACGCGAGTAACGAGTCGAACGAGCGTCCGTCTCAGAAGAAAATCTTGTACGAGGAAAACGCCGTGCGAACGACGAAAAATTACATCGGGAAGCCGTGCTACAACGTAGGCACATCCTTCGGATGACGATCGCGCGCGCGTGTTCTTCAAAGACAAATCGAATTAAAATAACTTATTATTAGACGGTACCCGCACGAATCGAGAAAAAATCGTATCTCGAAATTTGAACGCAAAATCGAATGTTCGCAGTTGGGGGAGAAAGGATCCGGCTTCAGACGAGGAGAAGTCCAGGACTTCAACACGCTCAGACGCGAATGCCTGGCCACGGGACGGCTCTTCGAGGATCTCGAGTTCCCGGCCGACGATTCGTCGTTGTACTTCTCCCGCCGACCGGACAGATACATAGAATGGAAGCGACCGATGGTCAGATTCTATTTCTTCAGTTCTCGATCAGTGATTTTGTTTTTGATCGCGACTATCGTTGAAGATAATTTGCAGTAATGTTGCGAGATGATTCAATGCGATTACTCGACGTATGTGTCCCGGCAGGAAATCGCGGACAACCCCCAGCTCTTCGTCGAGGGTTTCTCGAGGTTCGACGTTCAACAGGGAGAACTGGGAGACTGCTGGTTGCTGGCCGCCGTGGCGAATTTGACGATGCATCAGAATCTATTCTTCCAAGTGGTACCGGAAGATCAGAGCTTCGAGGAGAACTACGCTGGAATTTTTCACTTCAGGTTCGTCGGAATTTATTAGTCACCGAACACATCAATGTGTTTCTTAGTTAAGTTAGTCATCGATCTTAAATGTCACGCGAAATCAACATCTCGTCCGAATTCTGACAATGTTCGCGAATTTATATTTATTTAAAAAGAACGTTTTACTTTAAGTCACAAGTCGTCTGAGCAATCAGACGTAACTATACAGCAAACGTTGGAAGGAACTTATAAATGTACAACATCGTGTACATCAGATTCTGGCAGTATGGCAGATGGGTCGACGTGGTGATCGACGATCGATTGCCCACGTGTCGCGGGGAACTGGTGTACCTGCACTCGGCCGAGAACAACGAATTCTGGAGCGCCCTTCTTGAAAAAGCGTACGCGAAACTTCACGGTTCGTACGAGGCGCTGAAGGGCGGCACAACCTGCGAGGCCATGGAAGATTTCACCGGCGGCGTAACGGAAATGTATCAAATGGACCAAACGCCGCCGAACTTGTTCAACATACTGTTGAAAGCCTACGAGAGAAGCTCTTTATTGGGTTGCTCGATCGAGGTAAACGAGTAATTCGCGCATTCCTGTTCAAAACTTGGCTCTTTCTTCGGAATTACGTGTTTTGAGCGCTCGAGCTATTCGAGAACTTTTACGTGTAAAACGTTTTCAGCCTGATCCGAACATATTAGAGGCCGAGACACCTCAGGGTTTGATACGCGGTCACGCGTACAGCATCACCCGTGTGAAACACGTGGAAATTCAAACGCCAAATCAGCACGGTACCATTCCACTCTTGAGGCTTAGAAATCCTTGGGGAAACGAAGCGGAATGGAACGGGCCTTGGAGCGATCAGTGAGTTTACTTTGTTTGTTTACCGAACGTTTAACCGCTGATGCGATTTCGTCGTTCTGTTTGTTTGCAGATCACCTGAATGGAGATTTATTCCCGATCACGAGAAGGAAGAGCTCGGTCTGACTTTCGATATGGACGGCGAGTTCTGGATGTCATTCCACGATTTCACGCGCCACTTCACCCAGCTCGAGATATGTAACTTAAATCCCGACTCCCTAACGTCGAGCGATATCAGCGCCGGGAAGAAGCACTGGGAAATGAGCGTGTTCGAGGGAGAATGGGTGCGCGGAGTTACTGCGGGCGGTTGTAGAAATTACTTAGGTGAAAATATGACATCGAATTCGAATAGATATCAAATTTTTTTTTGGAGTAAACAAAATCGAATTGAAATATTAAAAACAAAACATCTCTCGTGCAGAAACCTTCTGGCACAATCCCCAGTATCGCATCACGCTAGAATATCCGGACGATGACGACGACAAGTGCACCGTAATCGTCGCTCTGATGCAGAAAAACAGAAGAGCGCAAAAGAGAATGGGAGCCGATTGTCTTACTATCGGGTTTGCGATATATCACGTGTGTATCACGTAAAAAACTCGTCGTGACTTACAAAAATATCGACTTGCACAAATTTTTTAACTCATATAAAAAGTGCAACAAAAAGCTCTTGTTAATAAGCGAATTTTCAACCGACAGTTGCAGCATCCCGATAGATTACCAAAACCGCTAGACGTTAACTTCTTCAGATACAACGCGTCCGTCGGCCGTTCGCCGGCGTTTATAAACTTACGGGAGGTCACCTGTCGTTTCAAATTACCACCGGGTGTGTATTGCATAGTTCCAAGTACTTTCGATCCGAACGAGGAAGGAGAATTCTTGCTGAGAATCTTCTCTGAAAACAAAAACAACATGGAGTAAGTTTTCGTAGCACGCGAGTAGCGACTTATCTCGTGTAGTCTTGATCAACGTTTTCCGGTTTGTTTACAGAGAAAACGACGACCAAGTTGGTATTGGCGAGGTCGATGATAGGGTAAGAAGTATATTAAGAATATTCAAATGCGAAAACAATCACTACGCGATAATACTGTGATGGTAGTTCAATCCTAAGCAGAGAATATACACATATTTTTTAACATTACAATAACAATTTAAAATCGCTAGAATCACTTTGAGTTGCGGGAAACGTGTTTGTCTTGCAAAACAAATTAAAATATCATATAATCGAGCAAAATTTACATCAGAAAACCAAATTGCTGCAAATTACATTAATCTGTTTAGGATGATGTCAAAAGGCGAGAAATATTTTTTTTTTTTCCTACACAACGCACAATAATCTAGTAATTTACAAACGTTCACAGCTTGAGCGTAATCATGGATTGGGTGACTGCTAATAATTGGTTTTATACTAATCACACAAATGATATAATTGGCATTGCAGTGTGCACTTAACTCTCTCTCGTGCTTAAAAATGTAGTAATGCTTGTGAAACAGGTTTCTGTTTGAGATGCGTGATTGTGAAATACTGAACATTACTTAAACCTCACTCACACGTTGGTAACTAATTTGTCTGTTACTAATATATGTCACGTATGCATGTTTCTGTCGCTTGGCTTTTAGGTAATTAATCCCGCAGACAAAAAAGAAGAACAAGATGAAGATAACGTAAGTATATTTGTGTATGTGTGTGTGTGTGTGTGTGCTTACACACACCTTTGTCGATTGGTCACGTCTATTTTTGGGAATGTAACACACACACGTAGAATAAATTATTATCCACTAATGTAGAATAATAATTGTGCTGTTGAATATCGGTGATGGTATATAAAAAACTCAGTTTGGTTTTTTACTTGCATGACAAAAACAAAATTTGTTTATTTTTGTGTGATTTCTCACTTTGACATTATAATTCTGACCTAATCTGCAGCGACGAATTAAGAGACTTGAAAAATAAAAAAAAACGTGAATTATGTAAAAGAATATAATGAAAGATGTTTTTCCTTTTTTTTTTTTAATAAAAAGATATTTACTTATACGTATGTTATTTTTAGGTTCGCGACGAGCCAGAACCAGATAACAACACAGAGAAAGTCCGAGAATTCTTCAAAAAACTTGCTGGCGATGATTTAGAGGTAGACTGGATGGAACTTAAAGATATTTTAGATTTTGCCATGAGAAAAGGTATATAAATAGATAGTAGTTTTTTTTTTCCAATTTACCAAGTTTTATAAAGCTTTGCTTCGTAGTACGTTTTTGTGATGTGTTCTGCTTAAATACTCACTCTTTCTGACACTCTTTTTGCATCATATAAAAATCACGCTTATACTATTAATCGCTGTAGTATTTTTATCACAGATAATAGTTAATATACATTTATTGTCTGTCTTGTCACTATATTATTTTTTAACTCTTACGATAGCTGTGCAATTTGTTGCTCTTTATGTTTACCTCGTTAAAAATGTTTTATTTGCTCAGCACGCATCTTGACAATTCTATCAGTGTGTCGCACGCTTATCTCTCATGTTGTGTGTGATTCATATAAAATTCATATAAAATTACAAAGTACATAATTACATTTGGGATTCTTAAATAAATAATTCTATAGAAATTTATAGAACATTCAAGGATCAAATATATATGTTCCAGCCATATAATGAAATTAAAATTCTTTTCTTAATCGAATTAATCAGAAACTTTTTAATCAGTTGATAACATGTGTATATAATCCACTTGTTTTACTATATAAATAAAATAAACATTGTACACATATGTATGTATAATACACGTACACGCAAATTTAAGAAGAACTATTTACTTATCTGACAATTGTCGGAAGAGTTGTTCACACAAAGTGAACACAAATGCAAATTGGAGAAAGAGAGAGGAGAGTTTAAGCTTTACTTTATTTTAAATCAATGTCTGCTGCGCTTTGCGGATTCTTAAAGCCCAAGTGTATTTGTGTAAAAAACGCGATGATAACATGTAGCTGTATGTTACGGGTAGAACTACCGCAGTTGGCGCATAGCGAGGCTCCCGTTGAAGAAAATGGTTCGTTTGTCAACACTATCATCTCATTGCTGTGTGGCATTGTATGTAGTAATGAACAGTACAATAAACCCGTAGGTAAGACAACTACTCTACTGCAGAGTTGTTTTATCATTTGTCATTCTCACAACTGATCTTGTTCACTTATCTGTCTCTGTATTGTCGTTGTGTTAATACGTGAAAATACAGCATTTGTCGTTACTTGTGCAATGTAAGCGAAGTGACGTTAGCAAGAGAGTTAAAAAAAAGTTTAATGCTTTCTAATAAAGAACAAATCTAATCAAATGTCTACTCTGCTCTGATCTTATTAAAAACATGCTTTCTCGATTAACAGGTTGGTGAGATATTAACAAGATCGCTTAGATTTGTCACACTACTCGTTTAAAATCTATATATCACGTTTCGCACAGTTATTAGGCTGTCGCTTCCAAGTTTATGTGATAAAACAGTATCTGAAAAAATTGTCAAGTAAAAAGTTTTTTGAGGCGACAATCTCGTAACAAGATGATATATACGAAGAAAGAATGAACAGTAAGTAATAATTAATTTTACATTTTTCTTTTAAATTGCAGAAACGCACGACAGAGGATTCAGTAAAGATATATGTCGCAGTATGGTTGCTATGTTGGATACGGATCACTCTGGCAAACTTGGTTTTGAGGAATTCAAAAATCTGTGGAACGACATCAGAAAATGGAGGGTAACTGTCGCATCCTTCCAACCGCAATTTCTTGAACAATTTTGTGTAAATTTGTGTTTTTATATAAAGATATGTACATGTGACTGAAATTAAAATGTTTCAGGCCGTTTTCAAACTGTACGATAAAGATGAATCGGGATACCTAAGCGCATTCGAATTAAGACAGGCCTTAAATAGCGCCGGGTATCGCTTAAATAATCACATTTTGAATATTTTGGTTCACCGTTACGGCACCAAAGACGGCAAGATTACTTTCGACGATTATATAATGTGCGCTGTCAGGCTTAAAACAATGTTCGGTAAGTAAAAATTTTACTTGGATATACGTATTATAGTTTTTTATTGCAACATTAACGCGTAACAATGTGTTGAAAATATCCACTACTCTAATGTTGCAGATATCTTCAGAGAGAGAGATCCGGATCAAACCAACACAGCTACTTTTACCATGGAAGAATGGATGGAAAAGACACTCTATTCATAATTAAAAAAAAAAAAAAGAAGTTTATATTTTATCATATTATACAACGATACTCCGATTTTATTTATATATTTAAAATTGTTTCTGATGATATTAATAACGGCAGTTGTAATTGCGATCAAGAGAATTTATTTTTTAAAGACATAGAGACGAGAGAGAGAGAAAGTGTTCCTGGAATGTAACTGCCTTAAAAAACGATATATTGTGAGATCTGTTACTCTCTTATCTTCAAATTGATATTTTATAATAAGCATAGAAATGTACATGTGTTTATATAAAGATCTAAAATATACATATATTTATAAAAGAGTTATAAGAGTTTTACATAAAATATTTTACTTTAATATCTCATTAACATTTATGTAACGTGTCACACAGGACTTCTATAAATTTCGAAATAAAACATTTTTATCTACCAAAGTGACAGAAATATTGTCAAATGGTGAGATTGAAAAAAACCTCTCGTTATTTTTCGATATTTCAGCTCGACTCGTCATCTCGACAGAGTCGAAAATCGCGAGTGAAAAAAACAAGAAAACTTGCTCGTTTGAAGAAGAAGCGAGAAGGAGAATGATCGAATAGAGCTTTGGATGGGCGAATGATGGCGTTACGAGAGTTCAGTCCTATCAGTGTTCAGTGTTGCAAACTTTGGCCGGCTAGCACGAGGTGGTGGGAGCCATGTGGGAGCCACTGGGAACACGCATACAAGCGAGAATCGCCCCGTCCCGTGTGCGTGACGTCACATTCGGCACGTCGGCTTGTTGAAGAGTGCAGACGTATTATGTTCCATCTCCTTTCCACTTCAAGCCGGCTCGACAAGATGAAAGACGAGGCATGTTCACGTTACGTTGCGCCCTTGTTTCTTAGGACACAACGTGAAACACTTTTTCGAGATTAAAAATCTTGGAAACAGTGCATGATATTATTGATAATGATAAAACATCTTAATATGAATTATATATTTGTATTAATTATTAATATGAGTGAACGTGCGGTAAAAGTTTTTTTTTTTATCATTATCAATAATATCATGCACCGTTTCCAAGATTATTAATCTCGGAAAAGCGTTTCGCGTTGTTATACGCAACAAGGGCGCAACTTAACGTGAACATGCTCCTCGTCTTTCACCTTGGCTGCGGTCCGTTTTATGCTTAAGCGCACATTTATCTATAGTATACGTGACATATACTACAGATAAATGCGCGATTAAGCATGAAACGGACCGCAGCCCTTGTCGAGCCGGCTTGAAGTGGAAAAGAGACGAAACATAACACACAGTCTGCACTCTTCCACGACCCGACGTGCCGAGCACGCCACGCATAGATGCCAGATCGGAGACTCAGTAAGCATGCAACAGCAAGTGGAGGGGATACGCACACAGGCGACAGCCGTGTCCGTGTGCGTATCCCCTCCACTTGCTGTTGCATGCTTACTGAGTCTCCGATCTGGCATCTATGCGTGGCGTGCTCCCAGTGGCTCCCTCATCTCGATGCTCTCGGTGCTAGCCAGCCAGAGTTTGCAACACTGGTTCAGTCCTAAGTCCTACCAGAGATGCCAGTTCTGATACGCTTGGAAGCATGCAGCAGCAAGTGGAGGGGATGCGCACAACATCAGCAAGCATTTACTCGCTGCTTTGTGCACATCCCTTCCACCGTTATAGCATGCTGCGAACGTCTCAAAACTGGCATCTCTGCGTCTTACCAGTGGCTTCGCGGTGTTACACACATACACGCACACGCATCACGCACACACGTTTCCACAGGAGGAAGTTATTTCGGAATTTATTCCAATTTCCTACAGAGCTTCAACAACATCAGAGAATTCGAGAAAAGTCGGCTGAGAACTTGCGTAGAATCGTGCTTTGATTGTGTTCTCTCTTAGTAAATCGTAGTATCATACACACAATGGCATCGAAAGATTTTAATGTTACTTTTATCAACAACATACAATTAGGTTTGGAAGTTAAGCCTACGCAAGAGGTATGTATAAAGTATTTTTAAAAATTTATGCAAATTACAGGCATATCCTTTTTTTGAATGTTATACGCAAAGAAAATAAATATCGTGTTCTGATAAGATTATCAGGATTAATCTAGCAAGCAATATATGTATATTTTTACGTGTATATATATTTCGATGAGATATCACATGGGAAAAATTATAGTGAAATTTTGTACAAAACAGTTTGATCATTGGAACGCAAAAGTAACAAAATTACAGCGACAAACATGTTAAAACATCATCACGAGATCCGTTGAAACATTTGTGCATAAAAAACATTGCTGTGCAATTTTTTTGTGTTTATTATACAGTTACATTCAGCGCTATCTCGAAAACATCTGTTTAATTCGATTGTGTTTGTTCATTTCTTTCACGAAAAACACAAACTTCCACAGGTCGAGGAAAAATGAAAAAGATGAACGCAAAATTATTATATTTACGCGAACACATCTCAACAGTTATCTAATTTTACTTTTACAATTCTTTTGGATTAACTTAAAAAAAAAAAACATTTGAGAAATAAATTCCTGTGTAGCTTGAATTATCTGATTCTTAACATTTGTGTTAACAAAGAAGTTGTTGACTGTATTTAATTTGTCATGCGAGTGAAGACCGCACAGTTTCAACCAAAGACAACACTTTTATTTTCAGCAAACTTTTGAGAGACTACGTATTTGTCAATCGTTGGTAAATGAAACATGGGAATATATTGATCCCACACCGAGCATTTATGAATTGTTTGTGCAATTCAACAAACAATTTTTCTGGAATGTTTTGGAATCTGTAGAAGTCAAATGGAGCAAAAGAATGACGAGGTAAACATGTCTCTTACACAATTGAAATATAAAATTTATCATTTATATATTATTCTCATTATATTTTTCTGTGTAACACGTAATCTTTTAGTTCTGCCGGAGTCTGCAGCTTTCATTCACGTAACAAGCAGTGTATAATATCGTTAAGTGAACCATTATTAAAATTAAGGCCGAGAAAAGATCTCGTGGAGACTTTACTGGTGAACATTTTTATGCGTGTAAAACAATAAATTGCAAATGAGACAATTTTTATAAAAATGTTGAAATGTGCTTTTTTTTATTGCAGCACGAGATGATTCACGCGTATTTGTTCTTAACAAATAACGATCGAGACAGAGATGGTCATGGACCAAATTTCTGCGAGCACATGAACAGGATAAACAAACTGGCAGGGACAAAAATTAGCGTGAGTTTTTAATTTTATTTTATTTTTCACCATTTAAAACATAAAGATATTAAGCATGACAACGTGTGGTTATTTCTTCTTTTTAACTCGGTTAAAATTAATAAAATTTTTAAGACAACAAGCTTCTGTCAGTAGTATTTATTTACAATATTATTTTATTCGTGTAACAATATTTTATTGTGTTAAAAAAAAACACAGATTTATCACGATTTCCATGAGGAAGTAAAGCTATATCAACAACATTGGTGGAAATGTGACGGACCCTGCCACCGTAGGCCACCATTTTTCGGAATGGTTCGGCGAGCTATGAATCGTCCACCTGGTCCGTCGGACTGTTGGTGGTTTAAACATCAAAGTAGTTGTAGTGGCAAATTCATAAAAGTGAGAGAGCCGGAGAACTTTAAATCACGCTCGAAACAAAGTTCTGGAAAGTCAAATCTCAAATCAAAAAGTGAAAAACCCATTAGCGATTGGTTTTCAACGACGTCTAGTTCGTCGAGTGGTGCAAGCAGACTTGCTTCTTCCGAAGTCCTCACTGAAAAAGATTCCAAACTCGCACGACCTGGCATTAGTCGAGATAACGACACAAATTCTAACGAAAAATATACTTCACACACGTCGAAGAAGATCGGCAACTCGAGTAACAACGTGCACGGGTGGGGCACCGGTGGACCAAACAACAAATCTGAAAAAAATAATATCGTTTTAACTAAGAACGTCTTTTCCTGTTCGGGCGTTTTGGGCGGCAGCAACAGCGGACGAAGTAATCTCTTGGCCAAATTTTTATCCACAGGAGACTGCAGAAGTCAATCGACTGACAGAGAATCACTGTCGGATACGCCATCGACCTCACGACAGACGTCTGCTGGTATTTCGCTCTCGAATCCAAGTCAGTCAGGAAACAACTCCATACCTTGTCCTATATGCAACGTACCTATGACCATAAAAAATTTATATACGCATATAGATTCGTGCTTGATAAATGATAATAACGACAATATCGAATTGATCGACGAGATCAACAACAATATCAACAACAACAACAACGAACTGATATTACCTATGCCCGCGGCACCCTCATCGTCACAAAGCGAGGATGTGTCGCATAATAAACGCGTTAAATTGGAAGATGATAACATTTCAACCAGATACGTCAATTGTCCCGTTTGTAACAACACATTTCCAGCCGACGACATTAATGAACATCTTGACGAATGTCTGTTGCATACCGAGACTGTTCACAAAGAGCCGATTGCGTCAACTTCGAGCGCATCGAACGACAGTGTAATTAATATCAACAGTTCCTGTAGTTCCGACGTGGACGACTCTGCGATTACGAGTCCGGTAGCGCAACCGTGCGACACCAATGAAACGGAGAAGAACCAAATATGTTTAGTTTGCAACGCACAGATCCCGCTTGAGACGTCGTTAAACGAGCATCTTGAGGAATGTATCGGTGATCTCTTTCGCGATGATAAAATGGACCCTAAGGAGGACGAGAAGGATGATAACACCATTGTCATAGAAGATAACCCCACGGAGAGTAAATATCCTTGTCCCGTGTGCATGCAGATGATATCAGAAAATTTGATGAATCAGCATCTAGATACGTGCCTTAAAAACGAAGAAATAATCTTATAAGAAGAAAGAAAGCAACGATATAAATAATATATTTTGCAAAAATAAGGATATAATTTCTACCTTATCAATGAGTATTATCGTTTTAACTCTCGAAATTTTGCATTGTGATTTTTTTGTTTTTGTTTTGTTTTGTTTTGTTTTCTTTTTTAACAAAAAAGTAATTTGTGTGCACTTATATATGGAAAAGCCAAAAATTGAAAACGTGATTATACTGGGAATAAAAAAATATAATGTAAAACACTTTTGTACACTTAACATATTGTAGAGAAATAAAGCAAACTGAAGTTCAAAAAAAAAAAAAAACAAACAAATCTGACCTCAATGATACCTATCCAAGACTACATCCTATAAGAACAAAGTAAATATTATTACAAGATGTATTATTTTTAGACTTGCCAAGTAAAAAGTAATTTATATATGCAATGTATTATTATCAAACCTTTTCGTGTGTGTGGGTGTGTTTTATGTAATGCTGATCAATTTTAAAGTAAGTTTCCCCTTTCACGTATCTCGAGAAAATAATCCATAAAGATCGCGCGTGGTTTTGCCGAATGGGAGTAAGATTTCACGTATGCGCACTCTCCATTTTGGTGGGCCTATGTATATATACGTAAAAAAGAGGATTCATGATCGTTACTAACCAGTAGCCACTAGTAGTGTGTTTACCGTGCCAATATCATTCAACATTTGGCATCACGTGGCTGTCGGATACGTGCTGGAGTGTCCGCAATGTTAATGTTAATATTGCAATGTCATTTCAAACAATACGCGAACTGAAACTGCAAGTAAGGCCGCTCCGGTCGATTCGAAAAATAAACGTTTGAAACACTTGTGCTGCGCTCAACATCCATCAGCTGTGCGCGCTCCCAAGACCGACAAATCGCGCTTTCTTTTCGGAGCGGTGGCATCAACCCACCATGGCATTGTCTTCGTGGTATTTGTTCTTTATTTTGCCGACGGTTGTGTTCATCGGTTTGCTTCGCAAATGCCGCGAACGCACCTGGGGACGATGCAAGAGCACGACTAACCTGCAAGGTCAGGTATTTCTTGTTACGGGAGCCAATTCGGGTATCGGCAAGGAAACGGTGAAGGAGTTGGCCAAACGAAAAGCCACAGTTATAATGGCCTGCAGAGACATGCAAAACGCTAAAAACGCCATGGCCAACATACGCAATACAATACACACCGGCGAACTGGTAATCACTCTGTTAAATTGGATCTTCTCTAGTTTTTATATAAATAAACTATTTAATTTCAAAAATCTAGCTTGATGCGTTATACTTTTCTTTTACATTCAATGTAGCTCAGATCTATCTAGATAAATATTGCTTTTTACACAATTGTCCAATTACAGATTCCAATGAAGTTGGATCTTGCATCGTTCTCATCGATACGAGAATTCGCCGATGAGGTGCTAAAATCTTTCCCCAAAATCGATGTATTGATCAACAATGCTGGCGTGTATGCACCCCTCAAGGATTGCGCAATGACAAAAGATGGTTTCGAGATCCATTTTGGAGTGAATCACCTGGGCCACTTTTTACTTACTAATCTACTTCTGGACCGTTTGAAAGAGAGTGCTCCCAGCAGGTGAGTGTGACATCGAAATAAAATGAGCAATGAAAAGTGACGATAGGTTGATGTATTAACATTCTCTTACAGGGTGGTAGTGGTCACATCCAAGCTTTTGGAATCCGGAGTGATAGATTTTTCGAACCTCAATGGCGAGAAAGGATTGCCAGTGAAGAGCAGAATGAATCCCGGCTATTGTAATTCAAAACTTGCGAATGCATACTTTGCTATGGAACTTGCCAAGCGAACACAGAATACTGGCGTTAACGTTTACATGGTGTGTCCCGGATTTACCTATACCGGTTTGTTCAGAAATGTGAAGAGAAGTTGGTTCCACTACATCATTTTCTCACCCATTGCTCTCATGTTTCTACGTACTGCAAATCAGGTAAATTGTCACGTGTTGTGTATCACACAATTATCTTAAAACAATATTTAATAAAAAAAATTTATTTGTTTACATTATTCAAGTTCTCTAATTGCAAATATATGTTTCACACAGGGCGCGCAGACAGTGTTGCACTGCGCGACAGAATCGTCTTTGTCTGAAGAAAGCGGACATCTGTATCGTGACTGCAAACTCTACGTTTCGAAAAAAAATCTGGATCCCGAGACGGCGCTTCGTCTGTGGGACATAAGTGCAAAATTGACTGGCTTGAGAGAGACGGTGAAGTAAGGCGACACGCGCATTAATCTGTGTTTTATTTTCGTGTTGTGTCAAGTAACGTACGTAATTCATTTCTCTTGTTCCAAATGTGACTAGCATTTAATTTTGTATATATTAAACACACGTGGGATAGAGACAGTAAGAGAGGAATAAATATATATAATGTGCCACATCTTTAAGTTCGCGCTTACATTAAATAGTAGTACAGAGAAATCGTAGCGAAAAGAGACCTTTTTTATATACATATATATATATATTTTAACATAAGACTAGTGTACATACATATATATTATATATATATATATATCATATATATATATATATATATATTTTTATATATTTTGTTCTTTCTTTTCTATGCACGCTGACCGTTACATACACACGTGAGTATGTGCGTTGCGGCAATTTAATGTCCTTATATAGTAATTCTAAAAAAAAAAAAAAGGCCCCTTTACTTGGTGGCGGTCGTTACTTTGAATTTTGTGTACAACAGATCGTCGAGATTGCGCGATCTTGTTGTAGAATACGTAAATTCTTACAAATCAAACATGCGTGCCATGTTATACGTTTTAAAAAAAGTTTATGTAAAGAGAGATCAAATTTAAAAACCAAAAATACTCTCTTAGGAACAAACGCACGTCGTCGGTTCTCGAACACTTGTCCACACGTACAAACAAAAATCTTACCTTGTTCAGTAGGAAAATGCGTCAAGTGTCATATCCGTCGTTGTGCAAACAAAACATAGTTATTTTATTTAGCGGATTTATTGATATATTTGTCATTGTATAAATAAATAAAATATATATTTTAGGTGTAGACAATTACGAGTCTTTATTCTGTGTTCCTTTTCATATACATATATATATTATAATTCCGTTTGCTATAACTTCTTACATAAATGTATTGTCACAAAAAAGGCGAGTCATCACAACAAGGCGGAATTCGTTCTCATCAATATCTGCTGCTGTTTTAATTTCAAGAGAGAGAGAGAGAGAGAGAGAAACAAAGATGCGTATCGATCTCCTATTGATTTGTCATATATACATACTATACATAGTAAAAAAAAAAAATAGAACATTTTATTTTGCAATATTTATTTTAATATTCTATTTTGTACGACACGATATATACTCGATTAAATCATCGCGCGTTGTATTATATATGCGTGTTTTATCTTACCGCAGAATGAATTAATTAAAGTTTCTCGTACAATCCGTCAACGTTGGGACGATCGAGCGTGCATATTCCGCAGCTGAACTCCAACACGTGATTAGGAAAGAAAAGTAAAACTTGCTCCTTCGTCCAGTGCATGTACAGAAAAATATTCGGTAGAAAGATGTCGATTGCTCCTGTGCTCGTTTTGATCCTGCGTTTCACGACGACTAGTTACGTATTTGATAATTGCACGTTTTTAAAAAAAAAAAAAAAAAAGTAACGTAATTCCATAAATTCGTAATTTATTTCAAAAACCATTTCTTCGCGCGTCTTTGAGGTGGACTTTACGAATTACGAAATTACTCTTTTTTTTACTCCACTTTTTTATTTACAGTTATCTTTTCCCTACTTACTTCTTGGTTCCTAGCGTATGGAACACATGATCCGATTGCAAGTGTACGTGCGACGTAGCGTTGTACAGAGTTCCTTTATTATCCTTGCCGGCTGTAATTTGTATGGTTCCCGACTCGTCGGTTAAGTTGAGATTAATGCCGTGCAAACTGTTGCCCGCCGTTAACGCGAGTCTCGGCTTCTCATCGTAACATTGCCCGAGCAATATTACTTCCTTGTTCTCAGCGAAAGCATAGAACGTGTTGTAAGCCGATTTTATAGTATCCGGCGTTATGACACACGTGCCTGGGGATGTGCAAAAATAAAATAGAATTTTTATAGCAAATTATAAAAGAAAACAATCGTATACGCAACGTTTATACATTACTTACTGGAAAACACTCGGAATAAATCTATTTCTGTATATTTGTGAATTCTCGTTCGCGTGAGAAAGGCGTCAACGTAACGCGAGTCAAATTCAACGGCAACTTTGTCCCCGTTAAGTTGCAATTCGCACCGTTCCGAGTCTTTCGGAAAAACTGCGGTTACCTCGACTTCGTCGGACTTCCTCGCGGTGCTGCTGTTTCCGCCGATCAAATCGTACGAAGCGTACAATTTCCAGACCAGCTTGGACAAAGTGTCCGGCAACTGTTGTTTTTTTTTTTTTGCATCAGACAAATGTTTGTGCGTATGTAAATTGTTGCATAAAAATGGTAAGTCTGTGTGCGAGAAAAAACAATTTCACGAAATCTCTTTAACTTACATTTTCGTACCGCGCGAGAATTTTGTATCTGCGCAAAGTCGACAGTTCCCTCGACGCTTCGTAACAGGAGTTCGTGTAAGGAACGAACTTCTTCCCGGCTGATTCCTTTCTGCATTCGCCGTAAGGCCAATTTGCCGTCTTGCTCTCCTCGAGCTGTTCACTGCTGATTTCGCCTAACAAATCCATCGACACGGAGGATCCGGCGCATTTGCCTCTCACGGTATCGGACGGTCCCCAGATGATATTCAACTTGACCTGGGACTCGTCGCTCGGCTCGTTACTCAAGAACTCCCACTGCCACGGCGAGTGTCTGTCGATCTCTACGCAAAACTAAATCGATCGAATCACTTTCGGTAATGTTCGATAATATTTGAGGTGGATAGAAAAAAATCATTGAATTTACCTTGAAAACGCTTTCGCCGGGCACGCTCTTGCTCGCTTTGATTTTAATGACGTCCGACAACCAGTCAGTGCCTTCGTGCAACGCAGCCATGTTCCACTGACAGAGACTCTGGGAGGATTCTAGATCGTAATGCGTCAAGGACAAAATGTGGAGGTTCTCGTTTTTTGAATACGCCAATTTCGTCTGAAATGTAAAACAAAAAGACGATAATTTTTCATTCGATACATGTGCGAACGCACAGCCAAGCTCACCTGCGAAGATGTTGATTTGAGTGCTTCAATGTAAGCGGCTACTCCGCAACTGCCTTTTGGCGGCAAATAGTTGAAGTAATCCCAAAAATGCAGCCCAGCTAAAGCAAATCTTACACTCGGCCATGTTCTACGCAATTCACAGTAAAAATAATTTGTATATATATGTGCAATTTATAACATATATAAAAAAAATAATAAAAATACATGCAAAAGTAAATAAATATACATAGATAATGTGCAGACAAATGTAAATTACATATGATATGTATCAAATTACTGATAATTGCTACGATGAGAAGACCAGATGTCGTTGATCAATGTTCCGTGCGACAACGTGTTCTCACAATCGAATATCTTCACCCGTAGACGGCCGCCTATTTCGGCAAGTTGAGCGTCAAGAATATTCACGGTCTATGCGCGAAAAAAGGAATGTTGTACAAAAATAAGGAATCATAAAAAAAAAAAAATAACGATTTAAGTGTTTATAAACAACAAACAAAATAATTCGTGCGATATTCACTTGGGGATGAGATAAGGGCGACTTTGTAACTATGTGCGATGCGGAGCACGAACGACAGACTCGCTCCAATTTCGATTTCACATCGGCGCCTCTGATACTCGTGAGCGTTCTGGTATGGGCCGTAATTCCTGTCTTGATGTATTCTGCAATGTGCGGTTTTTTAAAGATGTAAATAAAAATCGTAGGATATTCACACGAAATTTTTCAAGCACTCTTATAGAGATCTAAAAAAAAAAACAAAAAAAAAGAAACTACAACTTGTATAATTTTTATTGATAATAAAACAGAGTTGTGTACGTGACACCTCCGAGAGTATCGTATGAAATGTACGGCCGTTCCTCGAGTCCAAGTGTGATGTTGATAGGAAGATAAACGTGTAGAGACTGAACCCTCTCGGCGCTGTGCCACAAATCAACCAACGGATTATAATTCTCTATCCTCTCGATGCCGTGACTAGACGTGCTGAAAAAAAAAAAAAAAACAGACATCGAGCGCACAAATAATTCTGTTGCTTCAGAGAAATGAAGGATTTTTAATTATTACAAAAATGTGTAAGTAAAACTTATATTTACAAAAACAAAAAGAAAATTCTCTCACCGTAAAATAACGTGATTATTACGTCCGGGAAAATTGCGGGTGAAATTTCCTCTCATTGAGAACAAAGATATTCCCGTCGTCGCGAGCCTCACGTTGGTACCGAGATCCGTCGCTTGCAACGATTCTATCGTCAACGGTACGTTTATACGTTGCTGATTAATGTGAAATTCCATGTTGTAATATATGTGGTACAAGTTGTCGGACAAGGAAGACAAATCTGAAAAAACGCGATGCATGCGTTTGACTGACGTCAAACAACGACAAGAATAACGCAAATGTGTACAAGCATCGTTCATTGTTCAAACTCACATTTTAATCCCTCGATTATAGTTGTCTCGTTCCAATGAACGCACAGCACTGTCTTTTCCTGAATACGCGCGATCACCTCCAAATGCACAGGGTTCTTTCTTCGTTCGTCCACCTTGAATTCCTTCAAGATGTCTTTTATATTCGTCGGATTTTCGATGGAAATCGTCGCCAACGAGTGAAAGATACCCTCCGCTTTGATGTACAACTAATCGTCGAATCGAAAGAAATTCGACGGTAATCGAAAGTTGTTGCAATGATTCGTGTAACCAATGAGAACATTTTTTTTGTTCTCGTCTTAAGAAATAAACAACTTACAGACACGTGATTAGTGTGCATCCCGTTGCCGTAATTGTTCAAAGTTATGTAAATTACTTCGGGAATATTTGTCGAGGGATTAGCCACGATGATGCCGTGCAGCATCGCGCCGAATTTTCTCACGGAGTCCTGATAATCGATCAGATAGTTACCGGTGACGATGCGTTCGCTGTTTCGCGGTTTTCGAAGCAAGCGACTAAATTGCGCCGCAATTCTGCCTCTGCAAATATCACAACCTAATAATCACAACCGCCGCGAAGAAATTGTTGAAACTGTTATATTGTTGCTAATAATCATTTCCCGTTTAATCGAGAAATTGACATATTTACATGCTTCTGTAACAAGGGTACGTAGTGCGTTCCACGGACTTCAACATGGTGTAAAAGTAATTGTACAAGTGCTGACTGGGCTCGCTTTTCATGTACCAGTACAGAGATATCAGTCGCTTGGGGGTTGGACTGGAAAGCACGAGCAGAGTCAACGCGGCTACTCTCATTTCCAGATGCTCGGTTTGATTGACCAAGATCGGCCAATACACGGGATAGATCTGCAACGAGTACTTGTTCCAATGAGATACCGATACTCGCGCGTGATATTCAGTCAATCGCAAGAGAATTGTTTTTTATTAATGAAGAAAAATAACTCACAACGTCGGGTCTCAACGGTGCTGTGGGAATAGAAGCCCAGGCCGCGAGTACTCGGAAATGTCGCGACTCCGCATCGTTACTGCTGCTGGCTATGGGCTCCAGGAATTCAACAACCCGGCCCAATTGTATGTTCGTCAAACCTCCCAGCCAGATCATCTTCTGTTCGTACTGAGTGCTCTCTGTAAATAAACACATAGGATTGAACAGTGTTTTTCTGTCCGACAAATGAAAAAAATGAACAATTAAATCGTTGCGTGTACAAACACACACACACACACACACACCTGTGAATTTGTCCAGATACAAACGTACGTAATCGTCCAGCATCTCGTACGGGCAATACGCCAAACAGGTTTTGTATATCAATGTTCCGTACGCGAGAATCGCTGTGTTTTGCACTTCCCTGGAGATCTTGCTCGACAGAGTGAGGAGCGGATAAAGATCCACGAGCAGTTGCGCGTTCGGTTCTCTTATGTGAAACGGTAGCCGCGTAAGGAGCTGAATCGCGGTCATGTCGGACACTCTTTTACTCTGAATAAGTTCCAGTATAAAAAGCGCGGATTCCTTACTCCCAACCTGCGGCAGCGCTTCGAAGAACATATTCCTGTATAGCAATTATATTAAAAAAAAAAATAAAGTAAAAAATACATAACGACGTTATTACGTTACTGATTTTTTTTTTTTTACATTGAAAGAAATAAAAGGAAACAAAATTAAGATATACCGGATCGTTTCCTCTTTGTAACTAGTGCCCGAGATTTTGTTGTAAGTTTTTTCGAGATCAACGCGATCCAACATCCCCATATAATAGAGAAGCACGGATATCGTTGTATTGTGCAAGTTATGAATCTCGGTGTCCAATCCGGGATTTTCGAGCCTGTGACTCAAACGATCCAACAAACCACTTATCTGTAAATTTTTGATCGATGATGACTTAACATTCAACTGTTAAGAGAAATAAAAAAAAAAAAAAAAAATTACGGAGAGAAAAAACTTACGGATTTAAAGACAAAGGTTTTGTCCGGAGGGCTTCTACCTTGGGTGAGATCCGCGTCTGGCAGCTCGTGATGAAGAACTGTGTTTCGCAAATTGTTTACGAGTATTTTGCTCGTTATATCCTTGACGGAAGACAAGTCAATAGTTTGTCTATTCGGGATAAAGCAAAAGTGTGACTAACGAAGTGACCACGTATCGGGTCAAAAATTGTACGTGCCAGCGCGACAATAAATAATTGATTATTAAAATTCAATTCAATTATTTTTTGTTTTTTGTAGCGACAATAATTTGTTTTTAAAATAATCGTCAAATTTAACATCCATGTCGAACGTACTGAACAAAGTGGTAATGCGCCTCTCCCATGCCTTGAAAGGGTTGTACGTAGATACCTCCGGATGCGTTAACCGAAATAATATCGTGGATGGATCCATCGGTTTTCAATCTATACACTCTCTCGCTACTTTTCAGAATGGGATTCTGAAGTACAAACACACACGAAGCGTTAGTTTCAATGATAAAAAAAAAAAAAACACTTGGGGTGTAAAATAGTGACTCGAGAGATAAGTTGCGATTAGCTGAAGCTCGAGTCACATATTTTAGCGCCCTTATCTTGTCAGCAGTAACAACGTACTTGATACTCGTCAGAACATTGAACTTGCGGAACATTTGACCAATTGCGACACAGATGCCCGGTACACAAACGAGGATCTAGCGACTTTCTTATCAAACGCCGATCCTCCCCTTCGGAATTCACGACGTAATCAATATCGCACTTGCCGTAATGATTTATCTACGAATTATTGTTTTCTTGTGACGAATTGTACAATTTGTTTGTAGTAATATTATTTAGACATCGTATTTTTTTTTTTTTTTTTTTTAATATAACTTATTCAAGTTTACCTCGGTGGACTGAAAAGCGACTTCCTTTTCTAAATTGATTAGATCTAATTGCAAAATACCAGCAATGCTCCGTTTTATGTTTGTCACCCACTTAGGCTCGGCTTCGATACTGAAGTTCTCGACGAGTCCTTTGTTGTACGATAATCGAAAGGGTTTCAAAAGTTCTAGGCCGTCATCGTAGACATCGATGGGTTTCACGATTTCGTTTACATCTCCGTTTCGCAAACTCGTTTTCAACGATTGCAACTGATAAAAATTTCGCGCGTCAAAAAGTAATAAAATAATCACGAAAACAAAAAATAATATTTTATTTTTACATCAAAACAGAAACAAATTAAACTAGAGAGTAATATTTATGTAGAAAAAAAAAAAAAGAAAAACAAGTTTCCAAAATACCTGCAGTGTGACATAATTGTCCTCCGCCTGAATCACGAGTTTTCCGTCAAGGGTCCACGAAGACGCTGCACTGGAGGGCACCAACACGCCAGTGCTTGACACAACGTTGTAAAAGTACACGTATTCCTTTCCAGATTTAAATAAACTTTGCGCGACATTTTCGGTGCTTAAAAAAAATAAAACTACAAACAACGTTCTTCCTATTCCTCGCGCTAATTCGGACATAAAACTAGTATCTGCGAAAGAAAGTTCTCTTAACCATTTGAGTTTTTTAACAAGTTTATGTTGGAAATAACAGAAGAAAAAAAAATCATTTCTCTTCTCAAGTATTTCCTTTTTAAATAAAAAAAAAAAAACTATTTCAGCAATATGTACGTGTGACTTATATACCTGTGAGCATTATGATGTGTAATCGCGTAGCTCGATGAAAGCGAACTGAGTTGAAACAAGTCAAAGAATTGACCCTTACCACTTTTTATCTTTCACTGTGACCTATGTGAATACACGTGCGCTATGTGTACATATACAAACACACACGTATACACACGGAGGAGATATACACACGGAGTTACACTCTAACGTATTATCTTCAATCATACGGATCGCACATATATTACATTTTATCGCTGACCGTTTTTTTCTTACAATACAAGGAAAGTAATATAAGACACATAAATGTACACATCTTAAACTGCGTGCGCAGATGAAAAATTGAAGCAGGATGAATCACACATCCAAGTATAAAAAATCAATTCGATTACGCACAATACGAACTAGCGTATTGGTTAGTTGGTTTACAACGTAAACAAAATGTCAGTGTAACTAAAAAATTTATAAGAGTTGAAAAGAGAACAGAGAGTCCCCGGAAAACCAGAACACCTTTAACAATCTCTGTTTTAAATTTTTTATTGGCAGCAGTTAGATTAATAAGATGTGAAAAGATATAAAATGAGCAACAGCATCAATTTTTTTCTTTTCAAGTAAACAATTTAACTGAACTTGTAAATTTATAAAATGTTATGTAATATTTCACACACATGTGCGAGATGATAAATACGCATACATATGTTCTTGGCAAAATTCGAACGCTCAAATACTATGTACATGTTTATTCTTCATTTGTTTGTTTTATATATATATATATATATGTATGTATATATATATATATATATATATATATGTACAATTTTATTAATTCAGAAAACGTTGTGTTTATTACTGTACAAACTTGCATTTCTGCATTTATTATACATCTGTAGTGACACTTTACTGTATTACATCATATACACATGTTTTTTATATTATATTGTGTGTATAAAACTATCAAACAAACTTACATATTTTCTAAAAGCAACAAGTTGTGGTAAAGTAATAACTTATACACATGTAAGTAATCAAACATATTTTACGTTGGCTTGATTATTTTCAGGATGGACTTGGAGTATTCCCATGCTTCACTGTAAAACACGTAATCTTACTTTAAAGATGCGTTCGCATAAACCGCAATTTTTCGGTTTATAATACAAAATTCGGCCGTTCCGTGAAAAATAAATGTTTTTGTCTTAGAATCGAGTGTTCTGTTAATTTGTAATTAAAAACGGACACTCACTTGTGCGCAGGATTTGCTTGATCCAACTGTTTGCTTAGTTGCTGAATAAGGGCGCCGAACATTTTGAGGTGTTCTATAGTTTCACCTTGTAACCACGCTCTTGGTAGTGTGCTCACGATCTGATACAAAGTGACGAACATGTAATTTTTCAACGCAACAATATTTTATCTTTAGCAAAGTATACAAAAAACATTTGTATATAATCACCATGTTTGCTTTGAATAAAGCGTCGGTTGGACAAGAAACTCGCAATCCCGCCAATAAATAACGATTCAAAAGCGAACCCAACGCCAAGTTTTTCAACTGCATGTCTCCGAGAAGGCCTTGCCAACTTAATAAATTGCGAAGCAACTTAACAGCCATGGCGAACTGTCTTTGAAAGAAAGAATGCTTTGTATCCCAAAACCTGCAAAAACATAAAACGATCAATTCAGGTTGAAAATAGCAAAGAGACAGTAAACACTGAATAATATAATAACAATAATGATAAAAAAATAATAATAATTTGATAATACATTAGTAATTTTCTATCAACTAGTGATCTTCTATCAACTAACTGTTTTGGAAAAATGGGTATAAAGACATCATTCTCAACGGCAGCTTTGATCTTGTCTAAAATAGCATTAAACAACTTCTCTAACTGTTTGCTCGTGTCATTTAAATTCGGATATTCCTTGATCAGTCGACTTATAGTCCCTACAAGTCGTAACGTTTGGGACGTTGACATCGGATCCCACACTTTTTCGATAATAGCTGAAAATTAAATATTGAAGTGTTAAACACACTGCGTTGTCGAGAGAGAAAGAGAGAGAGAGAGAGAGAGTACAATTTTTATATATAAATAAAGCTAGGAAGAATAAATTAATTATTTTTTCTGAACAGAAGCTGAATTAAATTTTACGACAGGCTCAAAATGATCTTAAAAAGCCTGTGAGGCACAATCACATATTTACATGTCAATTTGGGAATGACAATTTTTTCAATCGTTAATGGTATTAATTTGATGTCCGGATCTCGTCTAAGTGATTCCTCTGTTTCTTTGCTATCCAGAGCATACAAAAGCAACGTGTTGTACCACTTTGTCCTTTCGATATCGGCGCTTTCCTACAAATATCCCCGTATTAATGTTAATAATTTTTCATTAATTGTACACGTCTTATCTTCTGTTGCAAAGAAGAAATGAGTAAGATACCATAATCGGGTTCCACGTGAGTAATTGTAATCTGATAATTGGTGAAAGTATTTTCGGCAAACACAACGACACGTAAGCTTCCGTGTACGCGTCTATGTCGGTTTCTCTCCACGATTCGAACTTCGAAAGAATACCACGTACTGTACAATACTCCTCTACGACGTCGGAAAATACATTCTTCGAGTCATTGTCAATTTCATCTGTAATAAAATGAAGAGAAATAAAACACGGTTCGTTTATTCACAAAAATATACTGAGATATAAGAAATTCGAACAAATATATACAGAATATGTATAAAAGTAAAAAACAAATATATATAAAATCAAAATAAAATCGACCGCGCTACCTTTAGTTTGCTGAAACACAAGATTCTGTTGCACGGTGACCTCATCGTCACTGGACATTCCGTCGATGTGCTTCGCCATGTTCGAAGCCAATTCTCTCGCTCTTCTGCGACGAGCTCTTCTACCTTCTCTTCCCGTAGCTCGTTTTACGTGAGCATCCATTTCCGGTCCTTTTCTCGCCGAATAGCCTCCTGTAAAACAAAGGTGATTGTTTAAAATTTGTGCGAAATCTACTTCTGTGTCAAGTTGATGTCCGCATTTGGTAAGTTCTGTCGATGTTCATGGTTTTCTCACAAATTGCTGTTTTTTTAATTCAAATACCAAGTGAAATTAAAGTACAATATACTAACTTGGTCCAGCCGTTATTTCTTCCGCTTGATCCCTTGTGTCCTGCCGTCTTCGTTCCATCAATTCGGTCGTGCGTTCGCCGTACAGATCTAACCAGCGCTTCTCCAATTCGATAACCAGGGGAAGCTAACAAAAAGGAAAAACAAAACTATGCCTTTAACTCACCGAACAGATTGCAGTGCACGAAATTGATGCCTAACTTATTGATTCCGAGATTTTAATACGTAAACGCCATGTATATATTTGTGTACGTGTGCGTACGAATGCACTCGCGTGCGAGTGTCGAAACACATTAAATTCATTAGATTCACACAAGATCAGACCATATAAAAAACTAAAGAGTATTATTAACGCGTAACATTTTTTGTTGTTCCAATGACATTTGATTCTTTACGGCGTATATGAATCTGATTTAATTTCTCAGAGTTCAAAACTAATATTTTTTATTTTTTAACATTCATTAATTTCTTCCGTAATCGTGAAAATTTAATAGTGAAAACTGACACACACAATGTGTTTTATACGACAAAAAACCATTGACTTACTTACCATGTATTAATTTACATTAAAATTATATGTACTCATTTTTGTGAGATATGTGTAAGAAGTAACACACATACGTAATACAGAGAAGATAATGACCCCCGACAATGGAAATATGTGTGCATGTGTTATGTACACGCATTTTTTTTTTTTTTTTTTTTTTTTACAAGCGTTTGATTTATTAATTAACACACTACTTTGAGTCCGCGTTAATTTCTTTGATCTCATTGATATCGTCAATATTGCGGAAACAAAATTTAAAAAAAAATTTGTTTCTCTCTTACACCGTTAAGTGCACTTTTTACGCTTGTAAAACAAAGTGCGCGCAATTTATACCAATCGAAAATACAATTCGATTAGTATATGCCAAATTAATTCGGCCAATGCTCTGAAAATTTTCTAGTACTTTCGAGGCGAGAAATATATATACTGAGATGGTAAAACTTCAGAATAAGAATTAATCAAAGACTGGAGAATTTCTGCCAACCGCGTACGGTAAATCCCAGTGCACATAAATCAAACGTGACAGCGTGTCAACCCACCTTCTCATCAAGACACTCTACCAAGTCAGTGACATACCCACGCAACTCTTGGTAATAACTGAAGCGCTGCGCGTAATGCGGCGTGCGAACTTCGCCCTCGATCAATTCTTTCCTGATTTGCTCCAATTCCCGCTCTATGTTTTCCTGGTCCTGAAGATATTTCCTGTGCACCTCTTTCAAACTGCCCAACCTTTAAACAACAGTGTGCGATTGTACAAAATTGGCTCACGCAAGCGTTTCTTTATATGTGTAAAGTTCGCGATAAAGAGAGCGATACAAGACTTCGTGCGCATTCGTTTCACAACTTCTTCCGGTGTAACAGGTTCGATTTTTGTTGGATCTATTGGTTGAATGGACGGTGGCGGCGGTGGTGCAGGCATTAACACCATTTCCAACGGTACCCCAGGACCGATCATTTGATTAACATTCATGCCTATCGCGTACTGTTGTTGTAACATCGAATCCTGTTGCGCCGCTGCAATCTGCGTAGAAAAAAAAAAATCAAATTATAATAAAATTATTGCGCATTATAGCATTGTGAAAATATCAGCAAATCGTTATTGAACTATACCCTTACCTGAGCACCGGTTACACCCTTGCGTATTTGTTGAGCTTCCCATTCTTCCTCCTCGTTTTCGTGCTCGCTTTCATTATCTGAAACTAAAACAAAAACTTACTTTAGACATTACTGTCTCATCACAAGTATCTTTTAAAGCTCTCAAACAAGTAAAAAAACAAAAAAAAAATATTACATTTTAAGTCAGCTATCTTATACAAAGACTTGCATTTTATCGTAGCTTGAGATGCAAGAAACGCTTCCCTCCTTTTTTCCTTATCACGTGCTTCCGTATTGACGGTCATATCAAGTCGATCTTGCGAATCCTCATCGTCACTACGATCGTGATCTTCCTCTCGTATCAATCTTGACTTACCCTTGTCATCGCTTTATAAAGAAAAATAAAATTTCCTTTTCGTTAACAAGTAAACCACATATAATACAGATAACCATAATAAATAACAAGACAAAATTGCTACCTTTGTTCTTCAAGAGGAATGTAATCAGTTCCTAATTCTCTCGCTTTCTGCCTACGTTTTCTCGCTGCGTGAATCATAGCAGCATCAGGTATACATCCACCTAAGTGACATTAACGCTTAATACATGTATCAAACCATTATCAATAATACAGACTGAAGTATAAACATAGCCCGATAAAAGCGTTTTGAATAATTTGTTCTTCTGTGCGCATCACATAATGTGCAACACACAATTTGCATACAAAGTTAAAACAACAATCATACATACTTTCAAGAAGTATCTTTACAGTCTCGGCTTTATCTGTAGTTGAGCGAAACTTGTGACTGCAAACTTCCTCTTCTTCTTCACCCGATGTATATTCATCTTTCCCAGCTGCTAATGCAGCTCGACCATTCAAAATCAGGGGTCCTGTGTTTTTTATTTTAACCTAGCAATGAAGATTACGCATTATTTAACAAAGATAATTAAAAGGAAAAGTAAAATTAATACAAATTTTGTAATGTACATTACAAGTTATAGGAATTTCATTGTTACAAAAAAGAAATGTGTTTTGTAAAAGTACAAAATAGTAAAAATGCGTCTGCTCGCAGTACTTCCATAGTTGTTCCAAATCTTGAGATGTTACTCTTAGTAAATATTTCAGAGTATTAGATATATATATATATGTGTGTATATATTTTTAATTAATTTATATATAGATACGTTTATATATGTTGTCTCTTATAACACATATACATGTATATATATATAATATAAACAAGCTTTTTATATATATATGTAATATGTAATTAAAGAATAAAATTACTTAAATCGAAGAAAAATTGCTAATAATAATAAAACATCATAGAGATAGCTTACTACTAGATCATCTGTCTTTATTTCTAAATCTTTTTCCTGCTTAATGGATTTATTCGCTTGCTCAGTGTCCACTTGCATTTTCTCTTCACCTTTCTTTTTTCTCCTTTCGTGATCTAGCTGTTTCATCAGTTTTTTGCTCCTCGACGATTTCTTCACTATAAAAACTTCTCCGTCATCCCCTGCACACATATGTACAATTTTAATTCAGTTTTAAATATTTGAGTCAAGTAAGTTTTGTTGCCCAAGAGTTTTAACATTTTAAGCTATACATATATATATAACTAAATTCTCATTCAACAAAACAATATTGTCATTAAATTATCTCTTGCATATACATTACACTATTTTTTCTGTTCTAATTCTAAATAGAATAAACATTACTGTTGAAGTAGAAATAAAATAGATCATTCAAATATACACAAGTATAGTAATTGTACACATCACGCAAGCATTATGTGTATGTGTGTGTGTATACACCTTGTTCCAGCTCCTCTCCGAAACTGAGGAGCGTCTGCTTTGGCTTTTCCTTCTTCTTTGTCTTAATTTTGACAGGCTGCGCCTCTTCAACTTCCATTCTGTTCTCATTATCTTCATCCTCATCCTCGAAAGGACGTCGACGTATATTTCGCTTCGGTTTGTTGAACAATGACATCGTGTCGAATAACGTCAAACTCTTTTATTATAACGTACGATAGGATCGTCTACTGTCCACTTATGTATCTGCGTTAAAAACATACGATAAAATGCGGAGTATATCGCATTTCCGGGTCAAACACTAAAGAGCCAGATTACAAATTCACGTCTCGCAATAATATCCTGTCGTACATTTACTTAGAAATCTACGCGTAACATCCAAAATCCGAAAAATCAGCCGAACGTGATGCAAACATACGCGGCAGTCGATTGGAGGGTTAAATCCACAGTGTAAGATCCCCAAAAACCCAACGTTAGCTTAACCGATACCACACGCAGCTGCTTTCAACTACTCTGTCAAACCTTAGGTCTATTCTTTTTTTTCTCGATTACACTAAGTGCAATGGGAACAGAAGACTTGCCTGTATTTACATTGCGGATTGTGATCTCGGCTGCAATTGCAGATTGACCAATCAGATCGAGGCAGCTCACTTAAGCCCATTGGTCAATCTGCAATCGTCAAACCAGAGAGCGACCAAACCCATAAGAGAATGTATAATCACTTTTCTGTCCCGTAAACTAGCGCATGTCCACATGGGTGGTGCACATTGAAAACTACGTACCAAAGTCAACGAGCGCCTTGTCAATACGTATGCAACGTCCAAACATGGAAATGGTTCTATTCCGTGCTACGTGCAGTTAACATAGTTATATTCCGTGTTATGTGCACGTGCGTCAGTAAATAAATAATTACAGCTGAATTATTTAATGCAATGTGATGATTCTACATATATCAGTTTTTTAAATTAAATTACACAACACACGTCCCATGAATTTTATGTATATTGTAAAATGCTACAAATAGAGTATATTTACTGATATAGTCATGACTTATTCATTGCAAAAATGCAATAGCTAAAAAAATTAAACTTCCTTTTATTTTAAGAACTTAAAATAAATGACCTCAATTACTTAAACAAGTGTATGTCGATATCTTCAATAATATAAATTATTAAATACATGTACAATTTCTCGCGTGCACGTATGATAAATGTATTTTCAAAAATTATTTTAATGAATAAATTTTTATGATGAAAAATTCAAATTAATCTTATAACAAAATGTAGATCTTACAGTTTTCATCTAAATCCGATTTAGTTTTTAAAAACTGCGAAATTATCGCGATATAAATTTTTATATACACACACACGCATACACACGCAAAGGCACGTACAATAACCATAAAATAAAATTCGAGAATCAGTGATCGCGATTCCATCTCCAGATTGTAGCGTCGTCGCAAACGCACAGCAACACAGACCCGTCTCGACTCAGACTTGTCTGACGAATCGGTGCGGTGCAACGGGGATGTTGTAGGGCCCAACAGCGCGCCTGTCCGGGTTCGTCCACGTCCAAGTCCCAGACGTAAGTTCGACCGACTTGATTCCCCAGAGCAATTGTGCGCTGCCAAAAGTCCATGGAGAAACGTATAAACCAAATATCGCACTCCTTAAATTCGAAGCGATGCATAACCGTTGCGCTTGTCTCTCCGTTACGCAATTGCGAGTCTTCGAGCCTGCCAGGTTTCCAACATACGATGCAATTCTCGCAAGACTTGCTCAGAATGAAATCGCCGAACCATCTGACGCAATCGACGTAATTCCGATGTACATCTCGAGTAGTGAAGTCTGGAAAGTGTTGAAGTATCGAGTCGAAGGGTCTGCCGTTACGGCTGGGATTGCAATGATACGATTGCTTGATCGCTTCCTGCATGTCCGGTTTTTCCAGCGACCACAATTTGAGAGCGTGATCCATTCCGCAGGATATGATCCTTTGGCCTCTGATGTCAAAGTCGGCGCTTAGAACCTCATCCCGATGACCCTCAACGCCTCCAAAGATCGCGATGCACACGTCCGTTTTGATGTTCCATAGTCTTAGAGCGTGATCCTTGGACGCGGACAACATGATATTCGGATCCTTTGGATGTATCTTTAGCTCATTTATCGCGTGTCCATGACCGATGTAGTGCTTTATACAAGTCATCGTCGACGGACTGATGACACGGATAACTCCCCGTGAACCAGCCACAGCCAGCAACGGCTTCCCGGAATCGTCATACGTCCACGCGCACGTGTAAAAGTTCTCTTCCGGGTCGGGATCGGCGTAGCACTGTTGCAGCCGTATATTTCCGCTTTGCGGACACTCGTAGATGCTCACGCGGTTGCTGCCCACTGAAGCAAAAATCAGCGGCTCGCCCTCTTTCAAGTGATAATTAAACTGAACGCCGAACAACGGCTGCCCGTGATCCTCCTTGACGCTGCAGCAATACTTGTACAACGGTTTGTCCGTGGACGGTTTATACTTGGTCGTTTTGCTCCTTCGACGTCCCTTTCGTCTGTATCGAGCACTGCGTGTAGGCGTATCGCTGCGATGAGTACCTGCTGTCGAATTGCTTCCGATGCTACACTCTGTCACGTCACTGTCATTTTCGCTGTCTTCCTGGCTTGAGGCATACGCCTGAGTCTTATTACTCGACTTTCTCATTTTAATACGTCAGTCTTAGCAGCCTAAAAGAAACATTTGTAAACATTTAAATAAGCAAACTTAAAATAAATATTTTTACACAACCAATATGTATTCAATATATTGCTTAACATTCAAGTTTCCATTATTCTAAATTGTTCTTCGCTTCAACTTGAAAACAATTAAAATAATTAAAATGTATGTACCTATATAATAATTAAAAAATTGATTAAATCAATCTTTGTAATGAAAGTGTTGAACAAAGTGATCGAATCACTTTGATTATATTGTCTCAATTGTTGCTACAGTTCCAATGACTGGTATACCATTATTTAATCCCAATACTGCCTCTGCAATACAAAAAATTCTTTCTGCCAAGTTAACGTAAGACTTTGGATTCTGCAAGATAAACATTTCAAGATATAATCTTTATCTGTAATGTATATAATTTTTTTAAGATAAACTATGATAAACTTTGACTCACAGAAACATTGGCAGAAAGAAAACGAATTTTATACTTGTGGCAAAGACTCTTCGATTTGTGGATCAGTCCCATAATATTGGACACTCCGACACAGTTTACCAGGCAGGTTGCTCCAGACAATATGTAATATTCATCTACCTTGGCTATATTAGTTTCTACCTTAAATGTCACAATAAACAGTTTGTTACAAAAAAGATGAATGATAAATAGATAAATACAAATTTTGAGATCAAAAATTACTTAACAAACGATTGTTACAAGCTATTAAAGTAAAAAAAAAATCTCACTTCTGACAAGGTATACGCAGCTCTCAAATCAAAAGCAAAAATAATGAAGTCTACAGAGATGTCTATTCTTGCTCTCACAACATCTGCTATGGACTCGCACTGATGTACAGTTATATCCCATCCTCTTTCCTTTGCATTTTGATAGAGGCCTTCTGAGATTTTCTTACATGACTCGACTGGGCCTACTACCTAGAAGAAAACACATATGTACACACACACACAGAGAAAAAGTTAACAGTGTAACAAGATGTAAGTCAAATTCAAATAAATCTGCTGCAGCACGCCCGAAGAGGCATAACTCCAGTCTTTTTTCCAAAAATAAGGTCATCACAATCACAAAAAATATGCAAAAACTTACCAAGAAAGAAACTAAACAGTCTCTTCTCCGTAACGTGCCGTTTTTGAAGATTTCAGCCATGGCTGCATGTTTTCAGCGACGCCGAACGTTGCAACAAAAATCCCTCTCAAATACATAGTGCAATCAGGGAGTTCAAAATCACACAGACCGCATTTCGATGTTCACACTGCCAGTACTCCAAATCTACGGTTCACGTCACGTGTACTATAGATTTTTGATATTTAAAGTGATTATCGGAACGCAGTCATAAATATATGTTGAGTTGCGTTCCGAAATTGACAATATTGCCAAGCTATAATACATGTCATGTGAACTACCATAAATTTGGTACAATCATCGCTAAATTGACTAAATACAAAATAATCGATACCAATCGATACGAAATACACATGAGAGAGATCCTTCCATAAACCGCAAGCCGAAACCAAAATATCTCGATCTTCTGGTTTCTGATACAATTTAATATTTGTACACATTGTATAAAAAACCAAATAATAATAATACATTTGAAAGTGTGCGCAAGTGAAGATAACAATTAGAAAACAATGTTACGCGATGTGATAATACGTCTGATATTTAGTGCCCTCGGTATTGTTATTAGTATATCCGCGTTTTTCACCTTGTTCATTTTTTATAGAAACGATGATGTTGGATTTATTTCGGCAGTGTCAGGTTAGCATGTTTGCGTGACGATATTAAAAACATCTAATTTCAAAAAATTAAAACATTTTTACAAATTTTTTTTAATCATAAACTTGTTAAATTAAACATTTTTTATCGATTAACTCTATCCTATCTTGTCAAAAAAATTCCCAATTATTGTACTCTACAAAATTATATAAATGCTTGCGATCTCTTCTTATTACTTATCATTGGGTGAATATTAACTTATCCAATGTTTAGGAGCTTTAGCTGGAGTCTGTTTTCACTTGCATTGGGTGCGAGGCAAGGAAACCTTGGAGAGATGGCACACCAAAAGAACATTGGATAAATTGCATATTGTAGGCTTTTTAAGTGCCTTATGTGGCACCGCAGCGCTGATAGGATATACATTTTTGACATTTTATTATAAAATACGTAAGCATATACATTAGTGAAATGAGAACATCCTCTGACAGCTTTTGATGAGTTTAACAACATATATTGGTCATTGAAGTGAACTTTTTTCTAGATATTCTTATATATAATAATTGGTTCTAACACAATTTATTTCTCATTGTAGCAATTCAACCGATTTCCGAAAGTACAACCATATCGGCAGTGTGGTCTCTAATATGTGCAAAATGGGGAATTACATTGATGTATTATACAAATAAGTATGCATTATTGGTTGAGGATGAAACAGGTTCCATACTCACAGACACTTCGTGAAGTAATGATAGTAACAATATCATGAAAAACTTGTTTTTTTCTTACAATATATTTCTTTTGAAAATAAGTCACATAATCATAAATATCGAGTGATACCATAAACCTTATTCTCTTTTAAGATCTTTATTTGCTTTAAATAATCTTATTGTAACCCAATTTTTTATACAAACATGACGATATACAAATTTTTTATTTTTTTTTCTGTATTTTTATATAAATTTATATTTTTATATACATATATATTTATACACAAATTATGAAACAAATTTTATCTTATGATGGAGACAATTTATAAAGTGGATTGATAATTACGTACAATCCAATTAACGAGGTAATCATCCCTAATAAACCTACCGTACCTGGAGAACATCTTGTAACACCTAACGCGGTCAAAGGAATGAATAAATCACATCCATTTTTAAAAGTATCTATTACTACTTCTCTGTGATATTTCAGATAGAACATCCAATGTTTGAGCGCATTTTTATCGTATTTTAGAATCTTGACAATCTCATAAATGTCCCTTACTAAATTCAAAATGATGGTTATCAACCAATACTTGTTGCCTATCCTGTTCCATTTCTCCAAATTGATCCTCAAGACTCCCACTCTGCTCATCCAAATGAAGTGATCAACCAGCAAATAAAGGGCATTTGTTACTTTTGTCATAATTAATATTGCCCTTATTGAGGAGTTGGGATATTTCATCAGTTTTACAGCGGAATACAAACTGTCCACACATCTTCCAAAGCGAAGTACTAGAAAGAAATATATATATATGTACACATACGCACACAAATTTACATGACAGGGTTAAAGAAATACTTTTGTGAGAATTAAAGTAAAAATATACATTTTCGAAATGAACTAAAGGTAAATTCCAAACTCCTCAGAATTTCCGCAGAGTATCTTGTGCTGTGTACATTTTGTGCATGATACCAGTAAAAACGACTTCCGTATTGCAACAATCTGTAAACATTTTATATTCTAAGAAACAATATAGATATAAACATATCTACCAATCGTATGATATGAATTATAAAATTTCTTTAATTAACCTGTTGATACAACTTCAGAAAAGAAACGAAATTGGAAACTTGAGAAATATACGCATATAAACATATATACATATATAGACAGGTAGATAGATAAATTACTTAAGAAGCAATATATATATACCTTATTAATTTATCCCTCCCAACTGTCTGATCGTTCAACTTTACAACAATATCCATAATTTGTCTCTCTCAGAAGAATATCGTGTGTTACCTGAATTTAGAAATAAGTAAATAACATGAACATAAAAAATTAAATCGCGTACAACGTAAATGTAACACCTTTCGAGTTCAATGTCAATCAACTTTCGATGGTAAACAGCGACAAACGCCCGTTATCATCATCATTATCAACCGATCAAAGTTGGCGTGTGGACTTTGGAAGAGATTTGTACACAAATGTAATTTTTTTTCTTTGCATAAAACATTTAGACCAGCAACGGAGTTTTAACCTCAATCTCAAGCATCGAGTTTTGATTAAAAAAAGTGTTTGACGATATTGAGAGAATGTTTTTCTCTCTTTTACTATTATTATTATAAAAAACAAAAAATATTACATAATGTGTGGACACGCTGCTCGTATTGTCCAAATGTTTTGTTATCTAGTTTCTAATGTTCATTATTTTCTATATACACTCGTATATTGATCGATCGGACCGCTTTTTCTCGGACATGCGTACTAAAATCGGCATTGATCGGCAATACCGGCATCAATCGGTATAAAATGCGTACTGCGCAAAACAGAACCAATAATTCAAATGCAGGCAAAATAGCACAACACTCACCTGGATAAAATTGTCTGTGAACTTCGCACCTATACGTAACCACTAATTAATTAAACATAACTCTCTATTGCTAAACAGTTTTGTTGTTGTTAAAATATCGCGCAAAATCGATTTTGTAATTACGGAGAATCTGATTGAAGGGTAGGAAGGAGAGCGTTTTTTTTTTTTTTTTTTTTTAAATAAAATCGATCATACGCGAACTTGTTATATAGTTTTTATTTTTCTGTAATGTTATGAATAAAGTCTGCGGCATAATGTTCTTTCTTCATGCTAGATCACATGTGAGCACCAAAATCATCAAAATGAGATTGCCAAATCACAAATGATTGACTCTGATGTTCGCACGTAACGTGTATTTATATATATATATATATGTATATCTAAGATGTTATAAATAAATGTATATGTGATGAGAGAGAAAATTTGGTGGGATGCATGAAATACATACAAAATGACGAGTTTATGATAAAGTGCGACGAGTTACATGGTCGTATACATATTGCACAAGCCAGCGTGCAAATCCAGTATGTCTGAATCCTGGCGTGAGAAGGAATGAATTTACTGAAAAAATAAATTTATTTCCAATCTTAGTTCAAAGATACTAATGAAAAATAGGCAAATCAACGCGTTCTCTAATCTAAGATTGTTACCTAAGATGTAAAACAGAAGCAAATTGTTGATTGAGTTGCCGATCCATGCAAAGAGAATGAGGCAGAAGATCACTGCGCTGTAGTACTACAACAGCACAAAAAATAACTTACAAATATAGAAAACAATCTGTGTGATATAAGATTCGACTTGAATTTAAAGTTTACACAAATTCTGTACTTGTCCTTCTACTGACAAGAGCAAAGTTGCATTGTGTATTTTATTGTCAGGAACTATCTACTGTTCCTCGTATGTGCAACTTGTGAATAAATTTTCACGTTAAAAAGAGAAAAAAAAAACGCACACTTACAAGATTAGGACGATTGTGTCGAATTCTTGAGAGAGATGCCCATACTCTTTGTATTTCTAGTATGGCATCTGAGAGACTTTGGCAAATCTCAATCAGTTTCTTCTCCTTTTGTCCGGTCCAACTTTGTGCATTACACAGGAATGAAGTTAAAGTTGGTACAAGATAATCAACAAGAGCGAAAATCAGTAAACACATGGATATCATTGTCAATAGTGGTGGTTCTAAAATCCATATTGTACTGTAAGAAAAACAATAATCACAAAATTATACATGTAATAAAATTTGTATCTATTACAGATATGTTTTCATAAATCATTAGCCACAGCAGAATTCCATTTAAATTCCATTTGCCTGTTTAAAAAACCTAGACAATATCATTTTCTCCTTCTTTTTACATCACATGTCTCTTCTATTGTTCTTAATTGTCAATGTAAATTACACAATTAAAACTTAAAAGATCAGATAAAATTTAATAATTTTTGGAATACTTACTATTCTCTAAAAATAGTTTTCTCATATAAAATGTTTCTTACCAAAATACCATGGTTACAAAACCAAAAATTAATCCAGGATACCAGCTGCGTTCCCACAGCAAAATGGAATATAAGGGCAATATTATTTCTCGCCAACTCTCCATCTTGCGCTTCAGTTGTTTCATATGCTTTTCCTAAGAAAAATGTATTTTGTTAATTAACAATATTAACAGTATTAAATAAAAATTAAAATTAATTAATTAAAATACATTTGTATTTGAGATGAAAACCTCAATTATTTTCTGTCACACAAGTCAATCATTAAAGTGATGTGTTTAATATTGTTGACCTAGTCTATTCTCTTTCCCTCTCCCTCTCTTATGCTTTCCCACCCATTTCAATCATAATCAGAGTTGCGATTTAATAAAAAAAATGTATACCTTGTCAATCGTCCCATCGTCCGTCATCGTGCGTGACAATTTGTAGCAACAGCGATGTGGAAATTGATCTCGTCGAGGAAGCGCAATGAAAGATTGTGCGAAACGCAGCGAGCGAGTAACACACCGCCAACGCGCACGACGGACTATCGAAGAAAAACGCGGCGGCGAGAGAAAAACGGATTCTGCTTCTTCTTGCGTCAAACGTGTCCTAGCGGGCAAGTCCTTTTTTCTTCCTCTCACGCACGTACTGTCATCCCGAAGTCACTTCCGGTAAAAATCAGTTGGATTCATTCGGTTTTTGAAATCGGCAACGCCGATATTCCTCGCAACACCTCGCAAATGAAAAAACAAGCGCAAATCGCGGGGGTGAAGACTCGGTCCGTCGCCGAACGGGGGTGGGCACGAGACGACGGGATTGGTAGGTGGACAAAGTCGCGGCGGAGGAGGAGAAGGAAGAATCGACTTCTGGTTTCGAGAGTATGGTCGAGGTTCCGGCACGCGATTGGCTACCAGTTCAAAATGTTGGTTATTGCGGATAATGTCGTGCTGCTGTTGTGACGTTAAGCGGTTTTCCCACAAAACCACGAGTGTGCGTTTGAAAGATTGAGAGAAAACGCGAAACCTGCGAGACCTGGTGAAACGTCGGAGTCCTCTGCGATCATGGCCGCTGCCGTGAGCTCCGTGAGTATCCGCTCGGTCGACATTGCGAAACGAAAACACGGCATCGTCGTCGCCACAACGGGACATCGCGATGTCTTCCCCCGTTGTTTGTGTTTTCGCGCCTCCGCGACGCGTTTTCGCCAAACATAACGCGCGTTAAACGAGATTCTCTTTGCTATTCCAGAATGTGGAGAATCTGTCGCCGCAGATTATCCGCCGGGTCGCCAAGGAAATGGCAGAACTGGTCAGCCAACCACCCGAGGGTATCCGCGTCATTCTCAACGAGGCGGACGTTACGGACATCCAAGCTGTCATCGAAGGCCCGTGTAAGAAAAGCCAGTTTTATTTCCTCTTGCTACTCTGGTCGATTGTTGTAACGTCTTAAGATAAAGTGGTTTCATATTGACCCTGAATTTACATCTATATCTAAACTCGAGGTCCCTTGAGGATCTTCTCTGTTAAACCAGTCTAACCTTTTGGTCTAAAGTAATATTGACCTAGCCTCAACTCTGACTCTAACTCCAGCTTAATTTATTTCTCATAAATGTTTGTAAATTACAAGTGGCAAGAAAAACACATTAATTCGTTTGTAATAACTTAAGAAAATGTATATTACTTGAGACACACTTAGGTTAACTGTATACAACAATGCACATTTTTTATTTGCATACATGTCTTATCAGTGACAAACTACATGTTGACAAACAATAAACTAGAAATATCCAAGAGAATTTTCAAATGTTCAAGCATAAAATATTAAAATATGTAAGTTTTTAGAATTGATCAACATTTAGCATGTGTTAAATCATGTTTCTTCTAATGATAAACTTTTGTCAAGTCAAGAAATATGCATTGTAAAACAGTTCTCAATAGAAAAAAAATAATCAAAATTAATATATTTCTACTGACTAATAAATATTTCTTTTTTAATAGCGGGAACTCCCTATAATGGTGGCTTCTTTAGAATAAAATTGGCTCTTGGAAAGGATTTCCCTCAAGGACCACCAAAAGCATACTTCCTCACAAAAATCTTTCATCCTAATGTAGCAAAAAATGGCGAAATTTGTGTTAATACTTTAAAGAAAGATTGGAAACCAGATCTCGGAATACAACATATATTATTGGTAAATGATTGTAACAAGAAGATATATCAACACTTACCTTCTTATTCATGTACGTTTTATGCATTTTCAGACCATAAAATGTTTGCTAATAATGCCAAATCCTGAATCTGCTTTGAACGAAGAAGCTGGCAAGTTGCTTTTAGAAAGTCATGATGAATATGCGGAGCGAGCTAAGATGATGACAGAAATACATGCACAAGTAAAAGTTATATTTTGATAAGTCAGATTTTGTTTTTTTTCCAAGTAAATATGCTCTGGCGTTTCTTTACGAAAAATTGATCTCATTTCTTCAGGGAGCTGGAAAAGGGAGCAAGGCTGGTTTAGAAAGCTGTGCAGAAGCAGGAGGACCTCTTCCAAAAAAGCACGCAGGCGACAAAAAACTAACGGCAGAAAAGAAAAAGATGTTAAAAGATAAAAAGAGAACACTGAAAAGATTATAAGGTTATTTATCTGTATTTTGTAATTTAAAAACACTGGTGTGGTAATGTTGCCTCATTGTATACAACTATTGCATAGTAAAATTTTATTATTGAAATTTACGTGTGATTGACCTTATTATTAGATATTTAGAGACGTTAATTATTTCTAATGTGTAAAAACAAACCGATCTGCATATTGTGTATAAAAAGGGAGTACAATTCTGTAGTGATCTCTACAATCACAGACTAGTAGGACAGTCTGCTCTATGCTATCTCTATTATAGATATTTTTACATATGTACAAAATATATTACATAATGTGAATTACATAAGTACAATAAAGAAAACGTGTCTTCTACGCAGACTTTTTGTCGATTTATTACGAATTCTAGAATTGTATAGTTCTCAGAATTTGTGTATATTTGGATCAAATGTTTCTTTTAAGTGATGAAACAAGAGAGAAAGATAGGGAAGAGAAAAAAAAAACTAGAATTTAAATGTTAAGAATTTTCTTAGGTGAGTAATAAGATTGTTTTTTTTTTTTTAAGAATAATTTGTTTTTATTATTTTTTTTATTGTACTGAAATAGTGTCTGTTGCCAGTTTTTCTTCAGTCTTTTCTACTTAATTGGTATGAGTGTACGCTGCATATTTCAAAATATGTGTATACATTTTCTGTTTAACATATCTAGAGTACTGCATTAAGATATCAATATCTGACTAGTAAACAGTATGTCACAGCCTGAATCCAACATAAAAATTTTGTGATAACGTGATTTTTAACGCTTTTTGGTTGAAAAAAGATCTATTGAATTTACAAAAGTACTTCGTATTTCCCCCGCGCTTATACTCTAGAACAGAGTCCTAACGACAAACGATAAATTAGATCGGTACATTGTTTTATTTTTGTTGCTCAATGTAACGCTTAGATAATAATCAGATTGTGAGGGCTAAAAGCACATTCCGTACTTTGATAAACAACAACTTTTCGAGATAAATTCCATTATATTTATCATATGAGATAATTCACACTCTCACGAAAGTATACATACACAAATTCATACAGTCTTTACAATCCTTCGCCAACATTATGTTATTGTGTATCATAAAAAGACTGATGAATGTTCATACCGATGAAGATAGATCGGAAAAATCTGTTTCCGTATGTCACTTCTCGATAGAATAGTCAAAAATAAAAACTAAGATTAAGAATTCTCTCTTATGACATTGTTTACTCTCAAAATCTTATAAATGTTAGGATTATATTTTAGTATGTCTCATGAAACTAAGGACAACGATGTATGTATAAATTGCGGTAAAACCAGATTGAACAAAAATTCGAACAAAGAGCAAAACGGGACGTTTTTAATGTTGTTACTTGACTTCCTTCACGTAAGCCTCCAATTCTGCATCTAGTTCTTCAGCTGTGGGTGTCTTTGTTGGTTGCCGTGGACCGCCTCTACCTCCGCGTCGTCCGCTGCCACGACCTTAAATCCGACAAGTTTATAAATCTAACTGACGACCAACGTCAATTATAATTTATATTTACTAACAGATCAGCTTTTCTCTCAACTTCTGGAGAGCTGGATTATATAAACATTTATCTATTGACTAATTTTGATGAATAACAGTGGCAATTTGATTTAAAAAAAATCACTCTGTATACAAATTACATTTATTTCAGTAGCTGAGATATAAATAAGCGTTAATCAGTGGCTCAAAATTAATTAATAACATTTTTATTTTTATAGAATCCAACTGTTGCAAATAAGAGACATCTCTTGTAAGTAAAACTTAATCATACATTTATCTACACAATTGTTGAAAAATTACCTCTGATAGGTCCTGTACTGCGATTTCCTCTAAAGCGAGTCTGTGGTCTCTGTGTATAATTGGTACCACTAAGTCTCAGACCACCACGAACAGTAGTTACTGGTAGTTCAGAAGTGGCAACTTGTATGTTCATTTCACGACCTGCCACATGTATCATATATTAAAATACCAAAGAAGTGATGTATCTTGTGCAGTTTCCATATAAATTAATTTTTGTAAACACAAGTGTTGTAAATTCTTCTTTTCTGTAATGTAAGTTTGCTATAACAAATGATTCTTGCAAAGTTTACTACGTACCATCTAGTGGTACTCCATGATATTGTTTCATCGCTTTAATAGCATCTGCCCGTCTTTCAAATATAACATCTGCAGAACCTAAAGATCGACCCGATCTGTCATAATGTACTGCTGCAGATTTTAAAGGTCCAAATTCACTAAATAACTCCTAAAAAAATCAAAGTTAGATGTTAATAATGTTCTCTTTGCACAAGGCTTTTCTATACAAATAGATGTAAAAAAAAAAAAAAAAGAATTACGGATAAAAATGTTTGAATACTATCAAAAGTATAAAAAGATAAGAATTATATTTATATATACAAAAACAAATCAGTACCTGTATATCTGAATCTGATACACCAAAATCAAGATTTGATACCAAAAGTTTTGTAGTTCCTGCATTGCCTAGTGCCCCGCGACCAACTTTTTTTACACCATCAAACATATCATGTTTCCAGGCACTATTTATATCACCCTACATCACAAAATATATTTAAAAAATTTTTAATTAGTCTGCTAAATGAATTAATTAAAATTAATCATGATAAATATTTTTTTAGAAATTGCCTTAAATAATTTTCTTTTCTCAAATTTATTAATAAAAACTTACAAGAAACAACTTAATAACTAAAATACTTGAAATATCTACAAATACCGCATTTTTTTTCACAATGGCTATTTTTTTCAAATATGTTCAACAATTAAATAAACAAGTGGTTATAAATATATACTTAAATAAAGTGCTAAACAAAAATCTGTTAAAAAACTATGTTCGAGAAAAACACATGATTCAACTTCTATTTCTATTATTAGATAATTGCATTATCTAAAATCAAATCTTTATGAATGAACGAATGAATGACTGTTAAGAATTCGAAACATTCTTTCACGAAATAGGACAACAGGCGTACACACACACACATACGCACATGCGCGCACACAAAAAAAACTCATATGCAAGCACAATATACGCACACTGACTGTACACACACGTACTGTGTTTTCATATGCACGCCTACTAGGCGGTAGTCGCACACACGACACATACATACGATAGAAAAAAAACCAACTTCGGAGAAGCAGGATAATCATCAGACGATGGATTGAGTCGAATTTTGCTTACCCTCGTATATGGTAGTGTGCTACGCGCAATACCGCCACGATTGCGTCCCCGCATAACGCCACTGCCAGGTCTCTGCGATCTGCGTGCTCCACGACGGGGCGAACCGCCGGCACCGCGGCCTCGTCTACCGCCACCGCCGCCGCGCACCCGCGATCCCTTCGTTTGTTTTATTATGTCGTCCAGGCTCATTTCTATTTTGTCTACCATCTTCATTTGTGCGGCTCGCGATGCAACGTGATAACCACACTGAGAAAAATCACTTCAAAGCACTCGAATCCCAAACCAACCTCTTCTATCACTTTCACACAATGATGGCGGCAGAACGAAGAAGGAACAACGCCGCAGTCCACAGTCTGAGCACATCACCATGCTGCAACATCACAAAAAGTTCCTATGTGAGGAGTCAGTAACTTTTACTTTGATCGACTCGATAGATTTCGATTCTCGATATATATAATCGTAGTTACGTAGTTGGCATCACTGACATTATCATTAGAGAACGGTCAGGAAGACACGTTACGAATTGTTATTGGTTTACACGAATTTTACTGTTTTTATCAATTGACATTGGAAGATGCACGTTGACGGTTGATCGTGTTACATTACACGTTGCATCTCTTTTAAGGTGTAGAAAGACGTTCTCGCAAAAGTTGACATTTTATTATATCCTGTGCGCGATAACAATTGAAAAAAAAAAAGGTAAAGCATATAATCCGAACTTCGAATTGTACACGTATGAAAATTTTACGAAATATATTAAATAATATTATTCTCTGTCGAGAAAAATATTATCTAGACGTTATAATCAAAAATCCATATTTCTTTTGCAGATGATAAAAGTTTTGTTATTTGCCGGTTTCTTTTTGGTGAACGTTCTTGGAAAATCTGAGGACATAGATCTAAAGCATCTGAAGTGTTTAGGTAACAATCAATTGTATATAATATTCTGCCTTGATATCTGAGCAAAGTTATCAATGAAAAAACACTTGATTATTATAAGTCATAGTTGTGATCATTTGTATTTTGTAGTTTGTAGAACGATTATGAAAGAATTCGAAGCCGAAGTCTTCAAAGCCAATCCGAACAAAGTAGTTGAAGTGGGTAGTTTTAGACTAGATGCAAATGGAAACGCTATGCACAAAACGGTAAGAAGAAATATAAAAAAGACAATGAATTATGTAGTTACAAGCTTTTATCTGGATTTATAATTTAATAACACGTGCACAAAATTTATATCTAGATTTATTGTAAAATTAAAAAAAAAAAACATTTTTTATAAGGTTCCATTAAGTCAATCGGAAATGCATCTATCCGATATATTAGAGAATCTTTGTGGAAAATTTGGAGAGAACTACGTGAGAGCAAGAAAGAGATCCAACAATCAACTAATACTTATGAACCTCTTTTCCCCATCGGGTGGTATGAATTCTATGATGAGCGAAGTGGACATAGTTCAGGATGGCGATCTCAACAAGAGTCTGGAGCATTATGTAAGTGTTGCTTGATTTTATGTTGACACAGAGTACGTTTTCACTTTGTTAATTTGTATTATATCGTTTTCAGTGCAACGCTATTGTGGAAGAGTTTGAGGAGGACATAGTGGCAATATACGTGAGCGATGCGGACGATAAGAAAGAGGGATTTTGCAGAGATATCTCAGGTTTATGTGAAAATTATCCCGATGACGAAGACAAGACTGATGCTACTTCCGATAGCAACTCCGAAGCAGATTTTTTAATAGATAGAGATGAATTATAAAAATAGTTCTACAAAAGTAGTTTTATAATTTATCTATATATATATTTGCAAAGAACAATAATTTCATGTAAAATAGTATTTTTTATACAAATGAGATTTCTATATATATATATATAAGAGATTGTTATATTTTAAAGAGATATTTTATAAGAGTATATTGCGTACCCGAAGTGGATGTTTAATTGTTTTAAATTCTTAGACAAAAGTAATTTCACTTGACTATTTTAAATGCGCAAATGTGTATATATATGTTTACTTTTATAAATTATAAAATTTTATATCATATTTTATTAACTTATATATTTATATGAAAGCAGATATACTTACAATATTTACACAATTCCGTTTACAGATATTATATTTAGCATAATATTATGTGTACAAATATTACAAATAACGCAAGACAGTTGTATTTATAAATAGTTTACAATTCTGTTTACATTGACAAATATTACTAATTAAAAATTCATGTTGTGTGATCGAAATATTTATGTCGATATAATTAAGACTCAGCAATGGATTCGAACAAATCTGTACGCTCCACAATTCTTCGAAGACAGTTTGAAAAAATACACATTTCAAAACTCATGTAACATCTTTCGTGGAGATTTAAATTTATAGTATCCTCCTTATGTCACATGACCAACTTTGTTTAAGACTGTAGCGCCACTGTAGATTTATATTAGAGCGGCGAGAGTTGCAATCTGATATTTCACATGCGCCGCTCGAAACGTCTCGATCTGTTTTGATCGTTTGTGTGCGAAAGAAACAGTCGCATCGCACCACATATTGCGTCATGTGAGTAAATCACGAAAATTTTTGTGACATTTAATCGTGCGAGATCCTTTTGCTTTTTGAATCTCCAAAATTACATCGTGAATAATTTCCACGTAAATTTCAACATCCCATGACCGCGAGACGCGATGTAACGAGACTGACATTTCGTCTATTTTTCGTTTGCAGAACTGTTACTTTAGAACTCGAGAGATTAAATACCGAAGAGCAGATGTTGTGTGCGGCGAGAATTTGCCGAGCTGGTGTTGCATCACCAAGCTTGGCGTTGCTCGTCAAGTCACCGATCGTGCCGAGAACGACGTCGCAGTTTTCCAAGGGTCAGATTTCGAGATTGTTCGTTAGCGATGGACGCAGCTCATTCACGAGGACTGCTAGACGAAGAACCACCGTGACCGAACAAGCGATGGCACCGGCCGGTGAAACCGGTAAGTTATTTGTTGTTTTTTTGTGTACCTAAAACTTTACGAGGGATTAATTAAAAAAAAAAGTTGCGTCAAAAAAAGATCTGTAGTCAGACAAGGATCTTAATTACTTAATTACATGTTATATAAACAATAATCTATATATATATATAATGCACATCTGTGGAATGTATGTTTCAAATCATCATGAAATTATTTTTGTGATAAAAAAACAGACTAAAAACATATTATTACACACATACAAATGTGTTTTGTTTGTAGCATTTAATATTGGAAAAGGAGCGCTAGCTGGAGGAGCAGTAATGGGACTAGGTGCTCTTTGTTATTATGGACTAGGTTTGTCTTCAAGTACAGGTGCCATAGATCACGCAAGGTATGTATAGATCATGCAAGATGTAGTTTCTATTTCAAAGTTTTCACAACTTTCTAGTCAAGATATATTATGTTTTGCAATAATTTCTTAAAAAATTAAAAGATGTCCTAACAAATCACCTAAATTTTAAGAGTTGATTATATATGCTGATTGTATTTAATTACATTAATTATAACATTTACTATAGCAAACTAAACTAAAACTTAAAAATGATTTTTCCCACATAGCTTATGGCCCCAATATGTCAGGGACAGAATAAAGTCTACCTATTTGTACTTTGGCGCATCTGTTGCGGCCAGTGCCGCATCCGCAGCTTTGTGTTTGCGTTCTCCTGCGATAATGAACATGGTGATGCGTCAAGGATGGATCGCTCTGGGTGTCACACTGGCTGCAATGATTGGTAGTGGTATGATCGTGCAAGGACTTCCTTACAAAGAAGGATTTGGTGCCAAGCAAATAGCCTGGCTGGTGCACACCGGCGTAATGGGCGCCGTTTTAGCGCCGCTGTCTTTCTTCGGTGGACCGTTGCTCATTCGAGCGGCCTGGTATACCGCTGGTATCGTTGGTGGTTTGTCGACCGTCGCTGTTTGCGCCCCTAGCGAGAAGTTCCTGGCGTTGGGCGGTCCGCTCGCTATCGGTCTCGGTGTTGTATTCGCCAGCTCGGTAGGTTCCATGTTTCTTCCACCTACAACTGTCCTAGGTTCGGGATTGCATTCCATGATGCTCTACGGCGGTCTCCTGCTGTTCTCCGGATTCCTTCTTTACGACACGCAGAGAATCATCAAGGTAGCAGAGACGCATCCAGCGTACAACGCTCACGGCAGACCTTACGATCCAATTAACCAGTAAGTATAATATCACATTTATTTGTAATATATTTTTTTTAAACAAGTGTTTAATAGTGTTTTTATTCTTGCAGCGCGATCTCGATTTATCTGGACACGCTTAACATCTTTGTGCGAGTTCTGACCATCCTGGCCGGCGGTGGTGGCAATAGACGCAAATAGACGAATAAAACGCATCAAACAACCAATGAATTGATATTAGAACCGTCAACAAAATAAATTTTACACCATAAGTTGAGAAATTTAGTAAAAATGTTACCTCTACTATTAACAAACTATATATATTGTACAGTTTTAAATTTATAATAAATAAATCGTTTCTCGGCACTTCTTATGCTCGCGTCTATTTCTATGATATTTCTATAGATCCTAGAAAAACTGGTTTTACCTATTACACAGCACGCGCGCGCTGTAATGTTGCGACTGATTGTTGCAATTCTGTATTTTGCCAATAACTATTCACGCATTTAAGATGCTCGAGTGACGTGCGATTATTATCTGTTCGTTATATCTGTTTGTTTTGTCAATGAAGGTATATGCGCGAAATATACACGTAATTAACTGATGTATATTTAATCATAATGTTTCAGAGCAAACGTATCTACAGTTGAGACTAGACTAGGCAGCACCCGTCTGGCTGTGCAATCCCAAGATAGAGTTCGATATAAGTTACATTTGACGCTGGATTTGCATGATAAATCTCTGAAATCGCATCGGGTTCGCGTTTACAACGAGGAACAGAAGCGCGACAAATGAGTCGTCGACTCTCGTTGTCGTCGTCCCAAATCACGATCGACCATCGCGCCGATAATTGGCGAGTATCTCCCTTTCTCCCTCAACGAGATCGACGTCGCGGGATAAGGGAGAGGAGGACGAAGCGAGATAGCAACCCCTGTGGCGAGAAGGGGGTGTTTTGCGCTTGCGTCCGTCTCTTCGACGAGAGGGTGAAACTGACGCGCGACGAAGGGGGCGGACGACGACGAAGACTCGAGACGCCCGTTGGAACGAGAGAGCGGATATTCATCGGTCGGAAAGAGAGAGAGAGAGAGAGAAAGAGAAGAGAGATAGAGAGTGAGAGAGGGACATTGAACGCGCAACGGCCTCGCAGTCTCCTCTTCTCGTTCGTACGCGCCGCGTAAAACGAAAACGCGTCGCTTCCTTTTGCATATCTGCGAGCGACTCACTTTGCACGCAACGCAATCAGGTCCGCTTCCGCGCTCGCTTCGCGAGCCGCAGCGCACAATCCGGTGCAACGTACCCGCCGGATGCGAGTCTCCTGAAGCAGGCCGTGTGAAGGACACGCCACGGAGACAGTGAAAAGACTCTCCCTGTACCCTGTGAGAGGAGAGCCAGCGACCTGCTGATTCGAAAACGTAAGTGATTTGAGCACGCGAACGTATAGACGCGCGTAAATCGCAAAGGGTGTGTGTGCGTGTGTGTGTGTGTTGCATCGTGGATTTTCGAAATCCTGACGGGAGGGCGGGATTCGTGAGTCACGTAAAACCCCCCCGCTTACGCGAAATGTTCCCATGCGCGCGTAGATAAATCTATCTAAATTATGTCTCGATCAACCGGAATACTGATCAGTCAGTGACGTTTGTAAAATACAAGGGTAGGGAGAGATTTCTTCGAGCACAATTTTTTTTTACGCGAATTATTTTTGGGGGTTTTTGTTTTTAACGATTGTGACAATTCAAAAGAGAAAATTACATGCGATATATACAAGTGCGAGTAATAACTTTATTTTTGGAGCGCTGCTCTTGTGCACATAGAAGCCTTCAAAATTATTTCAAATAGTGTACTAATTATAGAAATTCTCGGCGCGTTCTATAATCGGGACGCGTGCTTTTTATCATTTTTTTTTTTCGCAAATTAACGAAGTACTCGAACTAGATTTTTTAATGGAAACAAATATTTTATAATTGCAAATTTAATTTGTTTTTCAGTAGTTTAGGATCGCGAAACAATTATTTATTTGAAGAGAAAACGAGGAAGAGAGAGAGAGAAGGAGAAGATTAACGCGCAAGATGAACGCGTTAACGAAGATTATGTGATATCGATGCTCATCGAACTTTTGTGTTCGTAGATAATTGGAACGAAGTATTGATTTCTCAATACTAATGACAACGTCAATAGTTATTCCACAGCAGCAATTATCATCAATGTGATAATTAGTTTTACTTTTTTAATAAATAATCCACGCTAATTGATGAAAACACATTTACATCAAAGTCGCGTATTGAATTGTAAGTTAAACGCTTCAGAACGTTTAAGAGTTGATAAAAATAATGAATAATTGGTGGATAGTATTTTTTTTTAGCACAGCATACATATATAAGATACAATTATTACAAAATTATATTAACTACATAAATTAGTTCGCATGTACAAATTTGTTCTAAAAAAAGATTCTCAAACGTTTTCTCTCGCTTCTAAGATTTTCTCTCGGTTTGAAATCAATTCTCGACGCTGTATATGCACATAATAACGGTTGACCGCAAGATAGCTGTACATTTTCATTGTTTGCGTGCGCGTAAATCTGCTACGTGCTTCGCCGGAGCGAAGCACACGGCGATGCACGTTGTACGGTATGTTGAATCTCGTTAACAGCGAGGCCGTTTCGCGAGAGGGAACAAAATTCGCGGCACGCGCCGGCGACCGACGCTTTTCAAGCGTCGAGACGAGGAAAAGAACGGCGCCGCGCGACGCGACGCGTCGCGGTAGGTCGATCGATCGCAACTACTCTCGCGACACTGTCTACGCCAGTAACGCACTGCCAGCGCGAAATCATCATCAGTATGCTGAGACAAAAACTCGAAAACATTCTGATTGAAGTCGAAAAAAAAACGAGTTTCTTCTCGAGCGTCTCGAGTTAGAATCCGCAAAAAAATGTGCAGGAACAAAATTTTGAAATACGAAAGTACTTTGAATTTCCAGTTTTCAGAGCACGTATATATGTAATATATAAAACATGTCCAAAGTTTGTAGTTTGCATATTAAATCTTTGAAAACATTTCCGCGCATATAAATAGTAAGTGAAATTCTAAAAATAGACAAAAATAAAACAAATAAATAAATAAAATATCAATTTGAATTTTTTAAATATAAAAATGTCAAAATTTTCGGAGTTAAATTTTATACAGATGTACATGGAGATTATTGAATTCGTCAGAAAATATTTCACAATAGGATCGCTGACAAATTTTGAATCGGTTTGTGACCAACATTTTTCATGAAGAATTGATTGCTTAAAGCTGACAGATTTATTTATAGGATCCGAATAACTATCTGCATCCGTTTCTAAGTGAACATTTTTCTAGAAAAGAAATAGACGACGCGTCTCTCTGTTGGCAATTCGCCCGAATTATATTTCTCAATGACTCTGCGTCGCGCGTATGTGGAACACGCGGAAGAACAATACACGCATCGCGAAAGAAGACTTTGAGGGGTCGGTGGAAGGCGAGATGAGAGTGGCTAAGGGTTTGCTTTGTGGGGTTGTCCGAGGGTTGTCGCGCACGTGCGAGACGGAGATGACGCTACATAGCAACAGTGCCGTCTTCAGGGTGTAGTAAAAAAATGAGACTTGCATTATTTATCTCGAGAACAGAATTTTTTTTTTTTTTTTTTAATGTAAAACTCAAAGAAGATCTTGCCAGAAAAATTCTCCTTGGTTTGAATCTTCTTATATCTCTGACGTACGTGTATATCTCTGCATAGTTTTGGACAAGTACCAAAAATATTATGTACAACACCCCGGAGAATGTCAACGGGGGGTTGGTACGTTTAATAAATTTAGCAATGTACATATTGCATACATATAAATTCAAGAAATTTATATATGAGAGTAACAAACCTGATGCAAAATTTGATAATGATACAAATATGTAAATATGTAAATCAAAAGAAAAAAATATAATAATTGCCGACAAAATTTATCAATTACGACGAACATGGTACGGAAAGGAAGGCAAAATGAATTTTTCTTGGGGTGCTCGAATCGGTAAAATCGTCCCTGTCGTATCGCGGGGGGGGCCGGGAAGTTGGTGAACACGTAGAAAGGGGAGAGGTGCGGGGGACGAGCCGAAGAGGGTGAAACGAGGGTGTCGGTCGCGAGTCGATAAACCGCGGGGCTAAACGCGAGCACCGTTGCGCACAGCTTCAACATGGCGGACGGTGAGTCCCATTCCCTTTTTCCCTCGGTCGCTTTGTGAATGCCGGCCGGAACCTGAGGCAGTGTGTCGTGCGATCGATTCCCGACTTCGCGGCACCTTCTCTTAGCCGCTCAATCAAGCGGCAGCCTCCCGGAGAGACGACGTGTCTCTCCGTCCCGTGACCCGGAACCACTCGCGGATCGGATCTCGCGTTCGTTTCCGCGACGAGGGTGGCCGCGGACGTGTTTGACAGCGAAGTGCGCGAGAGGATTGTTCCTTGGTTTGTCTTGTGGACAACGGTGAATTAAACTGGTTCTTCTTCGCACTCTTTTTTTCAGACGAGGAATCGACATGCGGCTCAGGGAATCGATTTCGGTCTCGGTGCCGTTGCATCCCGGTGGACTGAACAACAAGTAAGTACCATCCCTCAGTAAATAAACCCTCTTCAGTAAGAGGGTTATAATTGGCAATCGGACGATCACGTGCGGAGATAACAATAATCACACCCCAATATCAAAGCGCTGAAACCAAGTACGAAAGTGTGCTTTATGGAAGTTGCGCCTTGTTTCCCCCATATTACGTAATGTGTTCCAAATGGGTGGCTTTAGTGGTCAGTCGGTTTTAACAATCGATTCTTTATTTTTATCAAGGCTATATTTTTTTTTGCGCAGCGCTACGATGCGAAAGCTAAGTGTTTTGTTTTTTTTATATATTTCACAGTGTTCTCTATTTAATTCATTCACTATTTATCATATTATTCCAAAAAATTGATTTCTTGGTTTCCAACTGTGGAAGAAATATATATAAACACATTTTGACGCAAATATTTCGTTGCTTTTAAAAATAGAACATTAGCGCAGACGTGTTCGTCACTGATATCATAGATAAGCAGTGCAATGTTAGCCGGATGTACACGACGCTATCAACCGCAGCATATGCAGCGGCCGTTCCGCGCGCAGGTAGGAGTTGCAACCGGCTTTCATTACCTGGCCGCGACGAAGTTGATTAGCATTTCCTGGTCGTAACTCGCGCTAAATATAAACGTCTGATGATCGCGGCGGCGATCGTAGGCGTGCTGCCGCCTATGCCGCCTCGGCATCGGCGGGCACGTCGACTGTGAAGGCAGAATATCGATCCACCTGGATTCATTTCTCGACTCTCGCAGCCAGCTACGCAGGCCGAGCCGGCAGAACGTCGTGGCCGGCGAGACCGGCAATCGCAACGAGAACGCAACCGAGGAGTCGGTGGTCGCGCCCGAGCCGGCCGACGAGTCGGACTTCCGCCTGGCTGAGGACACCACCACGTGGTCGTCGCTGGCGATCGCGCGCGACAATATCCAACAGAGCAATCAGCAACAGCAGCCCAACGTCAACGTCAACAACAATCTCACCGAGCCGAAAGTGCAGAGGAACAACTCCGTCGACAGCCTCGCGGACTACGAAGGTGAGTGTTCGTTTATTTCTATCGATTTCGTTTTTATCAGCAACGACTCGGTTGAAAGATTTGAAGAGTTCCGCGCGATATCAAAAGCTCGTTTCCTCTCTCGATTTGTAAAATACATTGAGAGGTTTTTTCGTTTACGGAATATACGCGCGAGAATGAATAATAATTAAGCGCTATAATATGTGTACAATAATTTGTTTTCCTATTTATTTTTATTTAAGAGCGAAATAATTTTAAACACGGTTATATTAACGCGAGGAAAATGATGAATTATTTTGCATACGTAATTTAATTGTATTCAGAGATATATATATATATATATGATAAAACGCGACTCCCTAGTGAAACTCATACTGTTTACATTCGGAGAAAGGAAATCGATAGAGAACAGAGAGAATTTAAGATCAAAGAACGAAGAGCGATTCATAAGTAAGAGACTTGTATTATCAGGCACGAGCGAGGAGCAATCCGCCAACATAAACAACAATCTAAGCGAGCCGAGGATACGAAATAGCAGCTCCCTCGAGAGCCTCGCCGATTACGAAGGTGAGCTCTTATTCGTCCTGAATTATTTCACGCGCAATTTCGCCGTCCTGAAAAAGATAACAGGTTTATTCTCGACACGATTTTTTACCGCGCGTTTCGTGAGACAAAAATCATTCAAACGCGACAACGAACGAGCGGCACGTTTTTATGTGATTTTTTTTAAAGAAATAATTTTGAGCAATGAATGCGTGTGTGTGTGGATGCGTCGGAATTTACTCTAGGTCTATTATCATCGCCGATCTCTCCACGTCTCCCTATTGAGCAATTGATTGGCCTACTTTGCAGTCACCATCGCTTCTTTTAAGTGCCGTGATGTCCGAGAGATGTTATTGGAAAGCAATGGCGTTCGAAGGTTTCCGTCGCACATCAGAGGCGCGTGCGGCGAACTTCGATATTTTCCACAAGCTGCCACCTTTAATAACGCGCGCATCCTTGACATTAAGCGCTTAACCGTAAAAGTGCAGGGATGGGGGGATTTTTATGCAGCGCGACCCCAAAGTTATTTGCAGAAGTTTTTTTTTTTTTTTTTTACAACATTAAAAACGACCATAGAAATCTGTAGAAACTCACGAAGTCACTTGTAAACAAAAAAAAACTTCCACAAGATAAAAAGAAGCGAGAATCTCACTCTCAAGAGAGTCTGTGACGCGTCGGATAATAATCTGTCGCGTGTTAATTTGCCCCATAAAACCGAAGACGCGTGCGACGGATGACCCGTAGAGTCATCGGGGAACTACGCAGCCGCGTAATGTCTCTGCGCGAGTAATCGCGTGTGATAATTGAAGATTATCCATAATAATCGAAGTTATCGCGAAGTCTATTCTGATCGCGAACCTTTTCGATAACAATCGGCAGTTAAATTTTAACGATACGTATTATCTGCTAAGTCGCGAGTGTGCGCGAAGGAATTATCTTAGCGCGAGACAGAACGAATTTGTTGTTGTTGCGAGCGCTTGAATTGAACGACAGAAGTTTCGCGGGAGGTCCGATGATCAACGACGGCCAGCCGCTTGATAACGATGAGTCACGAGTTCCAATTCAATTATTCGGTTCAATTCCGGCCGATGCTTGAGACGAGCGCGGAACTGTTGCAGGACGCAACTCGTCGCACGGAAACTCGTCGCACGAGCTCACACCGTCCGACTGGTCGGACTCGTCGGAAGAAGGTAACCTGCCGACCAGCTGCCGCGGCATCGTCAATCCCAACTACCCCGGCTTCCAGCATCTCGCGCCCTCCCTTCTGTCGGACACCGACCTGACCGAGGACGAGCACGACAGTTGCTCCGACTACCCGCCGCTCTACGACGTGCATAACCGAGGCGAGGTGATACCGGAGAACGACAACGAGTACAACAACAACGTCGACGACAGCATCAATCACCTCTGCGGCCAGCGCAACGACCGCAAGACTTTCTACGAGAAGCCCAAGTTCAATATTCAGGTACTTGTGCGACGAAATATCTTGCTTTCTTCGCGGTGAAAGAAATTTCCAAAAAACCGTACGAAATTCCAGATCACAAAAACTTTTTGTTAAATAGCAAATTTAGATAATCCTTTTTTTTTTTTTTTCAATTAATGATACATCTTGAATTCACCAGTTGTGTGCTGCGACAGCACTGGCCCTTATGCAAGGGCCGAACTAATTACGATTTACGCGATTTATCCACGTGTATGACGACTTGTGTCGCGCGAACTCGTTTCTGTGACGAATAAGCCGAGAAGTGTCACTGGCGAAACCGGGCGTTCCGGTCTCTCGGCGCGGGTTTATCAACGCGTAAAAATAATCGAGTATACTCCCACAAGCGTGGCATGTACTCCCGCTGCGTGACATCATCCACATCTTGTATCTCTGCCTCGCGTTTCCAGACCGTGACTTCTCTATACGAGGCGGTGGTGCCGCCTTCGGAAAAGTGTATCAACTACGTGAAGAGCGTGGAGGTCTCCAGATCCGAGGAGAAGGCGCTCTCGCCGGAGCCGGAGGAGGTCGTCGTGAACGGCGTCGTCGAGGCGGAGGCCCACCTGACGCTCCTCGACGAGCCGGAGGAAAGTCTGGCCGACGAGGTGGTGGTCGAGCGCGCGAACGCGCTGTCCCAGGCGATCCTTCAGGATAAGCGGGAGAAGGAGGTGCCGGTCCAGGTCGAGCTGGTGGAGCTGACCACCAGCGTGAACGAGAGCCTGCAATTCCCGGAGATCGAGGAGATCCTGGACTCTGGAAAAACCAGCGAATTCGGTGAGGTGTGTGAACCCGATTCTTTTGACTCAATTGTCTCGTTTGACACGAGCGGCAATGTTCAATCAGATTCCCAGTGTTAAAAATAAAAAAAAAAAAACAAATCCCCGGTTTCATCACCGATGACAAAATTGCGCGTTGCGATTAATCATAATTATCGAAATCTAATTATTAACGTAACGATATATTGGAATATTACCGGAGATTTAATTATTTAGTACCTATAATTGTGTGTTTAAATTCTCTCTGATTATATGTGTATTATTCACGTATAATTAAAATTGAAATTATATCACTGACTGTATTCAGTTCTCACTCGTAATCTAATATTATCCTGTAATTATCCGCGAGCCCCGATATAACGTCTCGTTACGCAATTAATTTGTACAATAATGGCCCACACCCGACTCATCCCACTTCCTGTCACCGAGTGCTTCATTCGCGCGCCCGTCTTTTGATGCCGTCGTATACACGGTCGATTAACCACGAAAACAACTTCTCGGGGTGGTCGCAGACGGAGGACGTTGCGGTGGAGCACATCGACCTGATCCGCGAGGCAAAGGAGCTGCCTCACTTAGACCGATCCAAAATAGGAAGCCGGCAGTCGGTGACGACGACGTCGACGGGCGGCTCGGCCGACGACGACGAGTCGGAGAGCAACAGCGACTACTCCGAGGGCTTCGCCGAGGAACGGCCGACCTATACGAAGCTGGAGGAGATCGATCTGCTCTCGAGCATCGGCCGTGACATCGGCGTCGATCTCGAGAAGTACGCGCACCCGGTGCCGGACGTGGTGGCGATGGAGTCGATCGAGAGCTTGCGCGCCAATCAGTCGCGATCAAACGCGGTCATCAAGGATCACGTGGAGGACACGAACAAGCTTCTGGATCGCGAACTTTCGGAGCCGATCAGTCCGGACGCCCGGAAAAAAGAGAAGATGGCGAAGAATCAGGCCAAGCGTCGCCAGCAGCAGCAGCAACAGCAGCAGCAGCTGCTGCTGCGAAATTCCAATTCCCAACGGCGTTCCGACAAGCGCAGAGGTGACATCGATAACGGATCAGGTAGATATTTCAATGAATATATTATTTTCCATATCTCATATCGTTTCTCTCACCGTTTCAACTTCAGTTTCAATTTTGTCTTTGCGTCAGTTTACAACACACTCTCTTTTTTTCTCTTTTCTTTGTGCGAAAAAATATATCCTTTTAAAAAAAAAAAAAAGTGCGCGCAATATACACGCTTTGCTCGGCACCGCGGGTAATTACGTTCTGCGCGTAAAGTGATAAAATAGTAATTATCGTTATATCGTAATCTCGTGCGTATTAAGTCGGCAATCGTTTTACTTACAGAGCTGAAAACGCTCTGAAATTTGAAGCAGTAAATTTTCTATTAAAAACATTAAATGCACGCGCATAATTTGATTTATTGCAGCGCACACACAAATGGCGAGATAAAAAACGGGTTTAAATCAAGATCTCGTAGATTTACTCTATGTCGACAAACGGCGAATGAAAAAAACGGCTCGATCAATTTTGCAGAAATTATTTTATCGAGACGCGGCGAATAAGAAACGGTTCGATCGCAGAAATTTGCGACGAAGACATACAAATGGTTTTTTTTTTTTTTTTTTTAAATAGAAGTCTGCGTTTATTTATTGCTACCTCGTAAAAAATATATACACACACTACAGCCAAAGCGAGATAAGCCGTGAATTTTGGTTGAGCACTCGAGATTGTAACGCGTGTACGTACACGAGTGCCACACCACCGGGCACTCATTGGCTTCCGTTCGACTGTTTCGGTCGCGTCGCTGTCTCGCCGTATGTGAAAATGTTCTTCTCACACGTTTGACACCACTCATTGCATTGTTAAAGGCGGCTTTGACGTTTACAACATCGAGACGGCGATGCCGAAGATCGACCTGGACGCGATCGAGTCGCATCTCAGAGCTGCTCGCGAGGAGGAACGTCGGGTGAGTGAATGAATTATTCAATTTGAATTTTATTATTAGAACACCACGTATGTGGCGTTTTTTTTTTCGTGCAAATAATAATAATAATAATCTCGCAAGGGTCAATGCTGCGCGTGTCTTATTCAATTCGTTCCCACACACAAGAAAAACGGGTTTCTATTGATTTTCGATACTTCGTTTCTCTCGTAAACGGAAAGAAACTTCCCTAAATTAATCTTGGCGCTTGGGTTGAATGAAAGTCTACGGTTCATTCACACACATCTTACTTGTAATGTATTCCAATATCCCATCCGGTTATCAACGGCTCTCGAGTATAGGTTTATTCAGCAGCGCAAAAACGCCGGAAAGAGAGAGAGAAAGAGAAAGAGAAAGAGAGAGGGAGAGCGTCAATTTCGAACTGTCTAAGTGTTTCGCATCGAATGCACTTCGCGGGGGCATCTGCACCGTAGGCGGACGTACGTGCGTATGTAGGTCTTATATTTATGATACACGAGAACTTGGAGCGGATGTGCGTACGGCAAAACTTGGAAGGTCATTTCGATTTTTTTAGATTATTTTTTTTAACACATCGATGCAATTGTTGTTCCAAATTAAGCTTATTTCGAATTTCAGCAACGACTTAAAACATTGTCATTATTCAAAAATAATAAAAGAATTTTTTGCGGCGATATTTTAACGCGCGCGCGATTGATTAATGGCGCGCGATTGATACACTTTGACACGATCGATGATTTCAAGCGAGAAAATCATCAGTTTTTTTTTGCATACGCGATTCACTGTTTTCGACGTGGCAAAATGAACTTCGCCCGATCTGAATCGAGAACGTTGCCGCATCGTGCACCAAATCGTGTTGGGTCTCCAGAGGTCAGAAGTCACGCATGATCGGTCAACCGAAACCGCTTTTATGCGCACGACCCCTACGAAGATGATTTAACGATCTTTTGTTGCAACGACGCTCGCGTTGGAGAGGATGTAGTTTCGCTTAGCGCATCAAATTTGAAGCGCCTCCTCGGCGTGCGGTTATACATTTATTGTATATTTTTCACTTGATAATGCGATTGTGCAAATTGCGAGTGTGTGACTTTCTACTTTGTACGTCTAATTATCACGTGGCGAAATACGACGTGATGTTGCACAATTAGCGCGCGCGCGCGCGCACACACACGCACACACACACACGTTGTTTCAATGGGAAAAACACGAGCTGAACACAATAGCAACGATAAAAAAAAAAACACTTTCCTGTTGTGTGACTCGCACCGGCCTTAACTTTATTTCGACTTTCCTTGAATATTTAAAACTCGAGTTGTGTTTTCGCGCTACTTCCAAGGAAGACAAGATTATGCAGTTCGTTAAATCGACGCTTACGATCTCTCGTTTGGTTTTCGTTTTCGGTCAATTTTTACCCGCGCAAAAGAAGTCGCGCGATCTCGCGTGAACATTTGGTCAAGAGTAAAATATCGCGCCTTTAATTTTCTTTGCGCTCTCCCAGGAAGGGGAAAATGGGAGAGGAGGGAAAGGCTTACGCGAGAGTTATCAAATTGCCCAAGATATCAAGTTAGTACCAGTCGTATATAATGTAATGTACAACATTGTACTACAATGAAAGGCCGCGAGAGAACGGCGCGTATCGTGTATCAACTTCTTCACCGTGTTCGAAACTCCCGAACGCGCGCGCGCGATCTGGACTTATAACGCTAATAGGGTAAACCCGGGCAAGATGGCCATAGTTTTTTTAAATGCAAAAAACAGACTTTTATTTTTGTTACATTTTAATATTGTTTTTTTATTT